ATTTACCTATATGTTGATTTACCTTACGAAATATAAAATTTAATATTTATTCATTAAAATGAATATTATGATTAAGATCCGTCCCTACTGATTTTTTTAATGTAGTATTTATTATTATTATTAACATTATTACGTGACGTCTTTATCAAATCTTTGAAAGCACTTTAGGCAACTTTGTCGATTAAACTTATAATTCAAAATTAAATTTGTACTTTTAAGAAAAAGTAAATAAAAATAACAGTACCTAGTTGCTATAAAAGGAAGGGGTAACCGAGTATAAAACACAATACTTCTCCACTCTCATAGTCCGTAGCAATAACAATTGAATATGAGCCGTGGGATTAATAGCTTTTATTCTCCAAGGCACGAACCGCTTTCCAACTCTGGTTAGTAACTGGGAATCACTTAATAGAAAAAAGTAGTGACTGATCCGGGATCTAAGTCCAGGTCTGCATGTCATTTGCAGCCAATGAATATACTTATAAGTTAGGTTACGGTAGCATTCATATTCAAAATAGAAAAAAAGTACCGATAAACATAATATATAAACATCTCTTTTTTTTTATTGCGGTCATAATAGAAAATCCAAGATACTTTAAGTGTTATTAGCTAAGAAGAGAATTGTATCTAAGTCATACCTACATTCTGTCATATTATGTTAAAATCACTCATTACCATTAGGTTACCGTTAAAGAAATAACATAAAATAATATATTCATCATACACATGAAAAATAAAGATGCTTCTGAAATATTTGAGTAATAAACACCAGCTTTTTACATCCGTTGCGCACTTTCAGTCATAAACAAAAAGAAAAAAATAGAAATTTCGTACAGAGCTTTTTTACTTTTGCATATAGCTGTAGGTATGTCTGTAGGTAATTAGTTCAACTTTGGGAATTGGGACTATTTTACAGTAAGATTATTTTTTGGTTATACCGTCTGTTTAGATATAGGAAGGTTAAACCTTGCCAGAAATAGATAATAATCATTTATTACCAAAAAAGTTTCTAATAAATATTTTGCTACATATAAGTTGTAAGTACATGTAGAAAAATTATATCTTTTGATATTATTACAGGGAACAGTCAACAGAAACAAGAAATAATATAATGTGAAACCAGCATTGCCGGCGGCTCCGCCCACGTTCAGATGACCAAAAACCAAATTCTTAGACTTTACATATTAGTATACTCTTACATTGCAGTTTTTGTATCTTTTCTCAGAAATGATTTATTTTCCCGTGGTAAAAAGTATCCTATATGTTGACCCGGATAATCAGCTATCACCATAGGAAATGTCATCAAAATCCCTCCAGTGGTTTTTTGTGTTGTGTTCTGTGATGCGGTAGCAGACAGAATGACAAAAATTCAAAAAACTATAGATTCGGCCTCAGTATGGATAATAATGTTTATTTCAATAAGATTTTCCAAATAATATTTAAAGTACAGATTCGGCTTAGTTACAATTTTATTATATGTATACTTAGATATCAAGTAGGTACAAAATATGGCCACAGTAGGTACTATAGACACTCAAGACGTAAAAAACTTTATCGACGACGTGAATGAATGGTGGTCGGTGAATGGACCACGTAATGCATTGTTAAGTTTAAATCATTTACGGTAAGTAGTTGACAAGTAATTTTGCAGATGAAGTAGCAAAAATTAGCTAGTGCACTTATTATTTGCTACAAGCTGAATAGCAAAACAATATTATGTGAAATCATTACAGTGTTCCTTTATTAAGGATAGTTTAGTCAAAAGGTCCTCAAATAAAAATGTCTCTACTATTTTGAAAGGAAAGAAAATTTTACATTTTATACAAAATATTAATTTATTCACATCGGACTTAAGTTCTAAAATAAAACTATTAATAAAAATGGTATGCATGAGTGTATGATTTTTACTCTTTTACGCTGAAAGGGCTGGATAAAAGATTAAATTTAGTGGATATAAATATAAACGACTCGGAGTTACCAAATAAGCTACTAGAAGGCACCTTGGAACGCACCCAAGCGTAACCAGGGTAAATCACTGATTATTAAAGTAAATAGCGAAGTAAATTGAAGTTTACGTGGAATGCAAGCATTTAAACCTAAGAAATACATATCTAAAGTCGAAAGGCCATTATAACTAAAACCATATTATGTTCTTCTTATTCTTCTGGGACTGGCCTTCAATATTCAATTGATTTAATAATAGTTTTGAAAAAAAATCACCTGTAGACCATTTAAGAGTATTGTAAAATCACTTTCTTTAAAATCATGTCGACATAGTCTTAAATATAAAGATTGTAAATACGCCAATTTTGCTTTAGCCCACAATTTCTTCAGTTTTTGTCTTTTGGAAACAAATGATATCCATGTTCTTTACATCCTGGCACTGCACAATTTGTCATTTTAATTAAATTTTAAATATAATTAAAATAAACATCCACTTTATAGAGCTTTACTATAAACTGAGGGCTATAGTGATCGCGACATCGGGCGGGAGAAAAAGGTAAAATTCTTCACATGTCTTCATTTAATATGAAATACCTAAGGATATATTCAAATTTAAATATATTACATCATGAATTAAAATTTAAACATAAAAAGTATATAAATTTGTACATGTCTAAACCAATTTTGGTGATGTTTTGGTTGTAGTTGTAGACTTAGAGTATACATATCGACATAGGAAAGCATATTTGCTGTACGTAGACAAAGTACCTAAAGTGACTTTTTACTACCATTAGAATCAGAAAAAAAAGCCGCATCGAATGACCCGGGTCCTGTGTCTCTACGATGAAAAATAAAAACTTTTTAACAAATAAATAAAAACCGACTTCAAACAAAAGCACTAAAAAGTAAAAAATAACTGATTGGTAGTTTTCATTTACTATACATACCTAATCAAATATTTTCGAAGTCGGCGTGCTTTGCTTTGTATGGGCTGGCACCGATTTCAAAAACATTTGATTAGGTATGTATTTAATAGGTAAGCTTTAATAACTTAGCCGTTGAAGAGTTCCACCTATCCACCTTCTGGCCTTGCCATCAGATCAGGTCAACAACACCGAACCACTGTACTATCAACGAAAATAGAAATACTTGCAAAGTTTCAAGTCAATATGACAATTAGAAGTAGGTTAAATTCATCATTAGTTGTTTTTTTTAGGGGTAGTATTTTTTTTTGAAATTTAAATGGGACCAATCTGGAAGTATACCCTTTCAAACAAAACAAAAATTGTCCAAATCGGTTAATAAATGACGGAGTTTTGAGGTAACAAACATAAAAAAAAACATACAGTCGAATTGAGAACCTCCTCCTTTTGAAGTCGGTTGAAAAAATTACATACGCCGTTGAAAACGCCCGTACTTATATTTTTTTTAGCAAGATTAAATGCTGTATGTAGACCAAAATCTAGTCATTTTAGACATTTTGTACTTACAGCAAAAGAAAGTACTTATATTTTTTTTAGCAAGATTAAATGCTGTATGTAGACCAAAATCTAGTCATTTTAGACATTTTGTACTTACAGCAAAAGAAAGACTGCATTTTTTGCTTTACAAATACTTTTTCCCATTTAATAACTTAACGCTACTTACAGCATTTCTGCGGCGTGTGATTTTTACATTCGTTTACTTACAGCAAGTTTAGGGAACCTACAGTTTTAGTGTTAGTTATTTAGAGCATATCATCACGTATTTGCTTTAAAAGCTCACACCACATAATGCATTTTAAAAACCTGTGTTTTTTTAGAAATTTGAGATAATGCATTTTGATACATTATTTATCACTTCATTTTACCGTTACGCCATTGAAAAAATAATAGTACTTTGAAGTTGTGTCGGTGTTACCGCATCGCTACCGGCTCCGCCCGCACCCTTCATTCCTTGTACGACATTCTGTTCTTGTCTCATTATGTTTTGTCTCTTATATATAAGAGAAAAATACTTTTTTAATTCATTGTATTGTTGAAACGAAGTTCTGGCAGTATAATTAGTCTCAAATTTTGTTTCAACAATTTAAAAGACCATACATTTACGACATTTTATTTCAACCAAACATTACATTACCAACTGACCCACTGCATTTCTAGATCTAACCATAATTATAAATTTAATCTTACATCATGAATTGCAGTACCCAAATAAATAAATTTACGGCATACAGGATATTTACCACCTGTAAATTGATAATATCCATCTACGCGTACATTGGATAAAAAGTTTACATTGCAAATGGTGACTGGCAGTTAAATAAACCTATGTTGCAAAAATGATAGCAATATCATGGATAGGTCAGACACTATTAATTTTTTTCCGAAATTAATAAAGTTTTTTGGCTCTGGTGAACAACTGCAATATGTCTACTTATATATTGCAAATATGCTTTCCTACGTCGATCGTCGTCGTTGTAGATGAATTCAATAAATAAACGATAAAAAATGCCGTTATTTTATTGACAATATGTGTTACCTAATATTTTTGTAATAAAAGGCTAAGCCCCCATGAACTGTTTACCTTTAGTTAACTAATTAAGCGGATTTTAATCCGCCTAGTTCCTGATAGGATATAGGTATTTTTTTAGTATCCGTTCTTGCACAAGGGCAAAGCCAGTAAAATTCTACTTCAATAATTAAAACTTAATAAAAAAATATTTTAATATAATTAATAATAAATTATAATACAAATAAAAACGATGTTGTGTATAAAAAAGATAGATTTTTAGCGGACAAAATCAAGTAGATTATAAACGTTATTATTACGATATAATCTCAATTTTCATTTCTCAAATGTGTAGTTTCCTTAATCAATAATCTGTGCTCAAATGTCAATTGTCAATGTTGAAACTTGAAGAAAACAACAACATAAAAATTGTATATATGTAGCAATAATACTCTATGATTGTGCTGCAAACATGATATTGACGTGTTATTACAAAAAAACAAGTTCTGCTTAATACTTACGTATTTTTTCACAGAAAATAACCATTTGTAAAAGAAATTTAAAAAATGAACTCCTTTACGAATATGAGAATAGTGATGTCTAATATTTTGTAAGTATCTCGTTATAATGTCTACTAATTTTATGGAAACAAGAGCCGGATTTATAAAGAAACTTGGTTTGTAAGTTCTACTATTTTGTGGTACCATATGGTGTATCAAATGGGTATACCATTAAAAAAAGGTTATAAAATTAATAATTATAAAATAATTTTCTAAAAATATTCAATGTTGGACTCATTAGCAAACTTATTATTAATTGTATAAAATATTTAATCTATTTCTCTATTTGTTACAGCAAACCAAATATAAATAAGACATTACATAAAGGAATAACATCTTCGATCATAGTTAACAATAAAACATTTCCAAAATCAACTGTAGATGCAGCTGATGTAGAAAAACATTCACAATTAGGGAAAGATTGGTGGAATCCCAATGGCTCATTGATAGGTCTCCACAGATTCAATTTAGTAAGGTAAATTAAAATAATGTCTCTCTTGTAAATTATTATTGTTTGACAACATGTTTGGCTCTGTTTGTAGTGATCCTACTTGCTGTGCCAGCAGTCGTGGTTTCGCGTCATGCTGGGAGCATTTATTTGTGTGATGAGTACTAATATTTGTACTAATGTTTATAATATGTATGTAGGTATTTAAAGTTATTTATGCATAGTGTATCAACTATTTGGTATCCATAACACAAGCCTTGTAGCTTACCATGGAACTAGAATGTGCTATGTGTTAATGTTGTAACATATTTGTTTTTTTATAATATACTAGGTATGAAGAAATACTATAATATTACTTTCTATTGACTAAAATTTTCCTTTCTTTTTCACAGAGTACCATTTATAAGAGATGGATTAGTGTCATGTTCATTAGAAGATAGAACAATTCTACCTTTGTCTAAGAAAACAATTTTGGATGTTGGGTGTGGAGGAGGTATACTATCGGAGGTATATTAAAATGTTAAACCATCTTATATGCATTTTTATCATAGTATTTGATTTTAAATTAAACATCCACCATCTTTTATATTTTAAATTGTGTAAGGTTTCACTATTTTAATATAATATAATAAAACAGTCATTAATTGATACACTGACAATGCAAATGCACAAATTACAGATACCTTTATAAATCAGGCAGTTAAAAATCACGAGAAAGGGCAGGCTGGAAACAAAAAAAATGAAAGACTACAAAAACAAAAAAAGGGCATTGGTCGGCGGGGAATTGACAGGGGTGAATGCGATCCGTGATTTTAAACTGGACCATAAGAAATAAGAAATTGTTGAGAATAAGTGTTTTCTAATAAATTATAACTAAATCTAGTAAAAATATATAAGTTTTGAAACATATCCTATACTTGCCATTAAGGAAATTGTTTCATAATATTTTTCAGATAAACATATTAAAGCATAACACCTAATGTAGCTAAGGAACAATATTACCATTAGTTTTGACTGTGTTAATATGTTATTTAATACTAATTGTTTTTCTTTAATTTATCTTAATATAGCTGTCACTATTAATTTTTAGGCTTTAGCAAGAATAGGTGCAAAGGTCACAGGAATTGATGCAAGCAATGAACTAATAGAATTAGCTACAGAACACAGTCAAATAGATTCTAAAATAAGCGAAAACAAACCTTTATACCGCTGTGAAACTATTGAGGTACTTAACATATAAATACCATTAGAGATTAAAATAAAAACATAACCAATTTGCAAAATTTCTCTCATATAATACAGATATATTTTTAACTTATTATGTCATATCTTCTATACATATAATAAAATTGTAACTAAGCGAATCTGTACATTAAATATTTTTTGGAAAATCTTATTGAAGTATACATTATTATCGATACAGAGGCCGAATGTATAGTTTTTAGAATTTTTGTCTGTCTTTCTGTCTGTTACCGCATCATGGAAAAACCACTGGAGGGATTTTGATGAAATTTGGTAAGATGGTAGCTAGGTTATCCGGGTCAACATATAGGATACTTTTTACCTCGGAAAAATATCTCGTTTTTGAGAAAAAATACAAAAACTGCAATGTAAGAGTATAATAATATGTAAAACTTAAGAATTTGGTTTTTGGTCATCTGAATGCGGGCGAAGCCGCGGGCAATGCTAGTCTTATATATAATTCTTCTGTACATGTGTTTGTCAACCTACTCCTAAAGGACTGGACCGATTTGGATGAAATTTTGTGTGTATATTTCAATGGGCTCCTGGATTGTTTGAAAACACAGTTGGACCCAGTAGGTGGCGCTGCAGTCGATGTGCCACTGATCATCTAAATGGCAGGGACGATTTTAATGATATTTTTGTGTATGTTCGAGTGGGTCCCTGCAAGGTTTGAATTCACTAATGGATCTGGTAGGTGGCGCTGCAGCCGGTGTGTCACTAAATTTTCATAAAAAACTCTATTTTCCTAGCAATAAATAAATTTAAATTGTTGATTAAGTACAATAAAAATTGATGTGTGTATGTATGTTTCCTATGGACTCCAAAACAGCTGGAGCGATTTTGATGAAATTTTCAGGTAATCTTCAGATTAGACCAGCAGGTGATCCTGTGAATTTTGTTAGCGATCGGAAGTTTGGACTCAGGCGAAGCCGCGGAAACTCTAGTTACATATAAAATTGTTTTAGCATCACATTCCAACTGAACAATGGTTCAGTTGTCAATGTAATGACATAAGATTTACTTTAAATTAACTTATTATATTTCAGGAACACTCTAAACAATTTACTGATCACTATGATGCAGTGGTCGCCTCTGAAGTAATAGAGCATGTCGCAGATAAAGAGCTGTTTATTAAAGCCTGTGTACAATCTGTGAAGCCAGGAGGCAAGATATTTATAACAACACCAAACAAATCTAGACTTACACAGATTCTAGGTATATGGCTTGCGGAATATGTAATAAATGCTGTCCCTAAGGGCACTCATGAATATGAAAAATTTACTACACCTAATGAGGTCACATTTCTGTTGGAACGAAGTAAGAACAAACTGTAATATTAAGTAGTACAAATGAACTATCTTATAGATTCAAAAAAGTACAATGACTTCAAAATCACCCTAAAGTAATTTTCCAACGTCAGGTATGGAACCCTGAGGAATATATAAGTAGTATGAGGAATATATAACTTCTTACGTGCGTACTTAAGTACACATACACTTTTTTTTAATGTTCTTTTTTGTTACAGATAATTGTCATGTACAACTTATCCACGGTTTGATGTATAACCCTATAAATAATAAGTGGTCATGGGTTAATTCACACACGCTATTGTTTGCACTACAGGCAGTCAAACTGGAAAATGATCAATAAAAATTAAGAAGTATTTATGATAGAGCTACTTTATATGTAAATATTTAAAAAATAAATATTTCTGTTTATTTTTTGTTTTTATTTAATTATTTATTACAAAAGTTTCGTTATTTTAATCAAAATGATTTATTATTTAATAAACATCATTTGGAAAAATATTTACTTTATAAATGTGGTTTTTTATGCGTAATCTGAACTTAGTAGTTTGGTGTAAGAATCTATAAGTAGTTAGTGAAATATGGAAAAAAAAGAAAAACAAATAGGAAATCTATTTCTTAAAATAGACTACTTTACTTTAAATAGTAACTCTTTTAATAAGAAACGCCTTTTCATGTAAAAAATTACGATTATCCGGTACCATTGTTTATATATATTATAATAAATCGGCCATACAAATCAATTTATTTTATGTATTTATATATAGAGTATAGACGCTAACGAAAACTCTTTTAAGGGCCAATTTTTTATTTTAAGATAAATACTTCTGCCACAAATAGGGCAACGTCAGTGACATTATGTCACTAATTATGTTACAAAATTAGCGGTAAATGGCGTGATTGTTGTAAAATATTATTCTAACCTACAGAAGCAATGTCTTTGATAAAGCTTCTAAAAATCCCCAGTAGGTTGTTCCAAAAGGACATTATAACATTTTTGATGATACGTCGATATGACTTTGGTGGTAAGTACCAACACATTAGTAAAGACATTTTATAACCGTGACGGCCAGGAATGTGTTGCAAACGCAAACGTACATCATATAATACTATATGGCTCGACACGTTTGGCTCAGTTCGTAGTGACCCTACTTGCTGTCAGCGGTCGCGGATTCGAGTCCCGTGGAGGCCATTCATTTGTGTGATGAGTACGATGTCACTCCAGTCATGGGTGTTTATATTTGTAATATGTATCTATGTATTTAAAAGTTATATATGTGTAGTGCCCTATTTAAAAACCCCAACAGGACCCCATTAAAAGCGACAAAAGCCACATAGAAACCAATACATATGTTTCTGTGTGACTTTTGTCGCTTTTGATGGGATTCTATTGGAGTTTTTCAACAGGGTGTATCAACTATCTGGTATCCATAACACAAGCCTCGTAGCTTCCCATGGAACTAGATGGTGCTGTGTGTTAATGCCCCAACATATTAATTATACTAGTGCAGATTACTCATCCCATACAAACAAATTGAACAGCGCTAATTCGAGCTATTTTTGTTTGCTTGAATAGATAATAGATGTCATTGATCCGCAAATAGTTGAACTGGTTTTTTATAAATATGTGCAAACTAACGTATGATAGATATCGTAAAATTCATCCTGCATTCGATTAAACAAATTTCATTGATTTCAACAATTGTTAACCGTGAGAAGCTACTGATAAAAAGTAAAAGCGCCATCTGTGAATATGCGCTACCAACCCATTATCTAATTGCTGATATTTCAATAATCAGTAAAATTACGCAAATTTGATTTACGGGCGTATTATTTCGTTTCCCTGTTTTTAGTATATTTTTTAAAACCATATTATAGCTTTTGAGGATATATATTTTTTTTTTATTTAATGCAAATTTGATAAAAAATCGATACATGTAACGTAATCTGTTAACATTTATTTCAACGATTTTTTCTCTGAAGATTTCATGGCTATATTATATTCCACACACTGTACTAGATAACTTCTAATTTTATTATTTTTCACTGTCTATTCATAGAATTTAATAATGTTACAAAAACTTGAGAGGCTATTTTTAATAATTATTCCTATAAAAGAAAATAAACTTATAATTTATGTAACTTTTCTCAATAATTTGTAATGGTATGGTTTAATCGGGCTATTTTCCGCAACTCGACGACTATGCGCCTATTTTGCGTGTTTAATAATTGTATTATAATAAATAATTTGTAATTTTCGAATGTCAAGAAGTCTAATTGAAAAATTTAATCTTAATTTTTTGCAGCTATTGGTTTACTAAGATTATGAAAAAAAAATAATCTATTGTCTTTTTTTTAGTAATTGACAATAAGCTTCACTATATAGCAGTAAGACCGTCTGCTTCAATATCCCAACTAAGGCAAAAAGTTTGGCATCTCCTTGATCTACCTGATTATTGTGAGGAAATTATAATATTAAAAAGTGAGGATGATAAAGAATTACCTCTAACGCATCTTCGCAAGGGCAACGATCCACAGCATCCATATTATTTAGAAGTATATCTTCCTGAGAATCATGCCTGTAAGTCATAGCTTCTAAATTTTTTTTAGAACTACATCAAGGGTCTTGGACTGTATTAATAAAATGAGCGGCAGTTTACGGGGCTAGAATTCATTATTGAAGGAAGTAATTAAACAAAAATCATGATTTTTCTTTATTTTTAACATAATTAATTATTATTTTTAACGTCAAAATAACGTGACTACAAACGCCAATTACGGTGCGTGACGTCACTTATCATTTTCACTAGTGTTTAATATATTATTATGTATATAGATCTGTGCTAGTTTGTTGTGTATACAGTGTAGTTTCGAAAACTCAATTCTCTGTAATCTCAAAGTTTTAATCGTTTAAGTAAAATAATATTTAAATTTACTTACCTTCCTGGTCAATACCATGGCGAACAGTTCGATCTGACAACTCAAATTTACCACGTATCGATGTCATGATGGTGGCGGAATTTTTCGCTAAAAACCTTGATTTTATCTCGGCGGAATTCAGAAATGTAAAAACTGTCATGTAAATACTAGGTATTAGACAAATTAAAAGGTGTAAAAATCTGATTACTCTTAAAATAATCCAAGGAACCTAAATAATTTCTAAGCATAACATCATAACAAAATACAGATTAATAGCATACCTATTACCTACAGAAGTGACCAGTGTCTCGTCTGGCAATATGTAGGTATAGTTCAATGAATATTTTATACTGTAATGCATACTTACATCAAAATTATCTTCACAGACGTAAATCATTGATTTTATGGATTGGTTTTTCTAATCTCGCCTTGCCAGATTCATCCACTTTTTTCGCATATTTTTATCATTACGCACAGGTATAAACAATTTCTCAGGTTTAGTTCTTAGGTATTGGTATTATTTTCACTCAACTCAACAATACTTACTGATAATACTTAATTGCACTCATTTTCGATATTCTTGTTCCCTCTTTAATTAATAATATTAATCGATCGAGCCCACAGATTACGGAATATAATCGAGCTCTTTACAGTCTACACGCTCTGTATGATAAGTGACGTCACGCTCGACGATTGTTAAAAGAGTAGCGTTTTAGCGCCAAATGCAAAAGTGAAAAATAATTTCCAATTATTTAACATAAGAATACAGTAATTTCTGCGGGTAAATATTTTTAGCAGCATTATATTTATGTAAGCAATAGGCTGAGATACTTTTCATAAAACAATCCAAGACCCTATTCAATTCACCTATAATGCCTAATGTTATAAATATAACATCTTTGTAATTTGTGAGTCTTATCTGTTACCAGCAATGTTTTAGAATGCAGATAAATTGAAGTTTATATAAAATCATAGAAATATTCAAATATATTGAACAAAGATGATATTTGCTTATAATCGACTCTTATTTGGTTTAGTACCTACATACCTTAGTGCTTATTTATTCAAACTACCAATACACTTTACAGTAGAGTTTATTTCCTCTCCTTAAAAAAAATCTTTATTTCTAAGATTTATATAGCTTTTAGGCTTTTTTAAAAGTAAATTGTGTATTTTATACCATTAGAATTGACATTTAAAAGTCAATAATTCTGTAATAAAAGCTCTTTCAGTAAATTGATCGTTTGGACAAATAAGCACTGAGACACATGCGTTACGTAGTAAGTTAACCTGAGACTACGTTGGTCGTGTCTTGAAAGTTGAAACACGAATCAATTAAATTTTTTTAAGCATTCAGCATAAACCCTATAAATTACATACTACCCTTACAATACCCCATACAAAATTTAATAAGAAATACTGAATACATATCCCTTACAAGTTACAACATCTATGAAATATGTCAATGAAATATTTAAAAAAAAAAAATCTCTTAACTAACTCGAAAACTCGAATGTCATCACTTTTAACTTTTAAGCCTCTGCATCATTATTTAACAATATGATAACGATGGGTGATACCAAAATAAACGAAGAAAATTTCGCATTAACCGATACAGTATATGAAGAAAAAGTGAATCGTGAATATAATGGAAAAAGCACAGATATTGAACATTGTAAGTGCTCCCATTTTGTATTTCAAATTTTTTAAATGCAATTTTACATTTGTATTTTTTTTATATTGTTTGTCTTTTAGCAACATATACGACAATGACCAATGAAAAGACGATCCGAAATAAAATTACTTCTGTACAAAATCACGATTTCATGCAAAATAATGATTACAAGAAATCTGAACTGTCTTGCAAAATGTCGTCTTCGTCAATATTCTTTAAAATACACGGAAGAAAAAGTAGAGACAATTTTGCAAATATCCTACTTAAAATACAAAGCGATCTATCGACTCTAAATAATAAATTATCAGATTTGGAAAACAGAATTCAAGTTTAAATTTAACAAAGGTGAATTTTAAAATAAAACGCTTAGAAAAAATATATATTTTTATTTCCAATTCATTATAAATAACTTTGCTTCAAATCTAAAAAATCTTGTAGGAATCGTTTCTTATTATACAAATTCTTTACACAATGTACAGAATTAACGTAATAATTATTTTTACATTGCTTAGAATAAATAGTTCTTAAATAACATGAAAATATTTGAGGTAAAGTTGAAAGAAGCTGACTAGTAAACCTGCTTTGTGTATTTGTAGGGCTGCCAACATAAAAATGTGGGTTTTTGGTTTAAAAAAATGTTACAGATAACAATAAATAAGTTATTCTTGCAAAAATATATTTAAACATAATTATACATTCATAAATTATACTAAAATAGTTTTAAGGTTGTTTTAATTATCTTTTTAATTATTATTTTCGATATTATACCTTTAGGCATTAGCTTTTTTAAGGAAAATTAGAATTAAGCTTTTTAATATAGGCAAAGTGATATTGATGATATTTTTCAGGCATAATAAATAAGATTTAATTCCTATTGAGATATACATTTATATATATTCATTCATGATCAACTGAATTATAGATAAAAATTATGAATTCGTAGGGTGTGCGTTTCTGGATATATACCATCGTTCAAAAGAGAACTAGATAGTAGATACACAAAGAGCGACAAAAAATGTCCTCACCGAATGAGCGCTCATTTGAACGTTTGAGCGCGCTTGTAATTTACTTCCTTTAATTAACTTTAAGCATTCCATTTAAGGTTCAATTTATATTGTTGTATATTTATTTCAAATGGAATAATTACCTAAACACAATTAGTGACAGTTTTAAGAGAACTTTTTAATGGAATGTGTATCTAGTACTTTTTTGATCGATTATATAAACAAATAAAAAATCTGCTAAGTATATCGGACAATGGTTTAACCATTTATAATAATGCTAAGAAAATAAGGTAGTCGGCATATATTTTCGTGACTAAATAAAGTCTTTAAAAAATATAGTAGAAAAACTAGACGGAGATTATTATACTATTATATTATTTTCACCATATAGTAAATGGCAACCCTGTCATTAATGTTATTTATATTTTCTACAGTACCTATAGCGTCACAAGCTCAATAATATTTGGTTTCCGTTACCAGCTAATATAACAAATGTAGTTAAAATTTGCTAATCTTTAGCTATACAAGTTTAAACTATTCCTCAACGATAAGTAAAAACCGTAAAAATATAATACACATAAAGACCATAAGTATTTCGTGTTCAAGAATTGTCTTCTCACCAACGATTGCGCTTTCTGAAAAATGAAAAATAAAAATAAAATTAAAATAGGCAGTCATAGGGAGTGCCGACAGAAGTGAAAACTTAAAATTAAAATTTCATAATTTGTAAATTGAAATTATTATTAATCTGGTTTTCACATTCATTGGCATTCCGATCAATAATTATTTACATTTCGATTAGTTATTTATTAATCAAAACATGACGCCGCGCGTCGCCTGTCTGCGCCAGACGGCGTCACACGTAGAATGTCGGTGACGCGAATCCATAAGTTTTACACCTACCAATATCGCCCGACGCAGCTAAAGAAGTTTTCAATAAATTAATAAATTAACTTCAATAAATTAATATTGGCCCGTACTTGGCCAGCGTGATGGACTATAACCTTGTATTGAAGGGAGTCCCGTGCCCAGAAGTGAGAAGACATGTTGAATTGTTAAGTATCCAGGGAGGCATGCCAACATGCTAATCGAGCCATGAACTTTACCAATCCAATTTTAACAAAATAACAATCTAATCATTGTCATAATACTAATTCAAAAGTGTGTTTGTCTCTCTTTTACGTCACAACCGTTCAACGATATGTATTGAACTTACTTGTACATAATGTAGTAAGTAGTTACTAATTATTTATACCAACAAAATATCTCATTTCCTTAAAACTTTGAATTAGCATGTATGCAGCTGCGTGTATAGGTGAAATATATTTGAAGAAGTACCTAAATACTATTGAGGTAACCACTTACTGAATAACCATTTTACTTTTAAGTGTTTATAATGTTTCATCATGTCCCTGGATTACATCAGTCACATTTAGATATGCTAAATCGTTGTACTTGTTGGTAATAAATATTATGTAATGTGACGCACGTAAGAAGTTATACTTCTTTGTCGTGACAGAACAAAAATAGCTAAAGATATCATCCCGTTTGTCACAACTCTCTGTTTGTGAAAGGAATGCAGCTAACTTGCTTTTTAGCTGTCGGTGTGCGCGCGCATCGTAAAAATTTTACCTTCATAATTTTTCCAAACGTGCCAAAAGAAGTATAAATTCAATAAAAAATATATATATTAGATATGGCCATAGTATCAAAAAGTCTACATTTATCTATTTAGTTATAATCACGAACTAAACGTTAAAAGTTACGGTTGTTTTATAGTATTCGCTCATGAATGTTTTATTGACCAATAAAAAGGTCGTTTGAACTTTAAATCATGACAAAAACACCCGGAAACAGGAGACGTACATGCATATTACAATACATTATAATCACTGTGCATATATATTGGTATGCAAGACACGTGTATTCTATGAAGAGTGACTTTAAATTTGTCAACGGTATGTTTTACAAACGTTTTCCCCATGCTTAATGTGAATCTAGCCTTGAATGTTATAGTTTATACTATACTAGCATTGCCCGCGGCTCCGCCTGCGTTCAGACGACCAAAAACCAAATTGCATTGCAGTTTTTGTATTTTTTCTCAGAAAAGAGACTTTTTCCCGCGGTAAAAAGTATTCTATATGTTGACCCGGGTAGCTAGCTATCACCATATAACCAAATTTGATCAAAATCCCTCCACTGGTTTTTCTGTGATGCGGTAACAGACAGACAAAAATTCTAAAAACTATAGATACGGCCTCTGTATCGATAATAATGTTTATTTCAATAAGGTTTGCCAAAAAATATTTAATGTACAGATTCGGCTTAGTTACAATTTTATTATATGTATAGATTAATAAAATACATTGATTCTGTGCGTTAATAACAATATTTCTATTATCAACCTATAAGTTAAATGGCTTTTTTAACGGCACCATAAAAGACATCCATATTCATAATAACTTGTGAAATATACAAATATTATAAAAAATATTTTAAATTACTTAAAAGTACTAAGTCAAACTCACCTTTAACTCGAGCTGGTATATACTTTTGGTACAGCATTTTGTCATCACCATGAATCCACACATTCTTTCCTGCATTCCCAAAGCATATTCTATACTTCGAATCAAATCATTAGTCTTTAATACTAATAACGCTTGTCTGTCCACATGTTCTAAACACTGGGTTACGTGATGTAATAAATTCGGTAACTCATTTTGGAATGTTGATTTCTGTAGAAGAAAAATTATAGTTTAAAACTAATCAAACTCCCAAACTAGTACCTATAGAGAAAATAAAGAGACATATAATCTTGCTCTTTTTTATCTTTCTTATTCCTGTCTCAACTACCTCGTGGCCAAGTTTAGTTATTGTGTCTTTCTGTTAGTAAGCTTAAGCAACAGCCCAGAGATAGGAAGTTGACGGTGTGTCACCCCCGTGCCTCGGAGAGCACATAAAGCCGTTGGTTTTGCGCCTTAAATCTCACTGGCCGTGTCGAGTGGTCCCACCGGAATATGAGTGACAGGAATAGAGAATGCAGTTGTGTCTGCGCACATACTTGTGCACTAATCTTACACAAGTGCAATATTTCTTTTACACTCATAGTCCGATGGGACGACAATCACTAGACTCCAACAGTCGACGGAAATTCATCTCTCTCTCTGTAGAGACAGTTTACATTTTCTAATAACATTGATTTCTAATAATCACCTGTTCTGGAATCGAACTTATGATATTCGCCACAGTAAACTTTTTACTTTACCAATTATATATATCTTGTTGTATTATTTGCTTTAAACTACACATTTAAAAATCAAACAATATATTTTTCCTTTACGTTTATTATTATTAAGTTCGTAAACATTATGACTCAATAGCGGAAAAACGCAAATAAAATAACACACACATGGAAAAAATCAGATATTGACTAATCTAATGAACAACTTTCAAATTTTAATAATACCTACACCTAATTTAATAATATTTATTACGCGAACAGGGAAAACAACAACAAACCTATCCCACAGTAAAAAGTAGCCTAGTACATACTCACACAGTTACACATTTATAATATTTATAATAATACGCAAAGATAGATTAACTGCCGGTAGTGTAGTGGCTAGCATGTACGGCTACATATCCGGAGGTCCTGAGGTCGAGTCCCGGGTCGGGCCTAATTTAATTATTGAGGATTTCCCTATGTTGGGAAGTTGGCGGTGTATCACCCCCTGGCTTGCAGAGCGCGTGTCGCGTCGCTCCTGCGCCGACACTCACCGCGAGGGTCGAAGTATCGTCCCGTCGGACTATGAGTGTCAGGAATAGAAAGTGCAAAGTGAGTCTGCGACAGGGCTGCCAGATCGTATAATTGGATACGAAAATTGTAAAATATGGTTATTTTATGTATATTTCATTTTAACTTATTACCTATTTTTATCGAAAAATTTTATTCTCAACAGTTTTGTTAATTTGTATAATAAAATTAGATTTGGTATAAGTTGAGTGACTCAGCGGTATAAAATAAGATGGCTCTACTGGCAGCCCTGGTGCGCCACATGCGGTACACGCCCTACACTATAATGTCTCCTGTGTGTGTAGTTCGCTAGTCTCAGTGAGATTGGCCGCCGTGGACGAAATCGGTCGACAGAACATCATCATTTAATACATTATAAAAAATAATGAAATATATATATAAATATAAACTTACCTCCAATGATGACGGTTTAGTTTTGTCAATGCCTTTCAATATGACATCCCATGGCCTCCCTGTCACCATACAAGCAAATAGACCATACAACTCCTTTTGAATACCCAACTGTTCTGCATGTTCACGAATTTGATTCCTATCCCTAGCTATTATCGATAACCATAACTTTGAATAATGATACCGGAACTTGTCTGTGAGTTGCTACAAAGAGAACAAAATATTTTATTTTTATGTTCAATTACAACATATATTGCATATTGTATTAATTTTTTTCAATATTTCTCTCCAGAGATATGTTTTTAAGTAAAACTTATTAATCAAAAAAATATTATTATACCTTATACTCGTACATATAATAAACTATATATAATTTTGCTATAATTAAATAACTTACTGCATATAACCCATGGTCCAGTAAAAACACAGTGACATCTTTGTCTTTGGGATCCTTTTTTACTAAGATATTCCCAGGGTGCGGGTCACTATGCACAAAACCTGTCACAAAGATCATATGCGAGTACAGATCACCTAACTTTGTACATAAGTCAGGTCTGCTTATTTTATGTTCCTAAAAAACAAATATGTACAATACTATACAAACATATAATTATTACTTTTACTCATTAAAAAGGAATTTAGTCTTAGTAGAAGATTTATTTTTAATATATTTATGTTTCATAGTATTTCTAATACAAATCCTATGATTATTAAATCATACTGTTAAGTATATTAACTATATAATACAAATAAACTAGATTAAAAGAAAATAAAACAAGTTTGATTTCCAAGTAACCATAATATACAATATAATGCTAGTTAGTATCTCATGTACAAGATTTAATTTCATAAAAATATTAAATAATCACATTTTGGAAAATTTTACTTACATCCAAATATTTAACATCATTAACTTGACCTCCATTAACATACTCCATTATCAAAACCCTCTCAGAACTGTAATCCCAATAAATTTTTGGTACTTTTAGCCATTTATAGTTTTGAAACATCTCTGAAACCTTTTCTGCATTTCTTCCTTCTTGTAGGAAATCTAATTCTTTAGTAATATTTTTCTTTGTTTCATCAACAAGCCATTGCATTTCAAAGTCAGGAAAAACTTTTGACATTGTTTTTATGATGAATTCCATCCATTTTAAATCTATTTTGATATTTTTTCTAACAAAATGATGCTGAACTTTCACTGCTACTTCAGAACCATCTTTCAATTTTGCTCTATGAACTTGTGCTAAAGATGCTGTACCCAATGGTTCTGAATCAAATTCATCAAAAAGTTCCTTGGGCTAAAAATATAAAGAAACATATTATATAAAATTCTATAACATTTAATGATGTAATTATTATGCAATATACTACTAGTACTAATACTTACATCTTTTTTGAGATCTTCTCTAATTACTTCATATAACTCTTCAATTGTGTTTCTTGGAGCATCTTTGTGCAATATTCTCATAGTTTGAACATATTCACTGGGTAATAAATAGTCAAGGGCACCAACATGTTGTCCCACTTTTATGTATACACCTTTGTTAGCTTTACATAATTTAAGCAGTTTCTCTGCCCCAATTTGATGAGCTTGGCGTTTGATCTGCAAGTACTCTTCAGAGCTTTTATCCCACTCTTTACTATACAACATGGACTGGTAGGTCCTACCGATATCTACTGCTGTGTAAGCAGTCCTCGTCAGCCTCACTATAGCAAACGAATTGTAATCTGCATCCGAATACTTAAGAGCAACCACACCACTTCCAATCGTCACACCACCAAACAGTGAATATTTTACAAGTTTACTTAAATTTCTTGACAACATTTTTCATTTATACTCTTGACTAAAATTAATAAATTTACATATTATTTCAGATTTTTATCTATTAAGGAAAACATTACATAGTACCTATACGTCAAGAATCTCGTCAACAATTAAATAATGTCAATTTAGATTAGATGTCAGATTCACAATTGTCACTTTCTTATTGGTGTCATGAATGACAAATAAAAATTGTTATGCACACAGAACATATATTATACTCCTAGTCCTACCATTGACGTATTAAGGATAGAGTTGTTTTCCAATTGTACACTAAAGACTCAAAGAGCATTATGCGGTATAATATTCCACTCAACACTTCACAAGGCTTCAAAGGTATAACAGAAGTTGTACCTTTGTGACGCTGAGTTTACGCGAGGAGAGTGCGTACAAGCGCGATAATGACGGTGAATAAATGTTTTGGGGCATGATTTTGTTTTTGAACCAAAGTGATTTTTTATCAATAAATAAATAACTAAATAATATTTATACATATAATATAACAGTAAGTAACTAAGCGAAAGTTATACGTGAAATATTTTTCAAAACAATGACTGTAATGTATTGTGTCCTACAGACCCCAAAACAATGATTATGAAAAATTGTGTCTGTTTTCTGTTTGTCTATTTGGGTGTGCGCGTTTCACGGTACTGAACCGATTTTAACTCAATTTTGATTTTATTTTCCTGCAGTAAAAGATATCCTTAATATCACCCGAGTAATTATAAATATAATAATGGCAACACTAAATATAGATTACTAATTAATATTTTTAAAATTGTAATAATTATAAAAATAATAGCAAAAATTAAATAAATAATATTCCATATTCAATTATAATTAAAATTATAAAATTGTTTAAAGCTAAAAATATTGTAATGTAATTGGTGCAATTTTCATTTTGTTAATTGTGTAAAGCATTCGAAACGTCGGGAACCAAAAATCAAAATAAATCCGCGAAATAATCTGAAAAGATAGTTTTATTTAATAATGTCAAACATACGCGTAAATCTAAGAAAGTACTCTAAGGTCGTGGCAGACACGAGATCTGTGGATATAATTATGTATTAATTAATTATATATATTTTATTATATTTTTTATAATATCGACAAAATGTACTATTATATATTATAAACATAATATTAATTATATTTTTCTTTCAACGCTGAATCTAATGCCCTCTGCTGGTGCACTTGAAAACTAATTCACGTTCCACCTATGCATTAGCATACTTCGGTAGGGTGCGTCAAAGTACGGCATTATGCTCTGTAATTTGAAAACAGGTAAGATATACGAAGGACCATCTTAAAAGGGAGACAAGATAATAAAGTTTCCACCTACCTTTAAGCGGTAAATAAATTAATAGCAAAAAATATTTTTAAAAAGAAGTATTTATTTAAATGCTCTATAAAGAAGAAAATAAACTTTAACTAAGTCAAACCCAACAATTTATTACATAACACAATTTATATGATATAGAAGCTTGTCGCGAGATGTACTTATTTTAAATGTTATATTCTTGTTTATCTATACAGGTACAAGACACTGTGTCGCCAAACTGACAGAAATACACTAATAAACATTTATTGCACTCCAAATAATCAACCAATCAAATTTTGGTGTTTTATTTTAGTTAAAACTAGGCTTATCAATGTCTCATGATTAAAAAAATATCTTTTAACATTACCATTTATAGTGTTTTTTTGTATTTAACGACGTTTTTTATTCTAACTTATTCTTATAAATTCCGCTTCTTATCAAGAGATGGTGGTGATCTTAAATGCACGCAATTATAAAAACAGTGATAATAAATATAATATTGACATTCGCATCGCAATTTGATCTATAGCGCTACTCAGAAAGTGCAGTAGACATTGAGATTTCTATTACATTATCAATATCGATTTTTATTTCATATTCCGAAATTAACTTATTACTGTATGAAACACCACCATTTTTAAGATTCCTACTATCATTCATTAGCACTTCAAAATGGAACAATATGGCATAGTTGCAGAAAACTTAGCATATTCATGGACTTGCAATCTGACACCAAGTAAGCACACGATAGTAGAGAATAGAGATATCAGAATACCTATGTGTTATTCCTCCTGATTGTAGCACGCGCACCACGCCGTCCTTTCTTAGCTTCCCTTGATTTTTATCTTCCGTGGTAAAAATAAAATCTCTCGAACAAACACTGTATTTTACAGTTGCAGTCTTATTCTTTATAATAATGTTTTAATTCATATGATGTTAATTATAGTTTTATTATTATTATCTTACAATTATACTAGCGGACCCGACAGTCGTTGTCCTGTCTACACTTCTTTAATTTGAAAATTTCAAACTTTTTTTAATAATTTTTTTGATGAAAATTATTATTCAAATTGTGAATCTAAACCATTCCTAGATCCCCTTGAACACACACAACAAATTTCATCAAAATCGGTCCACTCGTTTGGGAGAAGTTCAGTGACATACACACTCACAGAAGAATTATATAATATATAAAGATAAAAAAAATAGTAACTATATACTTTTTGAATCTTTAGCTGGATCGATTGCCGATTCTGGTAAGCTTTTCTTATAACTACAATATAGATTTTTTTATCGTAGTTTATTTTCCATCTGATTTAAGCCTGCTCAAGATAGTTTGAGAACTTTTTAAACCTAAAAAAAATTGTAGTATGCTGTCACTGCTGTATACTTTTTTTTTAACATGGCAATTATAACAGCACCGTATCTAAAAAAAAATCATACTCTATGGCCATATCCCTTTCTTTAGTGATCCGTTTCCGTTGACAGATCTTTTTAACTAAAATCTCTCAAAATGAAGGCTAAAGGAGAGGTAAGTTTTAAGAAAATAGAAAGATTGCTGTGAGATTATTATATTTTTAATCCAAAAATTTAATTTAAATGGAAAATTGTGTTAATATTGTTTTAAAGTGTTCATGAGTGATTATTTCCAAATGTGATAAAGTGAGATAAATGATCGGTACATGATACACGTTGCCGCGGACTGCTAGTTGCAAGAAAATTATGTATGGTTCAAATTCTGAATTTGAAAATGCTTTAAAACATATTTTTAAGTATTATCGCATCATTTTAAAAATTATTATGATCAATATCGTAAGGATTACTGTAGTAATACCAATTAACATTTTTGTAGGTTATGTCATGTTGTTTGTAGTCAACATGTTAGGTTTTAGACAGCATAATCGGAATTCTAGTAATAATTGAATTTCAATAAAGATCAAAATTTGTACAAGGCCATCTATCGGGCAGATATTCTGTAAAAATATTAAAAATATCTTTAATTATTATTTTAGTTGAAAGAATATGAAGTCATCGGCCGTAAGCTCCCGTCGGACAATGAGCCGAAACCGCCTCTTTACAGAATGAGGATTTTCTCTCCTGATCCCATTGTTGCTAAATCACGTTTTTGGTACTTCTTAAGACAACTGAAGAAATTTAAGAAGACTACTGGAGAAATTGTCTCTATAAAGGTTAGTATATAAATTAATTTATAGTAAATGAAATACGATAAAAATATACCTTTGCAATTCCTATTAAAAGTAATTATATGTTCTAAGTTAAAACCAATTTTATTATTGAAATACAAGGATAAAGCTCTCGGCGGCCGTTTAGAATTGGGGACTTGGCCCCTAGCGGAGTGGGTGGTATTTCTGGATAAGGGACGTGATAGAGAGTGTCGAAAATGTGAAATAATTTTTTTAATACAACAAAAGATCAAAAGTTATTGAGACTTAAAGTGATAACATTTACCATACATTTATTTTGGACATTTACTAACCATTTAGTTAGACACTTGGAGTATCAAACGTCACTTCCAATTGTCAAAATGTATCTCCAGGAGGCTGTCTTTATTTGTACTTTGGCGTGAAATTCGTAATTTTCTAGTTATTCTAGTCATTTATTGGCAACTGTTCTAAAACCCTAACCTAACCAAGATATGACGAATAAGTAAAATAATAATCTTAAATGTTCTAACCGACCTAACCTACTTAACCCAGATATGAGGAATAATAGAAATCTCTTAAATGTTTCTCAAACCTAACCTAACCGAGATATGAGGATAATATAATAAATAATCTTAAATGTTCTAAAACCTAACCTAACCAAGATATGACGAATAATTAATAAATAATCTTAATGTTCTAACCTAACCGTAACCCAGATATGAGGTGAATAAGAAATAAATAATCGTAAATGTTCTTAGACCTAACCTAACCCAAGAATATGACGAATAATAAATAAATAATTACAATATTCAAAGAATAAAAAAATGATTGTTTTTTACTAAATGTACAATTGTAAAACAATATATTTTACATAAATCCAAATAAAAAGTTTATACAATGTATTTTATAAAGTGAAAGTAATAATTTTTCTTTTTATTTAATTTATTTATTAATTTAATATTTTACGAACAGAAAAAGCAAAAATAATCAAATATAAATCTGTTGTCATTTAAGCGGATAATATCAAAACACAGTGTCAGTTTTGCTTTTGTCAAAATTGTAAGATCATTTTGTTTGTGTTGGTGAAATTATTAAAATTATGAAATACCAATAAAGCATTAATTGTTGTTAAAATGTGTAATGTACATATAAAAAGGGTGATGCGTACTATTCGTTAAAGGTAATGTTTCTCAGGTTTGTAATCAACATTAATTTAGGTAAAGAAATGTATGAAATGTGTGTTAGATATGTTATGACTTTTACGTCTCAATAACTTTTTAGTCGTATGTTTTCCCTCCAAATATTATATTTTTAATATATTTTGACTCTCTTGTCACCTCCCCTATCTAAAATACCACCCCACGTCCGAATGGTGGCAAAGAAATATATGAAAAAATGTATGGAAATCGTTGTAACTTTAAGTTCTCAATAAACTTTTGAATCTTTTGTTGTATTAAAAAATTTATTTAACATTTCGACTCCCTATCACGGCCCTTATCCAGAAATACCACCCACTCCGCTAGGGGCCAAGTCCCCAATTCTGAATTTGTGCCAAGCTCTCATTTTACAATATAAGTTTTCTTGTTTTTAATGTGGTTTTTAAATAACATTGTATTTTAATGACTTTATAAAACCTACTCTAGGATAATAATAATTATAATCAACTTAAAGTTAAGCTTTTGGTAATAGTGTGTGTGTGTTTATCTATATGTGGTGCAAATGTAACATGTTTGATTTAGTTTCATATTAAAACAGCTAATAAAAGTAAAGGTATTTTTTGTGTGTCTCATCAAAACAGTCTCGAAGTAAAATGTATATTTATCATTATGTATTCAGTTATTGATATTATATTCAATTGTAATTAATAGTTATTACTTTTTTATTTGATTGTAGTTATGTTTATAAGCTTTAAAAAATATTCATTATAGCCCCGATGAACATATTGACTATCCCAACTATTTGGAGTGTTACATCTAGGACGTCCCACAGGTGTTGTTTAGTAAAACGTTATATTATGAGGCAAAATAAGTTAATAAAATGGCCTTTGTCTATTAAAACCTGAATTTCAGTGTGTATTACATATAATGCATGGAAGTCTCTGCTTGATGTATGTGTATTACATTTAATGCACTGGCGTTTTGGCTTGATTTGCTTGCATTACAGATAAGTGTAGATGTTATGAGCCACTTTCTTAAAAGCAAATTTTTTATTCTTGGTGGTAAACTATGATCAGATGAAGAAATGCTATGCATTTTGGAAGATAGTGACAGAGCAAGCAATGCAAGGCTCAATTGAAAAAGACGCCGACTTATGGCCGGTTTACACGTGTTAAGTAGTTTAGTAGTTAACTAAATTTTAACTTAATTTTAAGTGATTAATTGCGTGTAAACAGACAATTTAGTAGCAAGTTGCAAGTTAAAATTAAGTTAACTACTTAACTACTAAATTAGAATGTTTCCTATTTTTTCGGTCATGGTGTCGAGGGCCGCAAGGAAAAATTATTTGGTCTTAATCCAAGTTAACGATGTTGTTACTGTTTTAACAAAGATGTTTATATGTTTTAATGCGATTTTTAATACTGTGAACACTTTTTCAAAATTTATCAAGATCTGGCTTGTCACTACACGCTATCCTTATAACATCATCCAGATGAGAATCTGTAAGTTTGTTTCTAAAACGATCTTAGTGTATTTCATTTTTGAAAAGGACGATTAGCAAATAATTTTGTAGACCCAAAGAATGTTAGTAGGATTTGGGCACATCCCGGGGATTTGGGCACATCTTTGGATTATAATATAGTATTAACTACAGATCACATAATACAATACTAGCATAGATGCCTCACCCCATACGAACGACCAACCTTACGCAAGCGTGGCGATTGGTTCGTTGTGTTCATGCTTTGTACAGTCGTCAGCACTTCAGACTATACATTTATGTTGCAAAATCGCTCCTATTACAACCGAATAAGATGCCACAGTATTTAACTTAATCGCTGTCGTCCGTACTCCCGTCATAGCGTATCAACTGAATGGCAGCGTTATAATATCCATATACTTTTTACCGCAGAAGATTATCTCATTTCCACGGGAAAACAGGTTATAATACAACCCAAACAAATATTTATGATCAGAATTACTTGAAACTTTGTATTAACGCTCTTTTTGTATGAAACCTACCTTTTTAGTGTCTTTTTATAGTTTTGGCGCGAGCGAAGCCGCGGTAAATAATTCTAATTGTCCCGATAAATATTTATTTAGAATCTGTACCATTTTTTAATGTTGTTGCGAAGCCGAGTCATTATATTGGTACAAACAAAACAAATCATTCACTTCATTTTTCATCCAGTTAGCTCGAGTTACGTGAATTTAAACTCGAATTAAATCGAGTTATATTTTTTCCGAGTTGGCACATCACTAGACAGTGCTAATTCTATTTTTGTTTGCTTGAATAGATAATAGATGTTGATTCACAAATAGTTAAACGGTTTTATTTCATAAATATGTGCAAACTAACTTAAGGGAAATATTGAAAACTTTAACCTACATTTGAATAAAAAATTGAGAATTTTGTGATAAACTATTCTTAAAAAGTAAAAGCGCCATCTGTGAATATACACTACAAACTCGTCATCTGTTTGCTGATATTTCTATAATCAATAAAATTAAACTTAGATTTACTGGTACATTATTCCCTTTCTCTTCACTTAATTTTATTTATCTTTTGTTAATTTAACACAACTTTAATATTAACACCTCCAGGTAAATTTCTAAGAAATTAATTAAAATTCTAAGAAATCTCTATTGACATTTATTTGAAGTAATTTTGAATCTTTGTTTGTGATGAGACCCCATGGTACTAACATTAAACTAATATAAACAATTTGTTGAAAGATCCCGCAATTTAATTAGGTCGCATTACATTTATAGAGATGTTTTTTTTATAACTATGTATTTTGTGCTTATGTAATATTTAGGAAATAGCCAGTAGATAATATATCAAATTAAGCTGTTGCATACTGTTAATTATTATACTTATAATTTTATCATACTATTATCTCATAATTTTTAAAAACTTATCATTTAACCATATTAACAATTATATTATAATTATTACAGGAAATCCCAGAAAAGAGCCCAATTAAGATCAAGAACTTTGGTATCTGGCTGCGTTATGAGTCTCGCTCTGGAGTGCACAACATGTACCGTGAGTACCGTGACCTGAGCGTTGGCGGTGCAGTGACAACGTGCTACCGTGACATGGGCGCTCGCCACAGGGCACGTGCGCACTCCATTCAGGTAATATCGTGATTTTATTACTTGATCTACTGATAACTTAGTTGTGTATTGTTCATTTATATTTAAAACTGCAAATTAAAAGTGCATGTAATGTAAATTCACTTAAATAATTCTCATTTTCTTTGACAGTCCAGATTTTTTTTTTGTATTAGGTTCACTTATATTTGAGTAAAATCAATATAATAATTGTAACATTTACAGATTATCAAAGTGGAAGTAATCAAGGCGTCTGCATGCCGCCGGCCGCAGGTGAAACAGTTCCACAACAGCTCGATCCGCTTCCCTCTGCCCAAGCGCGTGCACCACTACAAGCGACTCAACACCTTCGCCTACAAGAGGCCAAGCACTTACTTCTTGTAATTTTATTGATAACAATAAATATTGTAAAAACCTAAAATTTCTTTTTATTTAGTCTAAAACATGTTAATGTTAAGAAGGAAAGTTAGCTATGCCTATTTGTGGGCTGGAAGTTCAATGCCAATCTGTTCCCGCATGTTTAAATTTATTTAAATTTTTATTTGTGAGGGAAGCAAGGGCAGCGCTTTCATCAAGATGTGATTAATTTCTGTAGGAAATATGCATATTATTTATACTATAGCTTACATCGTTATATAATAATTAATTGTAAAAAATATCCAGCCCCAAAAAAATAAAATTGTTTTTTTTTTATATCCTACCGATTCACGCCCGTCATTTTAGCGCGCTTGGCGTAACATTACAATAAACGAGTATAATAAAGCAATTTTGCACAAGCAAGTCGCCATTTTTTGCACTAAATTGGCAACACCGGCTGTTATTATAGACGGATATCACATCGGTTTGACCAAATGGCGTTACACTTCAACTACTTTGAACTTCCCACCTATATTTGCACTTTAATAATTATTTTCTTAATCAAAAAGAAATAAAAAATAATATTAATATAGGCTTAATTCAAAAGCTCCAAAGACAAAAAAAATATTCCACCCTTATTTAAATCACGTGCGTATATTCCCTTGGCATGATACGATTTTGTTACTTAGGCAGACGTAGTCTATCAGGTACAGAAAAAAAATTAGCTTTAATTTGATATATAAATGATGAATTTACGCGATGAACGTATAAACGTAACAAAATATGACCTGCATACACCTGGCTGAAAAGAGGTTGCGGCCAAGTGCGCAACGGCAGCTATCACTTTTCAAGATCTCTACGTATATTTATTTCTGTGAAGTGGAGTATAATTCATTTTAATAACAAATGCATCGTTTTTGTTCCAAAAAGTCGACTCTTATTTACTTAATTAAACATACTAGCGGGCACATTTTAATAGGCACCCCGGTCATAACATATTGTCCCTTTTATTATTGTATATAAAAATTGATTTTGATTAAATACGCTATGAACGTAGCAATCTTGCAGCCGGATCTCGATCCAATAAATTTGATTTTTTTTCTTTTCTAGGAGCTATTCTTGAAAAGCTTCAGAATAGACCTCTGTTGGAAAAATAAAAATAATTTTTTACTTACTGCACACCACTTCAAGCCGCCTCTTTTTCTAAGTTGTGCTTGAATAAAGTAAGAATTTCTTGTGCAATAACGTCATAACTGCTTAGTGGAAAGCAGCTTGTAATTAGTATTACGAATTATAACTTTGAGTAGGTAATAATTTTAAGGAAAGTTCGAACTAAGATAAGAGAGCGTAATACATAATAATATTTGTTTCTCATTTTCAATTGTATAAAAGCGGGAAAGTGTATAAAAGCGGTTCCGGGTTCCAAGCTACATCATTTGTAGGTACTCTCTAAATTCTTATGTTACACTGACAATGAAAGAAATAATAAATAATAATTAAAGGAAATCAAAAATAAAACAATAATCATTACAAGACAAAATATATTTACTAAAATTTAAAATTTACACAGAATGTAAAATAGAATACCAATGTTACTACAAATATAAAAATTGATCCCAAGTAACTTGGGAAATGGGCAGGAAGAAGAAAACTACATATACAAAAAAATTGAAACTTACTATCGAAAAATACAAACTACGTAACTTAAATTCATATGGACCTTAGATAATTATATCTCTTTAATCCCTCCACGACCGCGGACATGCCGGCGTTACAGTTAAAAATAGATTTCTTAGAAATTTAATTAATTTCTCAGAAACCTGGAGGTGTTAAAATGTATAAAAATGTGACCTGTAGAAGCACAGATGTTTTACTAATAGTAGGGGAGCCCAAGAGAGGATTTTGGAATTGAGTCAAGTGCGGCAGATTAGCATATAAACATACCTTGCACTCTGTTCAATACTTCCATCATTTATACGTCCTCTGTATAATGCTCTTTCCTCGCGCGTCTAGAGCAGCCGATCCAAATATTTAAAGAATATTTTGATAAGTTAGAAATACTTGAGCGCGTCATATTAAAGTGTGTTAGACTAATTACATGCTGAAAAGTGTGCTATTCAATCTGGCAATTTTCACAAAGCGAATAAACAAAAATCGACCATAAATGGGAGTGCAAAGTATCCTTATGTTAATCTGCCACGCTTGAGTAAATCCTAAAATCCCCTCTCGGGCTCCCCTACTATAAACCATACTTTAATCGAAGATTACATGTGGTTTTGGACTAACTGAATATTAACCTATCAGTCATTATTATACGTATACCACTAAAGGATACGTTAAGAGCCTTCACTTACTAGGAGTAAGAGTAACCCACAACCACGGTCGTAACGACCATCAAGTAAATGACGTGAAAACATTATTTTGTAGAGATGACACTTGACGATAACAGTATACAATATACGTTCTAATAAATATCGTCGAAGTAATAATGCATTTCTTAGATTTACACGAATAATTGACATTTTAAATAAAACTATCTTTACAATTTTTGTCGTGGTTTTATCGTTTATAACGAACCTCTTCTCTTCAGTGACCACGTTTGTTGTAAAACATTCGATACGTCCTGAACAAAAATCTAATAAAATAGTAACTTATCGAAATCTGTATATGAAATATTTTTTAAAAAACAATGATTGTAAGTAACGTATTGTGTATAGAATATAGACCTCAAAACAACAGTTATTGAAATTTTTGTATGTTTGTCTGTAGTCTTTGAGCATTTCACGCAAGAAGTAAAGGACCGATTGTAACTAACTTTCGAGTGATAACTTATTATTCGGGTCACCGCTGGCTAACCTTTTAAGAAATTTATATCAAAACTATGTACTAGAAAATTCTAGGTCTTAAAAAGACCTAAAAAAGTCAAGACGTTTAGACGACACGTTTGGCTCAGTTTGTAGTGACCCTACTTGTTGTGCCAGCGGTCGCGGGTTCGAGTCCCGCTGGGGGTATTCGTGTGATAAGCACGAATGTTTGTACTTCAGTCATGGGTGTTTATATATTTTATAATATGTATGTATTTAAATATAGGTGTAGTATGTCAACTGTATGGTATCCATAGCAGAAGCCTCGTAGATTACCATAGAACTAGATGGTGCTGTGTGTTAATGTCCCAACATTTATTTATTTATTTATTTATTATCTTTCCTTACAGCGACTGTGGTCGTGGTTACTGGTGGCAACTAATAGTGTACGAGTACTCTTAAAGCGTCGTCTCAATGAACAAATAAGCACTAAGGCGACGACATGTACAGTAACTATAAACTATTTTTTTTTAATTTGGAACTGTCACTTCTATATAAGTAAACCTATTAAATTATTTACTAATACACATAAAGTTTATTTCTAATTTTAAGGAAAAAGTTTAATTTTAAAAATCTTAAAATATGTTTGGATTTTCTTCTATATAATATGGATATATGGGAGGTTAGTATGTTAGTACCATTTTAAGTAATAGGGAATATGCGTGTGATTTAAATAAAGGTGATATTTTTTATAATCTTTATTTATTACTTTTGAATTAAGCGTATATTAATATTTTTATATAATTTCTTTTTGATTCAGAAAATAATTATTAAAAAGTGCAATATAGGTGGGAAATTCAAAGTAGTTTTTTTTTTTTTTTTTTTTATGGGACTAAGGGGGCAAACGGGCAGGAGGCTCACCTGATGAAAAGTGATCACCGCCGCCCATGGACATCTGCAATACCGCAGGGCTTGCAGACGCGTTGCCGGCCTTTAAGAAAGGAATACGCTCTCTTCTTGAAGGTGGCCAGGTCGTAGCGGTTCGGAAAGACCGCCGGCGATAGCTGGTTCCACAGAGTGGTTGTGCGGGGCAGAAAATGCCTTAAAAATCGCACTGTTGTGGAACGCTGGACATCGAGATGGTGTGGATGGAATTTACTATTTTGGCGCGATGTCCGATGGTGAAATTCAGCAGCCGGGATCAGTCCGAACAATTCCTCGGAACACTCCCCGTGATAGATGCGGTAGAAGATGCAGAGTGATCCAACATCTCTACGCAGAGCTAAAGGATCAAGCCGATCGGAGAGAGCTTGATCGTCGATAACTCGAATCGCCCTACGTTGAATGCGGTCAAATGGAAGTAGCTGGTACTGGGGAGCTCCCGCCCAAAGATGAGAACAGTACTCCATGTGGGGCCGAATTTGCGCCTTATAAAGAATAAGACGCTGACGCGACGTGAAGTACTGTCTCGCCTTGCTGAGCACACCAAGCTTCTTTGAGGCCAGTTTGGCCTTACCTTCCAATTGACCACGGAACTGGACGTTGCTCGAGATGTCGACGCCAAGTATTCCGATACTGGCTGTGGGAGACAGAGGAGTGTCCTCAAATTGAGGAGCTACGATAAATGGCGACTTTTTAGCGGTTAACGCGCAAACTTGTGTCTTTTTGGGGTTGAATTGGACTAAGTTTAGTCGACCCCAATCCGAGACTTTGGTTAACAGAGATTCGACTTCAGACACAAGTTTGTTCCGGCTCTCGTCGACGTATTCCCGAGAAATATTAGCGCGGCCAGTGTACAGCGCATCCACAGTGCTATCGTCTGCATAGCAATGAATGTTGCTAATTTGCAACATGTCATTGATATGCAGAAGGAACAGAGTAGGAGACAGTACACAGCCTTGTGGAACACCAGCATTGACATATTTAGGATCAGAGCAAGCACCGTCGACAACGACCTTAATGCTCCGATCTGCCAAAAAGCTGGTGATCCAGTTGCAAAATTTCTCGGGGAGCCCATAGGAAGGTAGCTTCGAAAGAAGCGCTTTGTGCCATACCCGATCAAAGGCCTTCGCTATGTCCAGACTGGCTGCAAGCGCCTCCCCCTTGGTCTCAACTGCTTCTGCCCATCTATGTGTCAGGTAAATTAGAAGATCACCGGCTGAGCGACCTCGACGGAAGCCGTACTGGCGGTCGCTAATCAGCCGATGCTCTTCTAGGTACCGCAGGAGCTGGCAGTTGATAACGGACTCCATTATCTTAGAGAACAAGGAGGTAATGGCTATAGGCCTGTAATTGGACGGATCCGAGCGGTTGCCCTTTTTGGGATCGGGTGCACTGAAGCGGCCTTCCAGGATTTCGGGACTACGCCTGATGAATAGGAGTACCGGAAAAGACGCGTTAAGACCGGTGCCAACTCCGGAGCACATGTCTTCAACACGATCGGAGGGATGCCATCGGGCCCACTCGACTTATGAATGTCCAAGGAAAGAAGTGCTTTGCGAACTGCACTTTGCCGGAACTGAACTTCCGGCATCGTAGTATCACACCGCGGGATTATCGGTGGTGAGTTTCCTTGGTCAGTCAGAGTTGAAACGCAACGCCATTTGTCAGACCGAATGTGACGTGAAATCTATAATAACACAGCCAGTGCTGCCCATTTAGCGCAAAAAATTTTTTTCGCTTTTGTGGTCATCAGTTAGTCGTTAAATTTAGCGACTAAATCGCCAAATTGGAATCACTGGCTGTTATTAAAGACTAGAGTCTATGACATTACGCCAAGCGCGCTAAAATGACGGACGTTTAAAGCATCCGTATCAGTATGATATTTAAAAAAATATTTATACTAAATTTTAGGTTTTTGGACCTGGATATTTTTTTTACAATAATATAACGATGTAAGCTATTGCATAAAAAATAAAAAAAATCACGCATATTCCCTATTCATGGATATTTTAAGGTAAATATTTTGTTAGATACAATTGTTATTAAGACTATGATAATCCATCAATTATATTGATAGGTATTAGGTTCTTACATATTATAAAATTGGCGTTTTGTTGAATTATCATGACATGTTCATATCTCAATGTCATGTTCATTCATTGTTCATTTAAATATTTCATACATGATGTATTTCATTTCCTATAAAACTTTCATAGCCGAAATTAAACCGTAAGCAAAATGATAAATTTTTGTTTAAATTGGTACAGACGCCATAAAATATTATTAACCTAGTTTTGTGAATATATTATCACCATGCTTCGCAAAGTCGAATTATTTAAATTTCTCTATGAAAAAGAGATTCTTATATTTTAAAGATACATATTATAGGAATAACACTTAAATATTTCGAACTAATAAAATATATTAATAAAAGCATTGATGACTTTACAATTCATCATATTTTTAAATTCATACTCAGTAAATTCAAATTTATCTCAAAAAATCAAGGATTTAGTATACATGTGCACTAAATTTCCCAGCCGTTTTAACACGAAGAAGTAACATGGACACATACAAACTATTGCATTTATAATAGTAGTCACTACATATACGTATATCTTATCTTTTATTTTGTATTTTACTTTGATCAAACAGTAATTCAGACAGCTTATCCTAATGACATAAGGTTACCTGAAAATGGATTTTTTCAAAATAAAGAATTGACAAATTTCGTATGGGAACTTCAATTTTGTGTAAATAAAAGTAAATTTATACCTTATATAATATAAATATAGTTTAAGCGGCCAATATTTTAAGAGCTAATTTGGCTGCAGCTCGTTTCGCTTGCGACTTGTTCGACCCGACGCCATACGCCGTGTGTTGCTTGCTATCCTTCGTGAATGTTACCGGCACCATCACTTTTGGTACAGCAGTTTTGGTCATAAAGGGATCACTGAAACATTCATTCAAAGATTTACAAATAAGAAAATAATAACTTATTGAAATTCGAAGTAGCATTAACGATTAAGTCACTAAAGGTTTCACTCTTGGAAGATTTTTCTTATTTGTATGAAACCATATTTTTTTCTTATTTCATCGTAGCGGCTATAGGATGTACATATATAACATATGCAAAAGTAGTAAAAATAATCTTCTTTATGTAGAGTATGAATCATTTAAATAGGAATATTCGTCAGCACAAGCGCGTGCGCTCTTGTGAGAAATGGCGCGCGCGTCGCGTGATCGATAGATAACATGTTACGTTCTTTCCCATTGCTTACTGCTTTAGGCAGAGGCCGCACTACGGTTTTTTCCTGCGAGCGGTCAGCCGCTATAACCGCGAAATCGCTCGAGAAGCACACCCTACGATTAATAATCGCGAAACCGCTCGCGATTTTCACAGGTAAAGATGGATTTCAAGAGAGCAAGTATGTATTGTTGCTTTATTACTAAGAAATAAAAAAAAGACGCCAACGCAAATTTAACAAATATTGGGTCCATCCACTCCCTAGCCGTAGATTTAAGAAAGGTTTTTTTTCATAAGAAATAATTTAAGAGAAGCATCCTGAGAAAGTTTTACACAATTTTTTTTAAATTATTTTTTTAATACTATCGGCAATCTGCCAAATACTGACCAAAAAACCGCGCGCGGTTAACGCGGTAGTGTGTGCGCGAGAAAGTTGGTAGTTTATTTATATCTACCGACCATGGTTTATAATCTCTTTTCTAAAGCCCACATACTTTAAATGAATAGGTTTTGTATAATCTTTATTAATATGTACGTACGTACGTACGTATGTACCATTTGCTACACTACACAGAAGTCCACAGTCCGGTGAGTGCCACATACCACCTGTATGTACGCAGGTTATATGCGTAAACACATTTCCCAAAGTACAAAAATAATAATAGTAAAAGCGTTAGCCAAACATACCCAAAACTGGGACAATGGTGTATCATCTCCATGAGCACCCTGACCGGCTGCTTGGGGATGCACATTGAGAACAAGCTGATCTCCTTGTGCATGATTCTATATATCATGGACCACACCACGTCCAGATCCCCGCCCGTGTCTAGGTATACTGCCGCTACTAGTGCTTCGAATATATCGCTGAGGCACTGGAAATATCTGACTATTAAATAAACCCTCGGACTCTATCTGTATAAATGTTATAAATGTGAAAGTTTGTGAGTATGTATGGATGTTTGTTACTCTTTCACGCCAGAACGGCTGAACGGATCTGGATGAAATTTGGCAAAGAGATAGATTATAGTCTGGAATAACACATAAGCTACTTTTTTCTCGTAAAAATATACGGTTCCCGAGGGATAGATTTGTTTTTGATTTACATTTAAATTATTGGAATATAAAATACTATTCGTTCTTGAGTGACTGAGTAACAAACATCTAAACTTTTACTTTTACAATGGCAATAAGATTACTTTAGATGAATACCAGTGAATGTATTTAATACCATTTACAGAAGCAAAAACTTAAAAAAAATAAATAAAACCGACTTCCAGGCACTAAAATGTAAAAAAAAAACTAAACGGGGGTTTTCATTTAGAATAGATACCTAATCAGATATTTTCGAAGTCGGTGCCAGCCGACTACTATATTTTTATACGTAAAATACATATTTACCTATTAGATATTCATGTCTTAAAATATTGTTCGCTGGCACCGACTTCGAAAATATCTGATTAGGTATTCTAAATGAAAACCCCCGTTTAGTTATTTTTTACATTTTAGTGCCTGGAAGTCGGTTTTTTTTAAAGTGTTTATTTTTATATTTTTAGTGTAGACGTAATAAGCAGGTAATTTGTAGGAAGAAAGTTTTTAATAACATATTCAATTAAACAATCTGTTTAAAAAAATCTTTATTCTTGATTTTTTTTAAAACCGCTAGACCGATTTCGATAAAATTTATATGGGACCACCTGGGAAGTAAACCCTTTCAAACAAAATAAAAATTTTCCAAATCGGTTCAGGCGTCTTCGAGTAATCGGTGAACATACATAAAAAAAAAGATTCCGACGAATTGAGAACTTCCTGGTTTTTTTGGAAGTCAGTTAAAAAGTAATCGTGAACTAGTATTTATTATTTATGTGACTCACCTTAGGCACGTCGATGTACTGAGCAATGTTACAATCTTCCTCTTCTATGAGATACAGTACTTCTTCCACAATCTCATGTTCCCTCTCCTCTTGGTGTTCTACAAATGTTTTTATTGCGTTTTCAAGTCCTGCGTTTATTTGAGAACATAAGAACCTGAAAGATTTTATAATAACATTTAATAACAGACCAATTGATTGGACAAGAAGATATTAAAGTATGGAAATAAATAATTTATATTTTATTATAGTCAATTTCCTGCGTTTATTTGGGAACATAAGAACCTGAAACATTTCATAAAGCATTTAATAACGGACTAATTGATTGGACAAGATTTTAAAGTACAGAAATAAATAATTTATACTTTATTATAGTTAATTTCCCGTGTTGTTATTGTTCATTATTTGCAGAAAAGCAATTCCATCTTATACTTATAATATTTATTATTAGTGCATGTTTATAAAACAGTGTTATTAAATTGTATGTGAAAAATATTCCATGTTACATTTCTTTAAGAAGGTTAAGTGGATTAAAGCGTCAAGCCGAATCTCCTACCTTAAACTATAAAATTAACAGGTCGCAAAAAAAATTATAATAATTGACGCTTAAAAACGTAATCTACTATACAGTATGTATGTGTACACGCTTGGTCTACTAATTCTTTTAGCACATACTAATGCTGAGTAATGATCTGTCTCTCTCTCTCTCTCTCTGGCTCTATCTTTATTATTTCAAACTATACAGAAAAATTTAATTGATGTGACTGTTTGTAATGTTGAAATAAAAGCTTTTTACTAAATGCATATAAAATTATATACGGTAATTATAAGAAAAAAAATCAATTTTTAAATTTTTTGTCTGTTTGTTCCGGCTAACCTCCGAAACGGCCGGACTGATTTTGACGGGACTTTCGCTGGCGATTTAGATAGCGGATGTTATAAGGAGTAATTTAGGCTACTATATTTTTAGAAAAAAAAATTAAGGTTCCGCTGAAAAAAATCTTTCTCTCAATAATGTAAATGTAATATGTATGTATGTAAATATGTATGTATCTAAATACGTATGTATGTATGTTTATATATGTGTATATTTATATTATAATTGATGTTTGTAGTTTGTACCGCACCGCACCACATATTATTTTTATATTTTCTCACGCATGAGGGTTTCTGGTAGAGATCTCTTAAAGAGATTAGTCATTCTTTGTGCGCATGGTATTTGTTTTCACTTTTATGTTTTTTTTCTGGTACATAAATAAATAAATATTATTTTAAATAGACCCCATGACTCACTTGTGCAATCCCAACTTGACAACATACGACGCGATGGTAACATTGTTCACAAGAGACGACCGCAAGTCGGTGAGATCGCCGGGCGACATGTTGTGGGAATTTTCGAAAATGTGCGATGTTATGAGGAAATCCAAGATAGCGTCACCTAAAAATTCGAGACGCTCGTACGATCTCGTGTGACGGTTGCGGATATACGACGCGTGAGATAATGCCTGTAAATAATGCTAAATATTTAAATGCCCTTCAGAATGATTTTCGGTCAGAACGGCCGGTTTCACTGAAACTTCTCATTCACGCAAGATATACTATAGTTATAACTGCCTCGGTGGTGTAGTGGCTAGCATGTACGGCTGCACACCCGGAGGTCCTGGGTTCGAGTCCCGGGTCGGGCCAATTTAGTTATTGAGTCTTTCTGTATAGTAAGCCTCAGTAACAGCCCGGAGTTGGGAAGTTGGCAGTGTTTCACCCCTGTGCCTCGGAGAGCACGTAAAGCCGTCGGTCCTACGACTTAACTCTCACTGGTCATGTCAAGCAGTCGTCCTACCAGAGTATAAGAGTGACAGGAAAAGAGAGTGCACTTGTGTCTGCGCGTACACTTGTGCACTATAGTATCTCCTGCGCAGTTGGATAGTCTCCAATGAGATTGGCCGCCGTGGCCGGAATCGGTCAGGAGAACATCATCATCACTATAGTTCAAGTACGCGCGTGACTAAAAATAATTATTTAGTCGGACGTTTTCGTAACTCGTCAAAACAGGAACATAGGTGATGTGAAACGTTCTCTCAAAGACACGGGAGTGTAAATATACCAATATCCCAACTCTGGGCTGCTAATACTAAAACCAACTTAAGATTCAAACTCGAGACTGCCGCACATGGTTGCCGCTTAGCTAACGATAGTCATACATGTAACAACTAACAATACATGCCGGTTTGTGTGATGAATATATTTTTTACCATTTAAAATTTAATTATCATATATTGCCATTGATGATAAGCATGCACATATTTGATATAACTTTTTAAATTATCGCGTTTCATAATTATATAATAATTACACTACGGGACTTAACGCGTGAATTCGTAAGTGGCTATATAATCTCCGATCGTAGCAGGGGCTGCTTTACACCGCCATTATTACACATATTTGATTTCAGAGATTAATTTATAAACAATATCGACGCGTGTTATTTTCATGTATGAAATGCGCTAAATTTTTATATTGAGAAAGCATTTTTGTTACGCTTGAGCTATTCATGTGGAAAGCATGAAAACAGGTACGATTAAATAATTTTTGTTACATTAGTGTTATTTTTTATATAAACAAAATACCTCTAATAAAAGTGATGGATCCTTAAACTTGTATTTGATAATTTTCTCAACATCCGCGCGACTGTTGTATAGAAGCCAGTCAATTTCGTTCTCAGTGACCTTCTTTTCGGTCAGGACCGTGTCGACTTTCTTATGGAGAAGTTGTTTGAAATTAACCTAGAAAATCAGACAGTACATTCCAAATTCATAATTAATATACAGGTAAGACGATTGATCATTATTACATGATAATTAATGATTAATAATTGAAACTTTCAATTAATCTATACTTCCGGTAATATATTTACATCAAATTTCTTTATTCCTATTACATCGATACTATATTCATAAAATTAACATAATATAACCTACAGATATAATGTAACCTATTCAAACTCTAAACTTAAAATTGTTTTTGAAATGTAATAAAAACTGTGTTTTTCTGTTTACATCCGTGCGTGTATTTATTATATCAGACGTGAGTCAATTCTTATTTAGATTTTAAGAGGACTTTTTATTAAACAAATAATGGTATGATCCAAGTTAGATTATATTATGTTTATTTACAATAAAAAATATAAACATACCTCTGGAGGTATTATTCGCATCCATTGTAGGAATCCAACAGCTGCCGATATACCGCCACTCATCAGGTAAGTGCCAATAAGGGCTTCCACGCAGTCTGCTACTGACTACAAACCGAATAGCAAAAAAAAAAGATCAAGTATAGGTATAGTACAAACTACAAACAAATAATGCATGATTTTAATCGTTCAAATATTTATCAAAACAATTATATGCTCCGCTTACTATTTTAAATAAACATTAACTTATTTAATCATCACGTTATATTTACTAGATGGAAATATTCTATACAGTCGTATACAATGTAGACTGGACCTAAAATCAAATCTGTTTGCCGAGCATCTTTCAAAAATAACAGCTATCCCAAACGACGACGATCTTAAAAGTTAATGACAATAGATTTGGAGATATTGATTGTTGATATACAGTCCGTCCATAATAGCCATCAAACAGATCTACCGACAAAGTCAACAATGACTTGCGAGATACATACATAATACTTACATAATACATAATAGATACAGATAAAAACTGTCAAGGATAAAATAGCGCTAGTTTAGATTTAATTACTAAGTACGGATTATCTTCTTGGCTACTATCCAGTATTTACCCGAGAAAGAAATAATGTTCCTCATAAGTATTTTAAATGATATTATACAAATACATGGAATATGTTATCCTAATAGTTTTTAATGAAGGAAAATATCTATGATGCAGTATTGTATTATCGCGTAATCAGTTTATTATCTATTCTTATTAAAATATAGCAAAAAACAAAGGTACATAGAATAATACATGAACTTATAATTAAGTAGCGAGTCAACCTCGCTTCGCATCGGGTTCGTTAATAGACAAAAACAAATCTACCCCACGGGAACTGTACATTTTCCGGTATAAAAAGAAACCTACGTGGTACGTACTATTCCAGACTATAACCTATTTCTGTGTCAAATTTCATCCAAATCCGTTCAGCCGTTGTGGCTTGATTAACAAACATCCGTCTATTCAAACTTTTGTATTTATATAGTAGTAAGATAAGTCCATTATACTCACCTGTGTTTGGCAAATGAACATTATTATATAGTTGGTTCATTATGATGGTAAAAACCACTAACATTATCGCTTGTTAAGGAAAATAAGCCCGTAAATAATAATAACTACTTGACACATGTTTTTGTATAAAAACTTCTGATTCTATAAGGAACTAATATCTTAGTACCTATATCGATTAATCTCCATTGTGCCTCTTTAATATTAGTTAAGTAACTAGGAACTACTACAAAATAAAGAGGATTGAATAGAAGTTGAAGATATCAAAAACCTAAGCAATTATCATCTTTTTAAAACTGAAATCCGTTATAATGTCGATTAAACGGCATTGTGACATATTAGAAGTACATCATCTTATTACAAAAACAAATAGTCATCGTTGCAACATAAAGTACCATACTCAGTAAAGTATTGGCGACACATTATTTGTGCACAACCAACAAAGTCTTCTAGACCTAATTTCGGTCCCTTCAGCTTTGTACATATTTTCTTTTCCTTCTAGAATAAAAGTCCGGTGAAACGATAATCTGATTATCTGATATATAGATACAGGGCAATCATCTTACACCCAAACCGTTCCTACATATTATTTGCCATTAAACAAAAAATCATTCATTTATGCAATCACAAAACTCATTTTCAAATCAACTAGCTTCCACGTATATTTCATAAAAATATTATAAAGAGGTAGTTTGTGAATTGTGAGTTTGTGACGTTGTAGGGTGTAATCTCCGGATCTCCTAAATCGATTTAGATGAAATTTGGTAAGAAGATAGTTTGAGACCCTGGGTAGCACATAGGATACTTTTTATCTCAGAAATCATCCCTCAAGGGGGTGAAAATGGGGATGAAAGTTTGTATGGGAAATCATCCTAGGGACGAACCCGAGCGAAACGAGGGTGAGTCGCTAGTATTTCATATATGTATATTTAGTGGATATAATTATATGTACTATAGGGTAATATAGGGACCTTGCGTCTTACTTTTACGCAAACTAGTGGCAAACACTTGAATTCATTTAAATCAATTTTCAATAATGACAGCGTCAAGAAAAAAATGTTGTTTTTTAATTTGATTACACTAAGTATTTTTAAAAGTAAAATGAATAAAATAAATTAGACTTTACCTTATCTGAAACGGCTTGCGCGCGCACATAGCATTGCATGGCATTTTGTGCTTTTCCATCAGGCTCTGTTTCTGCCGTGCTATCGCTTTCGGCGTATTGTTGCTGGATCATAGCTCGGCTTTCAGTAGACAGTTTGCCACTTAGTGCGTCAGATAATGGAAACTGTATACCGATCAAGAAAGTTGGCCGGATCTGCGTGAGAAGATAATAATATTATATATCAAGAGATCATTATTTTTGTTGTAATGCACGAGATCGGGGTCTGTATGTTGATTATCCATTTTCGTATTAGTAGTTTTTTTTTTCGAATGATGTATTTTGTATAGATCTACACTCGCGTGCAACTGAATCGACTCAAGCCGTATATTGGTATATAAGTTTGATTTTTCGGAAAATGGCTTATCCGATTTTTGTAAAAGTTTTTTTATTCGAAAGACATATATTTTTTTTCATAAATATAGCAATTTTCAAATAAATAATGATAATTTTTTTTTAATAAATACTGTCAAACATGAGCGTTACAGAAATTACTCGTTGCGGTACCCACGAGTTGCGAGACTAAATCATGTATAAAAGCTCACGTGACCCATATTTCTTATCAGTCACTCGTCAGTCGTTGACAGGTACACATCTCCTTAAGCTCCCAGTATTTTAATCGCGATCCAATGGACACTACTTCAGAAGCAGCGACCCAAGTTGTAGCTTTGTTGCAAGCGGGCCATAATCAACGGCAAGTCGCTCGTGAACTTAACATGAGCCAATCAGCTGTTTCACGAGTATACAGAAGGTTTCAAGAGACTGGTGGCTTCGTTCGGAGACCACAAACCAATAGACACCGGAGCACATCTGAGACGGACGACCGCTTCATTGTCTCAACTTCGTTGAGAAATCGTTATCTCACGGGCGTTATCATCGATGTATATTAAAATGTTAACATTCCATTACAATTTACAAAAATTATAATTATTAAATTATGTAGATATAATATAGTTCCTATAATAGAACATGTTTCGTTATTAATATAAAAAATGGACAATAAGTAAACATAAAATTGCAAATAATATGTAATGACCGAATTCGGCCATGGCGGACAGTCTCATTGAGACTAGCCATTTGAGCAGGAGATATTATAGTGCACAAGTGTACGCGCAGACACAAGTGCACTCTCTATTTCTGTTACTCTCATACATACATTCATACATCCGGTGGGACGACACGAGACACGATCGGCGAGAGTTAAGGCGCAGTACCGACAGCTTTACGTGCTCTCCGAGGCGCGAAGGTGAAACACCGCCGACTTCTCAACTCCGGGCTGTTACTAAGACTTTCTAAACAGAAAGACTCAATAACTAAACTTAGCTCGACCCGGGACTCGAACCCAGGATCTCTCGATGTGCCGGCTGCACATCTTATATATATACTTGCTAGGCACTAAACCACCGAGGCAGTTATTCAAATATGTAACCAGCGTTGGGTTGTAAAAAGTTAAAAGGAGGTCATCATGTTAATAATGCTATAGCAAATAAGTACATACATCGAAATTTACGTAGCAGTTTTTACATTCTAAGTTTATATTAAAATCTGCATTAGCTTCGAAAATGCATCAAGTGTCAAGTCCGGTTTTTTTGGGATATAAGGAATCTTAAATTGGTGAGATATTAACATTATAATTCTAGTTCTGTATACATAACTGTTATATATAACAGGGATTTTGAAATTATATGTATGATGACAGAGTAAGAGTTTTTTTTGATCGTGAGACCATATCACAAACAAAAATACAGGTGGATCTACTTTCGCGTATTATTAATAACTTCACGGCATGCTTGTGACTTACTTCGTTAAAAAAGCTTAATTACCGAAATGTGTCGGTGAGAATTTACTATATAATTGTAAAAAGTGTATGTATTTAGCATACATACACTTTTTAAAAGAAAAAATAAAATAAAAGTGGGCATCCAATAAGGAGAAACGTATTGTCGGGGATAAAGAAAAGGTCCTTATCCCCGAAAATACTTAAGTTTCATATTCTATCTCATTCATTTGACTGTATTATTTGATAATGATATACATATGAATTGTTTCGATAGATTTATAGATCATGTGTCATAACTCTTAAACTAAACTTAAAACTTGTAAAACGATTAAGAACAGGTTTAGAAAGCACATTTAAGAAACGTTAAAATGAACAGAAAATCATCATAACATAGTATATTAGTGTATTTGGTATTAAATAAACTTGTATATATAGTTACGTTGTTTGATTGATTTTAACTAGGTAATACGCCGGAACTCACGGATACGATTGACCACGAACATGGATTTTACATATTTGTATTGGTGAATACAGAGGTAAAGTAATTGTGGAAATGTGTCGAATATTGTATGTAAATAGGCAGTTCATATTTTTCAACAAAAAACAACAATCAAAAATTAAATCCAAACAAAGTTCGTTTGATTGCTAAATAGAATAATAATAGGTGACTATAAAACTATAATGACTTTTTAACAAAAAATAACACCGACTTCAAAATACGTAGTTTATAATAAGTGTAAATGTAATACATATAGTAGTAGCGATCTGGGTATACACTATACAGGCATTACTTTAAGATTAGCTTTCCAAGTTCATAAAATTACTTGTCTTAAGATGTAGAATAGGTAAGTATTCCAAAATCTTTTATACCATGTCAATTAATTCCACGTGCGCTAATCCACGAGCAACAGCAAGTATTCATGTGAATACTCAATAGAGAATAAAAAGTCAATGACTTTTGAATGTTGAAGGCTCAGAAATACCAATCATAACTTAACGAAGTAGGTATTGGATAATATTTCAATGAGACGATCATTTCATGTATAAAAAATAATCGAGATAATTTTTCTTTTCATGATAATCAAGGATAAAATCATAATTATTTGCATAGGTATCAGAATTAGAAGTGAATAATACCTGCATCACGCATGCCAAAAACAAACATAACAAATAACTGCAATAAGTTACAAGTCTAAAACATATCGGTCGTTGATGGGTACTACTATTATTTTCATACAATAATTAATGTGGGTACTCTAGCGTTTCTATCCTCTATGTCCAAAACGTACAAGGTCGAGGCCGAATTATGTTTGCGGATAGGCCGTAGACGCCGCTACTTCTAGTACTCACGCCAATACACTCTTCAATCCGCAATTTCGGCTCGGAACGCCGGCGCTTGCGCACGTGTATTATCGGAGTGTGTTTTATGTCAAAGAATGTCTTAATTTTTATTTGGAAGTGAGAAAGTGTTAATTTACTCTTTAGAACTTTCATATTCGTTTCTAAGGTATAACTATTACATTTTTTTTCTTTTTTACAGGACATAGTGTTGTTAATGTGTATTGTTCATGTTATTCTACTTATTTAACACATTGTCGAGATGAGTCTTAAGTGAAAGTTTTCGCGACATTTCGTTGTGACCCAATTCGATCGATTGTCGTTCCTTTACTCTTATTGCTTTTCCTTTAAAATGTAAAAGAATTTGAAACACGTATACACCTGACATGTACTTTTTCAAAAATGTATTCTTACAGTACAACAGTATTGTATTATATTAAGTTATTGTTATTAATTATTTAAAAATTATTTCGTCTTATATCGAAGAAAGTATAAAATGTGCATCTTTAAATATGTGCAATGTTAAGGTATTTTCATATTTTAATTTTTATGTATTACTTATTATAAAAAATTAGAAATATGTACATATGTAAATAAGACAGTTGGCTCTCGCTTTTTAATAGACAAAGCCGATAACGTTATTCGCGCTGTTTATTTGCGAAAGCCGGCATAGTTCTAGTCTCTCAAGCCGATCGTGCTAACTCATGTGAGACATTGATAATTTTTATATGTATACACCACAATGATAATTGTAGTCAAGTGACGATCATTCCTTCATTATTGCATTCAACTAATCATAAATTTCTCATAAATAAATCTTAGAAATTTCAAGTTAATCTGAGAAATATTTCTTTTTTTTATGTTTTCCTTGTAATAAAAGCGAACGATTGCTACAGCTGTAATGTGTAGAATTGTTATACAAATTATTACTGTTGGATTATAAATCAATGACATTTTTATAGTACAGGTAACGATCCTTAAGGGAATCGTTCCACTTCCATAAGTGTGTTGTACTGTATAAATTATAAAATACCGAATTTACGATAAAATTAAACTACTTTTTTATTCGTAAACTCGACGTTTCAAACACTTTGCAGTGCGTATTGTGTGGAACGAACTGACCTATTTATTACATTATAACATTTACAAAGTCTTTCGAATGTAGAGTTCAATAAAATTTGGTTACTTGTTTTTTTCGAACAGTTGTGTTTTTAATATACGAGACACAAAATCTAGGTGAAATACTGTTTATAGTTCGTCTTGACGTCTGTAAAGGTTTATTTATATATAACTAATGCATTAACCGATATAAATGCCTTGTGCCTAAATGCTATTTTTTTATTATATTTATAGGTTTTATATACTATTTAATAAATGAATCTTTCACTAATATTGTAAATGTGAAAGTTGTGTATCACCTACCACCTGTGTGTGTTACCTACTTCATAATTTTGAACCGACTTCAAAAAGGAGGAGGCTTTCAATTCAGCTGTATTTTTTTAATGTTTGTTACCTCAGAACTCCGTCGTTTATTAACCGATTTGGACAATTTTTGTTATGTTGGAAAGTGTATACTTTCAGTTTGGTCCCATTTAAATTTGAAAAAAAAAATACCACCCCTAAGGATCGAAAAACCTCTAATTTTAATCTAAGTATTTCTAATTGTCATATTGACTTGAAACTTTGAAAGTGTTTTGTATTGCCGTTTATAATGTAGTAATTCGTTATCGTTGACCTGATCTGATGGTAAGGCCAGAAGGTGGATAGGTGGAACTCTTCAACGGCTAATAGTAGATACTTTGAGTTTGGGCTCATTTTGTTTGGTTTGACAAACCTAATACGTTAGAATTGGATTTTAGAGCCTGATGTTTAGTTTTAATACTAAAAGTGAATTTTTTTCGTCAGTATTCATATAAAAATTGACATCAAACTAACTTAAGCGGCATAAGCGAATATTTTATTAAAATACTTTCTTCTTACTTTGCTACAAAAAAATAAAAACTTTAAAAAACCGATCTAAAAAAAACACTAAGACGTAAATAATAAGTGATAGGTAGTTTTCATTTACATATAATAAAGCACACCGACTTCGAACATGTCTGATTAGATATCTGTATAAATGAAAACTACCAATCAGTATTTTTTACTTTTTTTTTGTAAATTCGATACAACTTGGCATGTCATATGATTATGCAATTTTTATCCTGGAAAACAATTTTACATGCGGCTAAAGTAAAGTGGTTTTCAATGTTATCGTGAACAATGATAATTTTATTTATAAACATAGCAGAGAGTAAGTGCTTATTAATAATGCCATTATTGTTGATGTTCTTTATGTAATTACTATTTTATTTTATTATAATTACCTATTATATAATAGGTATTTTGTTATTCCTATTTTTATTGATACCTATTACATTTCTTTTAAAGAACAAATAATGTTCTAGATCATATTACCTAATAGGGTTCCTGCCCTATGGTAACAATCTCGTAAATTATGTCTTTTATAATATTTAATAAAGAATTAAAAGACGAAGAAAGAGAAATTGATGAATATTTTAAAAAGAAAGGGTGGGGCCTGGGGGGTATGTGGGAATTACTTTTAAGTTTACGTTTTTAGTTATAAAACATTACTGATTAGACTAGTTGATTACATATTTTTGATATAAAAATGGATTACGATCATAGTAATTATAATGTTTTATCAAAGTCGTTTCATAATATTTTATATTGATTAAAATTATCTACTTACAAATATGTAATAATTATACGCGTAAATATACTGAATGCACATTTTTGACAAACCTTTCTTTTTTTATAGGTCAAATTAAAAAAAACGATTTTGATATTTAATCAGTAATAAAAAAAATCGTTTTTGATAATGATATTAATACATAACATCAAGTACCTAATTGATAAATAATCTGTCAATGTTATATTAAATAACGATAATGGAAAATGAATGTGATAAATAATATATTAAGTATTATAAACACTTACTTTTGATGGAACTATACATATTATGTAGATTTATTAGATTGGTCGAATATTTTAGATGTTTAAACCACTTGCTTCGATCGTCGCAGTAGCGGCCATAGGAATCGGATTTGTAAATTACTACCTCAAAAGCGTTCCTGATATGCCCGTTTTAGATTTAGAACGATGGTGGGCCGATAGTGAAAAACCAGAACAAGAAGATGAGTCAATACGGCCATTTAAGATAGAATTCAATGACACGGTACCCAATATGTTATTTATTTAATTATAGTTATAAATAATAAAAAATTTTTTTAATAAAATCTGATAGCAAAGTATATTAATACATATAATTAAATGGCAACAGGACATAAAGTTGTACATACTCATAAAATATTTTTTAAATTGTATTTTAATTAAATTTTCCGAATTTTCGTCTGTTTGTTTGGACGCCCATGCTCAATCGAGTATTTTGTTTTTAAGACAATAAAATTTAACAATATGAGATATTTATATTGTTATATTTAAAACCAGAAAATCTAGCCTATTAAAAAAAGTTGTGAAAAATCTATTATTTTTGTGTATTTATATGTATATGTGATGTATATGTAAATACATGTTGACCTCATCTATTAAACAACGTAATTTTTTATATCGTTAAATATAAGTTTTGTAATTACATTGTGACCAAAAAATCTATCTCTCTACAGATGATCGAAGATCTGAAAAACAGATTAATAAACCGACGTCCCTATACTCCACCTTTGGACGGCATGAAATCTGAATATGGAATGAATACAATATATCTAGAGAAGATATTGAAGTATTGGTTGGAAAAATATAACTTCAAAGAGAGAGCTAAACGATTAAATCAATTTCCCCATTTTAAAACCAAAGTACAAGGTCTGGATATTCAATTTATAAGAGTAAAACCCGAAGTTACAGGGAAGAAAGTACTTCCTTTACTCATGTTACACGGATGGCCTAGTTCTTCCAAAGAATTCGATAAAGCAATACCTATGCTTACGACGCCGAGGGATGAATACGATTTCATATTCGAAGTAATTGCTGTTGATTTGCCGGGCTTTGGTTTTTCTGAGGTAATGTAATTAGTAATGTAATATTATTCGGTTACAAAATAAATGTGTTGTAACAATTATACACTGATGTGCTTTTAAAAATCCTCATTTTTCATGCCCAAAATAAGCCAAGCCATGAGTTGTCTTTGCGACAGTTACCAATATTTGCGAACGTTTTGTTTATCGTGAAATTAATGTTTAAGTAAAAATTTAATAAAGGCAACTATTGTAACTAATTGTATAAATGCGAAAATTTGCACGTTACATTTCACGTTCTAACTGATCTCGGTAAAACGTATAGTTAAATAACTTTCGTCTGTAGTCTAGGAAATTATGATATTTAACGATGTCTTACATTGCGGAAAAGAAGAATATTCGTGTTTCAGGATTAATTAGATAATCTCCTGTTGTAAATTAAAAAAATGCTTTTAAGAAACGTAAAAAATATTTAATTTGATAATAGATAATAATTGCACTCATTTAAAAATCTTTATTATTTGAAAGCCAATATAAATTTCAAGTAAATTATGGCAGATAAAGATGATTATACTTTTCTTGTAACATACAGATAACTGATAAGGCTCACAAATCCTGTATTTTGACCGATCTAAAACTATGCAGTGCATTATTTTTATCCTCATTTCATTCATTGTAATAGACATTTTATACTATTAACTAGTGCCTAACTTATGTAATTGTCCTTAAGCATATTTTAATTTAATTTGTTTCCTACATTTTTTAATTGCATAAATTTTTATTTTATTTAACACTAGCGACTTACCTCGCTCGCTTGGGTACCTAGTATGTTATACCATGGTAATATATGCATTACATTACCGTGGTTATACGTTGGGTACGTTTTATACGAGTATGTATTGAGATAAAAATAGTTATTGTGAGCGTACCTTAGAAGGTAGACTTTTCTGTAGGCCTTTTTAAGATCTACAATTTTCTAGTACATTGTTTTGATATATCTCGTAAGATTTACCCAGTGCATCGTTTGCAATATAAACGCCCAAAAACATGTTTTACATGACAACATTACAAATCTTTGAAATTATTGGCTTTTCTCAACTATAGCATGCATATATCAAAATCCGTTGCGTGGTTTAGAAGATACCGGAGAAACAGACAGACGAAAACAGCGACCTTGCTTTATACTATGTATAGAAATGAAAGCTACTCGTATTTGTTAAATAGTAGACAGTCTCTTTCTAAAATGGTAATATGACGACATCTATTAGAAGTTTCCCAAGAATTAATTTATCAATCACTGATAAATTTATTCGTGTGAAACCTTTAATAAATGCCGTTATGGGCACGACGCGACGCAAGATTTTAATTCTTTTGGTTTTTTTATGAAGTAAAAACATAACGATGATACATGAAATCCTAAAAAGTCGAGTCTTTGGAAGTAATCACTAAAAAAAAACTAATATAGAGGATTAATACCAGATTTCGCCGACGTCATTTAAGTTTAAGGGATCCCCTAAGCATGGTTAGGGGGCTGTTAGGGGGACAGTTTCTGTTTCACCGACAGTTAGGGGTCACCTAAATATTAAAAGGCCCCCTAAATTTAGGTGCTTGAAATATGGGCTTAAAGACGATCATAAAACGAAATTTAATTTAGGGGCTAGTTTAGGGGACTTTTAAGCTAGGGATCCCATACGTAGGTGGCTTATGGGTTGTTGGTGAAATCGGGCAAAAATCAACAAATAACAATAGTGAATGTTTACTTAGATTGTGGGTTCGATTCTGCTCGAGTCTAATATCCATTTCGGAAATACACACATTTTTGTTTAGAATTGTATGTAACATTATGAACCACTATTCCATTAATGGACACTAAAATAGGGTCGAAAATGTGGCTTTTCGGTTTTAACAATAGCTAATATATTTATTTAGTAAATAACTATAAAACTGTTGTCTATATGTTATGTTTATTAATAATAAGCCCTTGCTTGCGATTGATTGATTGTTTGATAGACATTGACTTAAGATTGTTATAATGATTACCTACATAATTACAGGGCACTAATAAACCCGGACTTAATCCAGTGCAAATAGGAATAATCATGCGTAATTTGATGAGAAGACTCGGTTTTAATAAATTTTACATACAAGCTGGCGACTGGGGATCTCAGGCTGCTACACATATGACTACAATGTTCCCAGATGAGATATTAGGGTAAGGTAAAGTCCAGTATACATGTTATAAACTTTTTCTCTTTATATTAATTAATCTTAGAAATTAGTGAAATAACTTTGACTTTTCTGGGAAATAAATTTATTTATTTCTTTATTAGCGATATAGGATTAATTTACTTTTAATACGTCGATTAGGATTTATTATTTTGTATTTGAAAACAAGACAAAAATTAATTTTCGTTAGCAAAATTAAATGGAATTAATAAAATATAAAAATACAAAAAAACTATAAATTTTTATATTTCTGTTAATGGATGGCCAGCACTAATTGAGCACTAAATTAATGCTAAATTGATTTGACTCTATTGTGCGGTTAGCGTATTAGTCGGTAACACTGCTAGTTTAACTAAAAGCTGCCAAAATATAAGAGTATAAAATTTTAGCTTTTGGCACTAAATGAGCACTAATTTATGCACTTAGTTTTAAGTGATTCTGCTCACTTTGCCTTTCTAGCTTTCCATACGTCGCCAGCTAAGTGATCGTTACAAAAGTGTAAAAATATTATTGGCTTTCATTTTTACCTTAAAAGAATGTTATATTATTTAATTGCGAAAGCCATTACACTAAGTTTAATACACATTCCTAATGATTATAGAAATGTTTACGGCAATACATATTATCAAATTACAATTTTTCTTACAGAATAAAATAATTATATCAACGATTTTAATCTATGTACACAGCTTTTATTCTATACGATTCCCCGAGACCATTTCTTTTCGGAAACTTTAAAAACGACATAACGCAAGGTTGTTTTGTTTAAAAATTAACTTTATGCGATGTTTGTAAGTTCGAATTTGTGTTTCGACAATCAGAACTTACAATTTTTGGTTTGACTTAACGTCATATTTCAACGCCACTTTTTATTTGCATTTCTCACTTAATCTAGATCAAAAACCAATACGTATATAAGAAAAATGAAGTATCATGTGCTAGACCGATCTGGCATTTTTTTTTAAATATTTGTGATATTCCTAGTCCTGCGAGTAACGTTTTGAGAGAAAAAAAATTGTAAGAATTGCCCGGAAAATTGGCGAAGAAAGTTTTGTATGGACTTAAAAACCACAAACAACATTAAGACAACTTTGAAATATTGTCAATTTAATGAATTGATAATTTACTTTACCTATTTCTTTACAGATTTCACACAAACATGCCAGTATCTTCAAGGCCGATAAGTATGGTAAAATACTTTATTGGATCCTTATTTCCTAGTTTGATAGTGGATAACAAATACAGAAAAAGACTATATCCCATGAAAGATTTCTTTATGTACTACGTAAGAGAGGGTGGTTATTTTCATTTACATGCTACAAAACCTGATACTATTGGTAAGTATTCCTTTATTAAAAAATAAAAAGTACTTTAAAATATTTAATTGAGGTAATATATAATCTTAGCAAGGCTAGTTTAGTCTTCGCCTATACCTAAATATAAATATCGATAGCTATTATCTTATCTAGTTTATTTGTTTAGATTCTGTAAAGTACTTTGACCTATTATAAGTTTTTAATAAACGTGTTGCATCTGCTAATGTGCAAACGAAAATTATGAAAAAAAAGGAATAGAATAATATTTATAACTAGAATAATTTAATAATTACTTTGAGAGTTATCTTAGAGTTTCTGTAATAAAAAACAAACTTTATAAACTTTATAGGAGCTGCTTTAACAGACACACCAGCCGGTATTGCAGCGTATGCGTTAGAGAAGATGGGCGTTTGCTGTCATAGGAATCAGTTAGACACTTTACATGGAGGCTTAGAAAATTTAGATATAGACGATTTGTTGGATACTATAACAATAATGTGGGCTAATGAAAAAATAACATATTCCATTAGAATTTACGCTGAAGCGTTCGCGTGGCCTGAAGTGTTTGTACTTCATAAGTAAGTTCATTTGTTATATTATTGTTATCATTGCATGTTGTAAATATTGCTTAAACAATAATCAATCTAAAGTACGATAAAAACGTCATATCCATACTAATATTATAAATGTGAAAGTGTCTTTGTTTGTTTTTTTTTTATTGTAGAGATAGTTAGAGGGCTGGAGAGTGGCATAGGCTACTTTTTACCGCAGGAGATTACCTAATTCCCACGGGAAAACACTTTATAATACAATCCAAAAAATATTTTTGATCAGAATTACTTGAAACTTGATATTAATGCTCTTCAATAAAATTAAATAAATACGTGTTTTAGCGTAGCATAAAGGGGTATAATAGAGGATGAAAGTTTGTATGAAACTACCTTTTATGAGATTTGTTTGTAGTTTTAGCGCGAGCGAGCCCGCGGGTACTGCTAGGTAACTTATATAACCAAAGGTCATACTATATTTTATTTTTACATTACTAACAAAACTTTTCTATACTAATATTATAAAGAGGTAAAGTTTGTGATCTTGGTGCTCGGGTCAACATTAGAATAATTTTTACGACAGGCAAATTATTCATTCCCACGGGAAAATACAATAACTGGTTCTATCGAATTGTCCTTAGAAATTTATATGGCTAACGTTGGCTCAACCTTAAGAGATAGATCAAAACATTGTACAAGAAAATTGTAAGTCTTAAAAAGGTCTATAGAAAAGTTCTACATAGTATATCTCTATCTCCTAAGGTACACTCGCTATAACTATTTTCATTATTATATATTTCTGTTTTATTATACGTCATTTATTCTATCTGATTATAGGTACATATATGAATAATAAAACTGTAGAGGTCGAATGTCTTTACATAGATGGTAGAAAAAATTGCTAAAAAACGAGTCAGTTCTCTTCTTAAATCACGTAAGGAGAGAAATAGAACAAATCCAGATTTTTTCAAATTTTTTGGTCTGTTTGTCTGTTCGCACGGGCTAATCTCCGATACTATTGAACCTATTTAAATGAAATTTGATACTTTTCATTCCGGAAAATTAAAGAGTTCCCGTGGGATAGTTAAAAAAATATAGTAACTTATACAGCTCAGTACACAACAACTTATACACCTAATTTAGTAAAATTTGGCATGCTGATACCTTATATTGCAGGTCAAACAACAGGTTACTTATTTTATTTATTTTATTTTTATCACGGAAAAATGAACGGTTCCCGTGGAATAGATCTGTTTGTGCTTTTCTAGAGGTGAACCCGAGCGAAGCGAGGGTGAGCCGCTAGTAACTAATATAACTGTTACTTAGTGAAAAATCTTATATGTTTCAGCATACCAACAAAAGTACCCACGGCTGTTATAAATTTTGAACACGAAGTAATATATCAACCAGATTGGATACTTAGAGACAAATTCCACAACATAGTGCATTCGACCACTTTAGACTTCGGTGGACACTTTGCAGCAATGCACACGCCCAAAGAATTAGTAGATGACGTTTTCGAATCCGTTGTCGAATTTGACAAATTCCATGCAAGGAACCGACGTACTTAGTGATATATATAAGTATTAGATATTTTCAATTTCAGACTGATATCTATAAATTGAACTTAGATTTGGGATAATTTTGTTCTAGTTTGTGAAGATCATTCGACATCATAATATGCGAGTAGATTTTGATATGAATCGTTTTGACGTAATATAGTATTAGCGCTTAATATAATACTTTAAATTATTCACTTTGTTACTTATTATATTTATTCAAAAGGACACATATTTACATCGACTTGATATTGGTCATTATTTAACACTGAATTTGTTTTAACTTGTGTATGATGGACTGATTTACCAGTTTAAGTACAAATTATAGATTTTAAGTCTTAGTCACTCTTTAATAATAATATCTCGAAAGTTGTGCGCTTTATATAAAAATAATTAATAAATAAGTAGCATAAAGCTCTAAATCAGTTATTGTTAACCATCTTTAACACGATTAAGATTATAACGCTCTCACAATATTTAGACTGATTTTTAACGCATCCTGAACTTGCCTTTACGTGTACTTTACGTTTACTTTATTATTTTAAGACATTAAGAGAGACGAATGACACAGAACAAGACTTTAGATTTACAATTAGAATTTTAGTAGTAAATGGTTAGCTAATTTTTGTAAAATTATATATCAAAATGTAAAATAAATATATGTATGTCTGTATGATGTAAAAAGGAATATCTACCATGATTTTTACTCTTTTACTTTTACTTACTTTAACTACTTCTATCAGTTAAAAAGTATGTGAAAAACATAATATTTTTTACATGATAAGGACATTGTCAGTAAGCACCATGAAAGATTAAAGACTTTTATTTCTCCTTTGTAATTTTAAAAGTGTTCCAACAAAAGAGTGTGCAAAGTAGAGCTTTCTGAAATACGTTAAGCATACGGCGCAGAAATATTGTATTTTTTAAAATTCATATAAATTGAAACAACTAAGATTTACACTGACATATGTATGTATATAATTCTAATAAGTGTATATTATCAAATAAAAGTATATGAAATCCCGCATAAGGCATTTGCACATTTGAACACGTGAAAATACATAATTGCTCTTATAATTTTAAAGGTGATTAGCATTTGCGAGTATCCCTTGTAAGAAGGCAAAGTCGTACTTTACATACATATTTTTAAATATTTGTGTCTTAACAATATTTAGGACATATAATAATGGTTGCTTAAACAACAGTTTCTAACAATTTTTGTCTGTCCATCTGTCTATTTTGTGGTACCTACATAACGTAACGGTGATGTAGATTTCTTTGGAACTTTTGTATTGTATAGACTAAAGACAAACATATTCCATAAACAGATTGTAATAGAAGTCATCAATATACGCATGTTTCTTGTACTTTTATGTACATTGATGTACGAGTAGAGTTCCCAGACAACAGTTCACAGTACTATTTACTACACTCAGTTCCGTCTATACCATAAAGGTACACGGAGCTCATGTCCAGGGCCCTACCCTCGCGAGGGCCCCGATTAGACAATAGTTTCATTTTTACGTCATCGAGATTTTTTTTAATTTGTGTAGTTTACTTAATTTTTTTATCATTCAAGATTTTTCACCATTCAAAAATGGCCTAATTTGTTGTTTGCCCGCATGGCTTGAGACGGCACTGACTAGTGACTACACTTATTCTTGTTTCAATTTATACCTTTTTATGTAGGTATACGGATAAAATAATCACTTTATCGGTCGAAGCTAGTTCTCAGACTTGCCGATAGAGAATTTGCTCGCAAATAAAATATCCCTGTATAATTAATTAGTTGTGACAGAAAATTCGATTGCAAAGATACATTATTAACTTTAACTAGTTATGATTATTGGTTTTATGCAATTTTGGAAATAACATTCTAATAATTTTATATGACGTACATTATGTGAATCTACACGAAAAAGAGGTGTATTTAGTAAGTTCTAATATGACTTTATCTCATACTGTTTAGACAGCGCATGCCAATGAAGCAACTCAACTCTGTCATTTTTCTACCGATTTCTGTCAAAGTTTTTTTTTATCAGTAAAACCATTTTTATTGCAATAAAAAGGAGCTTTTAGCATTGGGTGGTAATGTAGCTTCCTATTAGTGAAAGAACTTACAGAGTCGGATTTGTATATATTATTTTGTACTTTAGAGTTTAGGCTACAGTTAGACACCTAGTAATGCAATAAAATGAATAACAAACATACTAACTTTTTTTTCTTCGATGATGGAGACCAGTTCGGGCGGCGCGAAGAATCCAGGAACGACGAAGTCACGTCTCGGACTAAATTGTTCTACTTTCATTCTCCCGCCCAAATTGATGCGCTCACCGGCGTAGTATAGGTTCCTGTTCAAAAAATAATACAATAATCGAACTACTATCCGGATTGGTCAGGAGGATAGCAATAGACTGTTTATCCTTCAGGATAACATAGGCCCTGTATGTTACAGGTGGTATGCGTAAATGCATTTCTCAACGTTAAAAATAAATTAAATTTGTTGTTCATCACACAAATGAATGACCCCCGCGGGACTTGAACCCGCGACCGCTGGCTAGGGATTGCAATCCGGAAAAACGGATCCGGTAATCCGGCGGATCCGGCATCATTTAATAGTTACCGGATCCGGTACCAATATACCGGATCCGAAGACCGGATCCGGTGCTAGCAGTTTGTGGGAAAATAATATAGCTGTTGCATGAGTAGGTACTTTAAATGTGTTGTGTTTGTTTTCTACGATCTTATTTTCAAAATCAATATTGATTTTCTTTTAATACTTATACTTTTTTACAATTATTACTTAAAATAATTATTTATCGTAAGTTGATTAAACTAAAGAGTTCTAAACTCATTATTGTGATAATTTTTGCCATTCATTCGTTCGACAGATTCATCAAATCATGATGGTATCTGTCATAATCATAAATCGTCATTAAAAAAAATCTAATGGTAGCTGCCTACCAATAATTTAGGGAAACACATCCTTCATTTGGTTAAGCTCTATGTAAATCCCACAATTAGGACAAATCTAGTAACATCTTGTATGGTAAAATCATAGATAAAAATATTCGTACATTCCTATACTTTGAAAACGTTTAGGGCAGTGATAAAAAGATGGCTTTAAAAAGTGACAAATGCCATGTTACTTATTACTAATATTATAGACGTGAAGGTTTAGATGTTTAAATGGATGTCTGTTAATCAATCACGCCAAAACGGCTGAACAAATCTGGATGAAATTTGGCACAGAGATAGGTTATAGTCTGATCTAGTAGATAGGTTACTTTTTATCCCGGAAAAATGTACGATTCCCGTGGGATATATTTGTTTTTGTTTTCATGTAATGTGTAAATAAATTATTAGCACTACTAGAATATTATGCATTTAATTTTAAGTAACAAAATTACCTGTTTCCAAGAAGTCGGCCTTTGATATTAGTCAATTGCCCTTCATCTAACTGAGGGAACTTATGGAATAGAAACAAGCTAGTAGCGAATTTTAGGAAAGCATCGCCCAAAGTTTCTGCTCTTTCCAAATTGAATGTGTCGTGCGAATTGATTGTTGTGAGAGCTGCCAATATATCGCGTAACTCTGGACCACGACTACTTAGAGTCTTCGACAGGAGTTTTATCTTGTCTATATATCTGTAACAGAAAATATATATCCGTAATACAAAATTAGTCATTTAGTATGAATAGGATAAGATTTTGTTGTATGCTGGTAAAAAAAATACATCCGAAGCGAACCCTCTTTTTTTAGGTCTGTTAAAACAGCAGCTATTCTTAGGTGCAGAATGTAGAAAAATACACAAAAGTTAAATTTCATTTGTGAATTGATCCATTTTATTGTATTGATAGGCTACATAGACCGCTATTATATCAAGTAGGTTTCTGCGACGGATAAATACATATCCTATCCTAAAATATGTATATTATGTTCTATACATTATACAAACAATTAACGTAAATGCTCGGAAGAATGTGTGTATGTGGACAAATTATTAAAATTCGATTTTAATGTAAACACTCTTTTAATGTGCAATTAAAGAATTACCACCGGTATTACTAAATAATTGCCAGTTATGCAAAAAACAGCCATGTGCATAAAAGTACCAACAGAGTTATAAGCATTTTTCTGTCGATAGTTGCACTTGGATTATGTATTGTTTTTCTGGTTATTTTAAAATTGAACAATATTTATATAAGTATCGTTTATTTTTTATAATTATTTTATTTTTTATAATAAAATGCTTATAACTCTGTAGGTACTTTTACGCACATGGCTGTTTTTTGCATAACTGGGTCCAATTGTATTCTGGATAGGGTGGATAATTTTAAATATCTCGGACACTATCTGACTTCTGATTTAAAAGACGATTCTGATATTGAACGGGAGCGGAGAGCATTGTCGGTTAGAGCGAATATGCTTGCTCGTAGGTGTGCACGTAGTTCACCCAACGTTAAAATAACATTATTTAGAGCATATTGTACATCTTTTTACACGTGCATATACGCATATACGCCCATAGGCTTATGGGCAGGATATACTCAAAAATCTTGTAGTAATCTTCGCGTACAATACAATAACGCGTTCAGGGTGCTGTTGGGGCTGCCTCGATACTGCAGCGTCTCAGGGATGTTCGCTGAAGCGTGTGTTAATTGTTTTTACGCCCTCATGAGAAAAAGGTGTGGGTCTCTGGTGCGTAGGGTACGGGGTAGTGCTAACAGAATTCTGAGCATGATAGCAAATACACTGGATTGCATATACATGAATCGCTGCTGTGCCGTTGCAAACGGAATGGTGCAGCGGTGATTCTTGTGTATTGTAACATTAATTTTAAAAAAATGTAATAATATTACTAACCTAGTCCCTAAGAAATATTGTTTACTAACCATAATGAGTCACTGGTTACTTGAATAAAGATTATTATTATTACTAAAGAGTATTTAATAATTTTTATCTATACTAATATAATATTATAAAGAGGCAGAGTTTGTTTGTTTGTTTGAACGCGCTTATCTCAGGAACTAGTAATCCGATTTGAAATACATCTTTTTGCATTAGATAGCCCGTTTGTTGAGGAAGGCTATAAGCTATATATTATCATATAATTCATATAATATATAGTCTATCTATTCCATACTATACTACTATAGATAGATAAATACTTTATTGCATACACAAAAGATGAAAACATAAATAAAAAAGATAGCAAAAGGCGTGCATAGGTCCTATTACTATGAGCAATATCTCTTATAGATAACCTTTGGTAAAAGTATTCGTGAAAAAAGAACCGGGTAGTTACAATAGACATATTATATTAATACAATGGTAGAACAATGCTAATGCGCTCTCTTGGGAAACCGAGTGAAGCGGGTTCAAATCCCGGGTGTCACACATCTGATATTTTCATGTACTAATCATTTCCAACATGATTATCACTTGTCTTACGGTAAAGGAAATTTGGTGTAGTCCGCCAAGCCGCACTTGGCCAGCGTGGTGGACTATGGTCTGATCCCCCTCGTATCGAAGTTAGACCAGTGTCCAGCAGTAGAGCGTTAAAATAAGGTTTAAATGCAATATACACAAACATATACATATATCTACCACTCACTTTAACGGCGGCGGCAGTATTGCTGCAGATGTATTGGGCCGTACTAGCGACCGTCCGACCGCTGGTACGGCTTCCGTCTCGATGGTGAAGAGAGGAGCAGATACGAACGAGTCGTAGCATTCTACGTCCATCACCGTCACTGTAGATAGGTTGCGATCAACGTCGATCGGCTCTTTCGATTCCTGGATAAATGTTTTTAAGTATATTTTTATTTAATATTATATATATATATATATATATATATATATATATATATATATATATATATATATATTTATATAGAGGAAATATTTGGAAACTAATAACACGAAAAATTTTGAACGGATTTAGATGAAACTTGGTATACAGATAGATTAAAGTGTTCTAGAATAAAATACACGATACTGTTTATTTTGGCAACGTGCTAGAGTTGAAAAATAATTTTCACTTTACTTATTGTAAATAGATGGCGCTGCTCGTGAAAGTTGAAAGAAAAAAAGAAAACCTTTCACGAGGAGAATAGAATTTTCGAAAAAATTAACAATTTTGTGTCTGCCATATACTATTGTCATCAAAATGCTTTTATTTAATTAGTTAGAGCATATTGTATGGGGACATCATATTATTGTGTTTACGTTGACCGCATACTACATGCTTAAATAATAATATCCTTTACTGAGTTTATTCAATTGTGTTTTTGGAACCAAGTCACTTATAGAACATTACTCGGCACACTTGGCGAATGAGAACTACGATAGATAAAAAGTGCTATAATTTTACCGTCGCGGCACTTATTAACCGATTTCCAAAAAGGAAGAGTTATTATTTACTAAGAGCACGTCATGTGGCATCATCATTAATTAGTAGTAGGCGATGGTGTTAAGGAGTTTCACATGCACTCTTATGACGGAGCCATACATGTATAATGAGCATTCCTTCATATTTGTGGTCCCTTAGTGGTCGTAACAAAAGTACCAGACGATCAAGTGTTAATGAATGTATTTTGTAAGAAATTCGTGTCCACTCTGTGCAGGTCTTTCTTCGACAACCTTCAATATGTACAATATTCATTGCTTGATGTTTATGTACAATACATTTTCAAATACCTAATTTATCAACCAAAAGCAGAGAGCGAATGGAATTTCATACTTTACCGGGTTTACCATGAAACCTTTCGACTTTTTTTAATCAGAATACTAAAGGAACAAACTTTCAAATACAATGCAAGAGATACATTTTAATCCGTTAAAATTTTAATAAACGTATAAAATATGTACTACTTACATCCCAAGGGTACTCTTTGCTTATTTTCTTTTTCTGCAACTGATACACGCTTTCTTTGACAGACATAATGTTGAGCGGTTTTTGTGCACTTTCATCGATGGGGTTATTGATTCTGTAATAAGGTATTTATTATATTTATGAATTATTTGTACTTATATGTTTGTTAGTCCACATTGAAACGGCTGAACTGGTTGGGATGATATTTAATGCACAAATACAATATGAATTAGAATAACACAAAGGCACCCAGGAAAGTATTTGGGTGAAGCTATGGTAAATGCTAAATAATATATGTTATATTATTAAATATATGTTATTTTATGCTAAAGGCAACATTTTTGCTTTTATTATTCTTATGTATCACCTATCAATGCTGTTCATCGCCACAGGTTCTTCGACATTAGAAAGGAGAGATTTCATTGCTACCGGTAGATCCACTTCTATCGGCAGCCAATCTTCTCCTACATACAAAAACATAGATTAATTAAAAACTATAAGTGTACTTGACACATCTAGATAAAATACTTTTGGCTATTAAGGCTAATTTTTATCTTCAATATATGTAAATGGAGATTTGGTGCGATTGCTTCGAAAGAAATCATTATCATATCTATTCTAGACAAATACAGACTATGTTTGCGGTAAGTCAGATCAAGACTGCTTTTTAGAAACTTTTTTCTAAGATTTTTTTTTATGTATATTTAATTGTATTTAATAGAAAATAATAATCGCTCCACGACCGCGGACACGCTGGCGTATCAGTTAACAATAGATTTCTTAGAATTTTAATTAATTTCTTAGAAATTTAGCTGGAGGTGTTAAATAAAATGAATAATTAAATGTGCATCGTTTTATTACTATTTTAAACAAGCGAGTAGTGTTGTTTTTGCGAGAGATGATAAGAGGTTATTTTAATTGCATTTTTAACGTAGAATTTGATTTTTCGACTCCTCTACGTCATTGAATAAGTAGTTATTATAATAAAATCGGTATAAAATAAAAAGTAAGTAAATATGAAAGTTTGTGATGAGCCTTTGAGTGTTAATTATTCTATAACGCATAAGCCCTTGTAGATTTGGAAGATACGTGACACAAAGATAGAGCGTGTACCGAATTAAGACGTAGAATAATTTTTATCCTGTTAATGCTTAGAATATTGTTAATTTAATAGTAATTTAGCCGTAATATTGTTCTGAACTCATAAACGGGTAATAATAACTTACGGGCCTCGGTTCGGAATCTATGGACAAAAGCCAGTTGAAATATATATATAATAAATCGTTAGTACTGTGGGCTCTTCCCACATATTACACACATATATACGAGTACATATATACAGAATATATTACACAAACATAAATACACATTCTTACGACAACAATTTTTTATGTTTGTGTAATGAATATGTCTAATTAAAAATCTTTTGTTCCTCGCTCTTGATTGATAGATAAGTTTTATTGACCAATCGATCTTATTAGTAAAAAAAACTTATATTTTTCTTCTATACAAAGGCATGTCCTGACAATAACAAACACAAAAAAGGAATTATCCAATTTGGTGCAGTCGATCGGAAGTTATGCGCGTAAATACATTTCGGTGATTCATGTTTATTTATATAAATAGATATAAAATAAGATAAATCAGAACTATATTTCCATAACTATAGTATTGACTATTATTCATTCAAAATTGAATAGTTATCAATCAAAAATAAATAATAACTTGAGCTCATTTCCTGATGCTATTGAATGAAGACGTCATATTGTCTCGTTTTAAATGTAGCCTCTTCTCTATCTTGTAGGAATTTATTTGAACGTTTTCACTTTTCATATTTTAAGAATTTTTATTTATTTCAATGTGGATTTTTATAATCGATACAATTTATCTATAGTAATAATTTTTAATGAATCATACTACATTCGCATTGTCAAGTTTTTATCCTTAAAAATTTTTGTGCTCTCTCTCTCTCTCTCACTCTTTTTATGTCTATCGTATCAATATCACTAATATTATATATGTAACTTTTACTGATTTGTTGGTTTGTTCTTTCTTTTAACAACACAGCGTTATGTCGATGTGGTTTTTGCATTGTGATAGATAGATATTTTATGTAATACAAATATGTATTATAATTCCTGTAGGATAATCAATAGATTATAGTCACTTAGGACGAGATTAGAGCGAGTAACGTGTGAAGCATAAAGATGATGTAATATTTCTATCATTTCATTATTATACTCAAACATATTGTTATTATTATGAATACTTAAATGAAAAACTTTTCCTCTTTAATTTCTTTTCAATTTACTATTATAATTAGCTTTTTTGCTTGAGCACGCGATAATGAATCACTACTAGTAAATTTCAGGCACTTATGATTTTGATTTTTATATTTCCGATAGTATATGGGTGCTTTAGTATCGACTGTGTAATTTTAACCAGCTTTTCAAATATAATTTGAGACTTGTATATGTATTCGGCCCTTCTTAACGTCCCACAGTTAGGCACGGGCCTCCCCTTAAATGCGAGGGGGATCGAGCCGGTAGACGGTAGACCATCACGTTATCTAAGTGTGAAGCGGACTTCACATGTCCTTCGATAACTTGCTAAGTTCTCTCAAATATGCAGGTTTCCTCACGATGTTTTCCTTCACAGTAAGACAAATGGTAATAATATAGAAAATTCTGAAATCCTGTTATCCAAATAGTTTCCCGAATCGTGTCTCAAGCAAATCAAGAAACAAAACGTGTGTGTGTACTTATGTGCGCACGTAAGAAGTTATACTTCTTTGTCGTGACAGAACAAAAATAGCTAAAGATATCATCCTGTTTGTCACAACTCTCTGTTTGTGAAAAGAATGCAGCTAACTTCATCATGTCGCTTTTTGGCTGTCGGTGTGCGCGCATCGTAAAAACTTTACTCTCATATTTTTTCAAATGTGCCAAAAGAAGTATAACTTCAATAATTTGTCTTCATTACAATATATATAATCCATTTTATTAATGCGTATTGAAAAAAGCCGTGTTTTAATCAAGCTTACCCATTTCTTTACACACTTCTTTCAATACATTTACAAAGTTCAGACTAGTTTTCCTTTTCTTTTGCATATCTTCTGAAGTTGAATAGCTTTGTGAAGTACTAGAGTCTGAGAGGCGTCTACGCTTGATAGGGACATCATTTTCGCAAACTTCCATGGTTATTGCTTCTTGATTATCTGTTACTATAAACAAAAAAATTAAATTGGAAATACAGACCATTTTTATACATTCAAAACGAATTTTTATCAATAAAGAAACAATAGGTCCGCTATTTTCTGTAGGACCTTTTATTTAAATTAAAAAAAGAAACAAGACAACAGGTAATAACAACAGTAATATTTCATTTAACTTGTGTTTAACACAGATAATAAGTAGTATATTTATATTATATCTTACCGCAGATCCTTGGGTTAAGTCGTCAAATGCTTAAGATTTTAACGTAATGTTAGTATAAATAGAACAGAATTTATAGTCAAAAAAAAATCTCCGGTATTCTCTTATATTACCGTAAGACAGAATTCTGATTCTCAAAGAGAGATATACTAATTCCTTCCTGAATTTCTTGGAAGATAGTCCTACTAAAGCAACACAGTCTACTATTCCATAGTGGTCTAGACAGGGCAATCGTGCGGAGCGTGCGAGGTCAGAAGCGTATGACGCGAAACCGACTTGCATAATTTTCTTTTGTAGGCACAAATATATATACACACATATATGTATACACACACATCCTTTTTACACTTTTCTATTTTTATTAAGACCTTTTTTTAATTAACCTTTTTATAAATTACACTTGTGACAAATTTACAAAAAAAGGAGAAAATAGTGACATTATATGGTGTTGAATTTTAAGAACGATTTTTATTTCTATTTTAAATAAAATAGGTTAAAATAATTAAATATTGCTGCAACGGCCAAACATTTATATGGCAGTCGGGAAACGGCATTATTGTTAAAACGTAACTTGACTGTGACACGAGATGGCATTAGTGCGCTTTAACTTCGAAACCGTTCGCTATGAAAATTGGTATTTTTAACGACCCTTTCTTTTGACAGCATTTCCGTTAAATTCAAAGACATTCGCCTACTACCTATATGAATTTTTATACTGCTATACATAGCAAATAGCCCGATTCGTAGAAACATTACTGAGGTTTAATGGTCTGTCCTGTTTCATAGAATAAGAAAATGCAAACGGCTCATTTGTTAGCCAATTAACGCTGGTCTTCTATTGAACGCTTGGTCGAAGGTGTGTCTACTGTACATCTGTGCTTATGACTCATATCGACTACTTTACCTCTTTTAAATCACGTATAATCTATAGCTTGAATGTTGCAATTTGTAACTAGACCAACGAGACTTATAAGCAATTAAAAATAACAATAATTTTTATTGTAAAGAAATAAAGGTTTTGTAAATCATGAATAATTTATCAAATTTTGGAAAATGATTTTAACTAACTTCTAACAATTGTCGTACCATATTTGATACCGTCGGGATGATCTGATGCTGGGAGTCAGGAGTTCGATGGTGGCTACTAACTCCTAAATGGCTACTGGTAAAATCTTTGAGTTGATATATTTATAATGGGACGTGTTTCGTTCATTAGAGGCAGTCAAATAGGTGATATTTTAGTATTATAAAACTAAAATTATTCCTAAGCATTAAGCAAAACCGCGTTTTTTTAAAATACCGATAAATGGAAGCTTCATGAGCAGGGCTTTAACAAAGATGGATATATTTTCAAAAAATTTTTGCGATGAATTAATATAGTGAAAGTTATTAAAACCTCAACCTCAAAAATATTTCAGTAAGTAATAAATGCTATTTAAATGGTTAATCTAAAATACGATAATTTACGAAGAAATAATTATTTTAAATAAGATCTCTTAAATAATAAGTAATTGCATAAGCTTCTTTTTTAAAGTCGGTTAAAAAAACTACTATCAACATCAAATTGTTATTTATAATATAATTACTTAAAAAACTATAAAGTTATATTCCACAGAATAGCGACTCACCCTCGCTTCGCTTGGGCTCGTCCCTGGGTGATTCTTTAAATTGATATAACTTTTTTATTTATGAACCGATTAAAATAAAACAAACACTAAAGGTTAAATAAATCTTACCACAATACGCTAGTTGAAACCGCACCCAAATTGGCCAGCAATTTTCAAACAGCCAATTTTCTAATAATCATTGGTTTGGATTGATATATAAAGCGTTAATAAAAACCCCTAATAATAGTTTTTCTAAAATATCTTCCATGTACATACAGACAGAGAACAGTAACTTTATTATATATGATGATATGATTTTTCTAATCAAAATTTCTATGTACGTAGCTATGTCTTCTTACCATTTTAGGTTCTTACCCTTTTAGTTAGCACTTACCCTTTAATAAATCCTTTCGTCCGCTATTCATACAGTTTGCTATCTCAGAGCGCAGCTCCTCCGCGACCAACAACATATTTACTCTAGAATTAAAGAAACATTTTGATATAAATAAACTAGATACTAGAGTCAATTAAAAATATAATCTCATATTTGAAGTCGGTTAAAAAGATAAATATGTTAAGATATGAAATTGATACTAAAAAATGTGAGTTAAAGAGAAAAAAATATAACTTTTTATGATCGATGATGAAATCATTAGGATGTGGATACTCTGTCTATATCAAACAATGAACATACTCTTCAACTTTATATACTAGTATAGGTATAGATATGTATGTACGTAATTAAACAATATAACTTGTCGCCACCAGCTAGACCAGGATGTGATATTTGTAAAATTTGTAATAGTTATAGTGTGAAGACGACCTCGTTAAGATTTGCTTTATATGCTAGTGTTTTAGTTGCTCTGTGTTCTACTGGCTGCTAATCCGGAGGACCTGGGTTCGAATGCCAGACAATTTAAGCTATTGAGTCTTTCTGTTAAGAAAGTGTCATCAGCAGCTCATTATTAGGACTTGAAAAGTTCCACCCTGTGTTCCACCCCCGTGCCGATACAGAGAACATTTCTCAGTATTCATGTCGCGTGTCGTCCCACCGGAGTGTGGACGACAGTACCAGTGTCATCGATCAAAAAGTACTAGATATGTAATCTCATGCAAAAGAATGTAAGAGATACAACCAATGTAAGAGATACAACCATCACCAATTGTGTTTAGGTAATTATTATATTTGAAATAAATATACAACATTGTAAATTGAACCTTAAATGCAATGCCAAAAGTTGTTTCACAATTATTTTTTTAAATTAGAATCGCGCTCAAATGTTCAAATGAGCGCTCATTCGGTGAGGACATTTTTTGTCGCTCATTGTGTATCTTTTTTTATATTTATCTATTACTTTTTTGATCGATGCTGAAACTGCACGTACTGTCCGCGTTGTCTAGTCTCATTAACATAGGCCGCCGTGATTGATCACGGCACGGGCATTGTGTACGCGGCCTTATTCACTCACCTGTGCATAATACTCGGCAGGAGCACGGCCTTGTACCACAGCACGCCGGGGAACGCGTAGTGTATGCAGAACTCCGGTATGAACAGCTCGCTGAAGGCGCGCGGCTTGTCGTCGCCCTGCGCGAGCGACACCAGCTTGCGCTGCTTGTCCGTGAACTTATCTATGGTCGCGGCGCGCGGGAGCAGGCAGTTCATGCGCGTGCTTATATTGCGCACCTAAGTGAAGAGAATTACAATACGTCGTTTATTACAATACGTGAATAAAATCGGTTCAGAAGATCCAGAGATTACCCCCCTACAACGTCACAAACTCACAAAATTTACTTCTTTATAATATTAGTATAGATATGATATGCATACTAATTAATAGTTTAAATAAGAAAATGCGTAGTTTTTATTTAATGATCACTGATTATTAAAAAAAGTTTACCTCAAGCAATGGTTGATCTTTTTTGCCGATGATCTCCAGATTGTATTTACTCGAGTAATAGTCCGCGTATGATACAAAACAATCCGAATCGAAGTTAGATTGTGGCGTCAAATGCTCAAGCACATTTGTTACAATGTACCTGAAAATAAATCATAGTTTATCTCCTTAATAAATATCTAAAATTCACTGCCTGAAAAACAAATCGCAGCCTAAATTTCTATATTTAGCATGAAATTTTGTAGTTCTTTATAACTAAGGTAAAAACTAAGGTAGAAATTTAGGTAGAATTTTTGAAAACTCTAAAAGGGTTTAAAGTATGGAAGAACGGTACTTTTGTACTTTTGAAGTTACGGGATACAGAAATTAATATTTAAGCATCTATTTATCCAGTCCACGAAGCTCACTCCTGTTTAATTAATAATAATTATTTAAATCATAATTAAAGTTTTCATTTACTAGTAGAGATTATACGATATTTGCTGGCAAATTGTTAACGCAACTTTGACGCCATTCAGTTTTGAAGCTACTACGAAAAATTGCGAGAGCCATAGAAATATGTGAATAAATTACAAAAATATTAAAATAGCGTTGATTGGAAATAGTACTCGGTAAATAGATTATTATTCATGTAAATGAAGTCTGAATGTATCTCTGAATTAATAAAGTAACGGCTTTAAATGTTGTTTCTCGTTTCAGGGAAGATATCATTGTGCTCTTTTAAAAATCTTATGTTAAATTTATTGTTACGAGCGACGAGATTACGCGACGGCTGAATCTCATCAACACGCGCATTATACGCATATACATTTGCGCGCTCTTTTCACATGCGAATTAGACTTAATTCACGCCCCTTTACTGTAAACTTCAATAATGATGATCGACGCACAGTAGCATATGTAATAAGATTGTTAAATATAATTAAAAACACGAGACTTTGTTCATTCGGTACCATTCGTCGGATAGCCGTAGAAGAGGCAACAAGCTAGAAAAAATTAACGAAGAAAATAAAGGACGACCCATGCAATTGGATTTTCATTTAGAAATCTTAATACAGTCCCACAACGATGTTGTTTGTCTTAACAAAAAAAGAGACTTTCCAGAGCAACGCAAGCCAGTTTTTATTTTGCCAACCAAAATTAACGCAATGTTTATAAAAACACATTATAAGTATATAAACAATTGTACAAACCTGTCCGGCAAAATACTGCCTCTGTACCAAGGAGTAACAACAGAGTTCTTATATACTTCTTCCGTAACTTTTAAAGATATTCTCTCCTAGAATAAAAAAAGTCATTTAACAATATAAATTATACCCACATATAAACATCCATAAAAAATGGAAATCTGAAGGACTTCAAGTGTTAAAAATTATTATGTGTTGTTTTATGTGTTCGTTAGTAGTGTGTATCTTTAATAAAGTTTTATTCATCCATTTAACTATTTACCTGCGCAGGGGGCTCGGCTACTGGACGTATCTCTTTATGAGTTTGCATGATTTCCCAATCAATGTCATACCCGTTATTATCATTGATTTTGATTGGAACAACGTAAAGGTTGTTGCATGTGCCATCAAAAATAAGAAACTTCTTTGCCACTTCTAGTACTTGGTCGAATATGAAGAAATGAAATCTATAAATATAACATTTTATATGATTAAATTAAATCAATTAATATTATAATAAGATATAAACATATCGAATTCGTATAATTTTGTAATATATAAAATAATAGGATAGGATAAAATAATAATAAAGGTCCTACCGACCGATTTCGGCCACGCCGGCCAATGTCACTGAGAGTAGCCAACTACGCAGGAGACACTATAGTGCAGCGCGTGTACCGCGTGTGGCGCAGACCAGGGCTGCCAGTAGAGCCAACTTATTTTATACCGCTGGGTCACTCAAATTATACCAAATCTAATTTTATTATAAAAATTAACAAAACTGTTGAGAAATAGTTTGACGCGAATAAATTTTTTTAGTAAAAATACGTAATAACTTAAGATGAAATATACATAAAATAACCATAATTTACAATTTTCGTATCTAATTATACGATCTGGCAGCCCTGGCGCAGACACACTTTGCACTTTCTATTCCTGACTCTAAAAGTCCGACGGGACGATACTTCGACCCTCGCGGTGAGTGTCGGCGCAGGCACGGGGGTGAAACACCGCCAACTTCCCAACTCCGGGCTGTTACTGAGGCTTACTATACAGAAAGACTCAATAACTAAACTTGGCCCGACCTGAGACTCGAACCCAGAACCTACGGATCTACAGCTGTATATGCTAGCCACTAGACCGCCGAGGCTAAGAAATGAAACTAAAGAGAAGTAAAATAGGTAATCTGGCTACGTAAGTGTAATAATAACTTTACTATGTATTAAACAATATAAAAGTAAGAATTAATATTAATATTAACTTAAAAGTACATAAAAATTAACTGTATTAGATGATATTACTGCAAATATTTACTACACATACAAGTTGATTAATTATAATATCAGAATTATAACTACAGCTCTCAGCTCTCGGCTTAAAATTAGAGATTAAGTACTTACTCTTTAACAAGTTCGAAGACGTCCAAATTAATTTTAACAGTCGCATAATTCATTTCTAGAGAGGTATTAACTTCACCAACTGTTAGAAACATCGGGAAGCTACATATGTTAGGCAACTTTTGTAATGTCAAAAAACCATAACCCTCTTTTCTTCGAAGAAGGCTAAATAAGGCGCGCTCTCTAGAATCTTTTGGCTCATCAAATGCAGTATTCAATTTTATAATATGTAAGTAAAATACTTGGTTTGCATAATTACAAATTTTCGGGCCATTCAAACACTTGGGGTACTGCAACAATACATTATACAATAACTACTTGTATCATCTTGAACATTCCATCCGCACACTTATTAGGCAGTGGTAGCCCTGTAGTAACGCGCTCGCTTGGGAAACCGAGTGAAGCGGGTTCAAATCCCGGGTTCGCACCTCTGATATTTTCATGTACGAATCATTTCCACCATGATTACCAGTCGTCTTCTAGTGAAGGAAAACATCGCGAGGAAACCTGCATATCTGAGAGAACTAGCAAATTTTCGAAAGACATGTGAATTCCGCCAACCCGCACTAGGCCAGCGTGATGGACTATGGTCTGATCCCCCTCGTATTGGAAGGCCCGTGCCCAACAGTGGGATGTTAAAAAGGGTTGAATACTATAACGCTTCTGTATTCAAACTACTATTCTTTTTCAGTTACAAAAATACATTATTTTCTTAATTTTTTCTATGGGATTTTTGAACTCCTTTGAGAGTGAAGTCACAAGCAAAATGGAAATTTTGACAGAAAAACGTTTGTTTTGTCAGCTAATATTAAATACTATATTATTATTAAACCAAAATATGACTGAGAATTAATTTTCAAATAAGGTATAAAAATAAAGTACGTTATATAGTTTTATTTAATAAAACTTACTACTTTCGGGTGTTTCCTTACACGTCTTTTAGTTCCAGGTATTGGTACATCCTTTTTCTTTTCCTCAAAAACTTCATCACGCCAGTTGGGAAAGCAATCTTTTACATCTACTGAATCAAAATCTATTTTCCTGTAATTAATATTATAAGTTACTACTCTTTACTCTCTCTTACTTACCCTCGCTTCGCTAAGATGTGTCCCTGGGTATCTAATAATAACACATAGGGTATAACGCCAGGTCACATTCTATCTGCGTATAAAAATCATCCAAATCCGTTAAAGTTTAGTCGTTTCAGCGTGAAGGACTAACAAACATATAATAACACATACACGCACACACACACACACACACACACACGCAACCGTGCAAACGCATACACACACAAACTTTCGTATTTATAATAGTTGTTCGATTTAATTTATGTACATAGTATATTGCACTAGCGACTTACCCTCGCTCGGACGCACCCGAGCGATGCGTCCCTAACAATAGCCGCTAACCGGAGGGCCATTTTTTTTCAATTCATTATAAGTTCTGTCAGTAAATCCATATTTATCGGAATAAAAGATAGCCTTTAATACTCGGCGGTTAATGTAACTTCAAACTAGTGAAAGATTTTTCAAAATCGAATCAGTAGTTTCAGAGATTACCCTCTACTATAACTACGAATAGGTCCATACGGTAGTTTTTCTCAGTATGATGCAAGTTTATGATATGCCGCCCCTAGATAATTTTTATAGTATTATAATATATTATGTATTTCAATAATAATCCATTGCAATATGTATGTTTTTATTTGACAGCCTTGTTTAGTAACCCTACTACAATTTTCATTAGGATTCCATAACTAAACGATAAAAACGAAATCCTTATAATTTGTCCGTCCGTCCGTCCATATGTCACAGTTTTATTACTCGGAGACTATTGGAGCTATATTTCGTAAGTAGACAATTCTGTCAAATTACGAAAATAAGGGGTTTTCTTTCAGAAAAAATTGAGTCCATATGATTTGAGCATGAAAGTTTGGTGCATTTGTAAATGAAAATGCCGCCCCTATATATTTTGTACCGCCCGAAGAGGCCGCCTCTTTGCATCATAGCACTGCACGGCTCTAAATACAAACTTACAAATTTTACTTCTTTATAATATTAGTGTAGAATGTAGATATCTCACATTAATATATTTTTTTGAAGATATCAATGGACAAAAAGCATGCCTATTGAGCTTGGACGCTAAAAGGTAATACTTACCCATATTGTCGGGGCAGTAAAGAGTCGTCATCTAATTCCTTCATTTCATGAAGTCTTTTGCAAACATTTAAAGCAGCTGATCGCTTAGCTGATTTTAAATTCACCTGTGGTGTACCCTGCGATTAAAAAAAATACACTTTTCAGTTTCATTAAATTTGCATATTTTTGTATTGGTTTTGTCTCATTTATTGACAAAATATTTGTACTAAATAATAGGACATTCTTAGATTTTTTCGCGTTTTTATTTTAATTTTTTGTTCCCGACGCATCAATCAAAAAAGTACTAGATACACAATCTCATACAAAAGTTCTCTTAAAACTATCACCAATTGTGTTTAGTTAATTATTCTAGTTGAAATAAATAAACAACAATGTAATTTGAACTTTAAGCAAGCATTGCATAATACTTAAATTGTTTTCACAAAAAAAAAAAATAAAGCGCGCTCAAATGTTCACATGAGCGCTCATTCCGTGAGGACATTTTTTATTGCTGATTGTGTATCTAGTACTTTTTTAATCGATATCCTGACGTTTCGAATATTATACCGCAAACGGCCGGGAACAAAAACAAAATTACGCGACGAAATCCGAAAACGTTCCAATTGTCAAATATTCTGAAAAAGTATTATGAACTCATACTAAATCTTTACAAAACATAGCTATTAAAATATATTTATTTACATTAAAAAAAAAAACACTTACTTGTACAGGTTCCTTGACTGGACAAGATATGGGCATTATTATAGTGATAAGTCGATGTAACTCTCCATTCTTATGAACCTTTTCTTGTACCCACATCGGTGCGATCTTTGTGAATTGATCATGCGGTAATAAATTACAATACCGATTTACTAGACTTATTGCAGACTCTGCTGGAAGCCGAACTATGAGAAAAAAGGATATAAATATATTTAATAATATTTTTTTTTATTTAGGTATCTAGAAAATAGTAAGAATCCATTGCTCTCTGCTGCTCCTAATTACAAATTACCGTGAATAGTTATTGCTTTTGCAATTTAATGGAATAAAAAAATAACAGGATGAAAAATAATATTCAACATTCTTTGGTCAGCACAACAAATCACGTCTAATTGTTACTTTATATACAAAATATCTGTAAAATGCGCATGGCATTTAAAGACACATAACAGGTATATTTGTAAGATTTTCATATTAGAATTGAGCATTGTTCAATTTCTTTGTCATCATTATGTCATTAAATAAATTACCTCTTATCTATAGGTTAAAAAAATATATGGTAATGCAACCAACATTCAATTCACCAACGATTTTCTATTATTTAAGTATATTTTGATATTTACCTCCACTTTTTGTATAATAAGGTTGTATGTTATCGACATAACAATTTTCTTGTATATCATCTTCAGTGGGAGCGTCTCTTTCTAATGTATTCCCATGTAGCAACTAAGGCATAAACAGAGAAAATAAATCTTTTATATATAATCATTCAAATATTGGTCACCATATTTAGTTAAATGAAATCTTTTAAGTTTTTTTTTTGAATAATAATAATATACAAATAACATAGATCAAAAGTACTAAATAGTAAATACACAATCAATAGCTAAAGCTTCAAAGCTGTCAGTATTTGTAGTGCGTACTATGAAAAGATTTGGCGATCCTAGTTTATCAATTTTAGTCTACAATAGTTTAATCCGTAGCATCTTGAAATATTGCAGTTCAGTATGGAATCCAGGATATAAAGTGCATTCCGACCAGATCGAGCGGGTACAAAAACGTTTTCTGTATCATCTAACATATTTAAAATGAAACTGTAAAGATATTCATTCATATAAATCTCGTCTCGAACATTTTAATATGTTACCATTAAAAGAAAAAAGAAAATTAGGAGATTTAACTCTTTTGTGTAAATTAATTAAAGGTTTAATTAATACCCCTGAATTACTAGAACCCTTGCATTTTTCAATACCCCGCCAACAAACTCGATTGCATAATCGCAAAACTTTCCTTTTACCAGATACAAGAATCAACCTCGGTCAACATAGTCCTATCTATAGAATGGTATCATTAGCAAATGCCCTAAGAAATGATATAGATATTTTCGGTGATTCCGTTTCTTCGTTAAAAAAAAAGATGTTTATATTACTTTAGTAGCATAAAACAAAAGTAGTTAAGTCGGATTGTGCTATATTTTATGTAATGTTTTGTTATAATACAATAATAATTAGATTTAATTTAATTTAGCCTTGTTTAACATTATATATTTTTATTGTTAATACTTAGTTCTGTTCATATGCATGTGATGTTCACATCTTAGAAAACATCATTTGTCTGATTGTACACTTTAGAATAATTATAATTAAGCTTGTTTATTTCATCTGTATGTCGGTTTTGTCAACTTATAAATAAATTAATTAATAAATCTTATGCAAAAGTTCTCAAATTGTCACCAATTGTGTTCAGGTAATTATTCTAATTGAAATAAATATATAACAATGTAAATTGAACCTTAAATGCAATGCCAAAAGTTGTGTTTACAAAAAAAAATAAAGCGCGCTCAAATGTTCAAATGAGCGCTATTTCGGTGAGGACATTTTTTGATCATCGACATCGACTTAGATGACAAATATGTACAAAATTGTTTTAAATAACTTACACCATATATATATTCTTCTATCTTTTGAAACTCTTTGAATTTTCCAACAAACTTTTCTTTTTTATCTTCCGCTACTAATATAACAAAATTTGCTTCCTTACTACGAGCACGACCTAAAATGATATAAACATTAAAAGAGCCGTGAAATAGTATTTCTAAAGTAAATCATTATTAAGTCATTTTTTTATCTTGCACAAAAGTTAAATAAAATTACATTTAAATTGATGAATGAAAGTAGAAGTAATGTGAATAATGAAAGATACCTTTACTCTGCATAAGGCATAAATAATGATAAGGCAGTGGTACCCCAGTGGTAACACGGTCGCTTGGGAAACCGAGTGAAGCGAGTTCAAATCCCGGGTCTCGCACCTATGATATTTTTATGTGCGAATCATTTCCAACATAATTACCACTTGTCTTAACGATGAAGGAAAAACATCGTGAGGAAACCTGCATGTCTGAGAGAATCTACCAAGTTTTCAAAAGACAATTGTGAGTCCGCACGTGACCAGCGTGGTGGACTATGGTCTGATCCCCCTTGTATCAAAGGGAAGCCAGTGCCCAGTAGCGGGGCGTTAAAAATGGTTGAATACATTTACATACCTTTACTCTGTATATAAGACCTGTACTCCAATGGTTCGTCGTATCGCACTACAAGCAGGCATTGAGGTATGTCTATCCCTTCTTCTAACACACTAGTAGATATTAAGCAATTTAGATCTCTGCAACAATGTTACAATAAATTTTAATGTTTTTTTTTATACGTTGGGACATTGGACACACAGGACCATCTCTCCATGGTAAGCGACGAGGCTTGTGTTATGGATACTAGATAGTCGATACACTACACATTTAAGACTTTAAATACATATGTATTATAAATATAACCCATGACTGGAATACAAATATTTGTGCTCGTCACATAAATGAATGCCCCAACCGGGGCTCGAACCCGCGACCGCTGGCACAACAAATAGGGTTACTACAAACTGAGCCAAACGCATTACTGCTGGCAACAAAAACTAATAATTAAGAGGGTGACCAGATTAGAATATAGTCAAGCGCCAATCGTACTCCCGAAAAGTTAGGGTTCCTGGTATAGTATCAATTTGTCGTCTTGCTTGAGGCATGATTTTTTTTATAAAATAAAGTGAGCATTTGCTATTTATATTTTTACTAGCGGCTCATCCTCGCTTCGCTCGGGTTCGCCTCTAGGAAAACAGAAACAATCCTATCCCTCGGGGACCGTACATTTTTCCGAGATAAAAAGTAGCCTATGTATTACTCCAGACTATAATCTATCTCTGTGCCAATTTTTAATTTAGATCCGTTCAGCCGTTCTGGCGTGAAAGACTAATGAACATCCATACTCACAAACTTTTACATATTTATAATATTAATATTTAATACAGATATTTTTAATGCTGCAAAATGAAACAAAAGAATTCATTATATTTCATATGTACATACATATATGCATACATACCCATTTTTAAATTTCAGCAATGCCTGTAGACTTAATTTCTTTGTGTAATATTGTTCTCTTGTGTGTGTCAAAGGATTTATGTTAAAACCAACAACAAAATCGTGTTGCAAAAAACCAAATTCAACAGGATTAGTTTCTTTTACGTCTTTCAAAATATTGAACAAAATCTTAGACGTACTTCTTTGCTGAGTCAAAATAAGCGCGGAAAGTGCATTTCGTTTGTGATTTATTTTTAATAAAACTGAAAAAAGAAACATATATAAATTCAAAAATTCATAATATGTTTAAGCAAAATTGTCAAAAATAAAGTATGATAGTTATATATAGTTCTTGTGGTATTTTGTTTATAGCGAAAAAAAATAGTTAAAGTATTATAAAATATAATTATAATAAGCGGTGTACCAAGAAAGAAAATAAATAAATGTCAATTGTACCAATGTTAGAAGAATACTGTGTATATGTATATCAATGTACATAGAGGGCGCTAATTCCATTTTATGGTTTATTATCCAGTGTCAACTGTCATGCGGTTATAGTCATCGAAATTACATTTTTGCATTATCCCATAAATAAATAAATAAATATGTTGGGACACTAACACATCACCATCTAGTTCCATAATAAGCTACAAACGAGGCTTGTGTTATGGATACCAGATAGTTGATACACTACACATATATAACTTTAAATACATACTTATTATAAATATAAACACCCATCACTGGAGTACAAACATTCGTGCTCATCACACAAATGAATGCCCCCAGCGGGATCGGAACCTGCGACCGCTGGCACAGCAAGGAGGGTCACTATAAACTGAGCCAAACGTGTCGTCCTATATTATACACATTTCAGTGCGCACACTTGTAAATAACTAAATGGATTCGGAATTAGCGCAATACATCATCTTTTATTCTATTGAGGAAAAAACAGGGAAAATAGTCCGAATTCATATTAGAAATATTTACTAGTATAATATTATATAAATAGCATTGGGCCTTTAGTCTATGTCGAGCCATAGCATTCATGCTAACAACAGGTAGACTATATGGCGTAGAAAAAGTCTTTATAGATGTTGTACGGCAGAGGGTCCGTAGGGACCCCGTCCGGCACTCTGGTGCGAGTGGTGTGCACACCCTTCCACTCCAAGTCCTGTTTTATGCGTGTGTCGTCCACGACGTTGGTTGCGGAAGAGGAAAGAGGCTAGCGGCCTGCCGTATGCTCGTTTTATAGAGCTCCGCTCTGACCCCACCAGATTCCATCGACACGACCCGCTCACAAATGGAACGAATACTGAACAGATGGTATAAATAAAAAAGAAACTCACCATCATCTGCTGAGCAGTTCACTGGACTATATTCTTTCAGTACATTCAAAAGCTGTAGTACTTTTGGTGACGAATATTTTACGATCTTATCATAGCCTACTTTCTCTTTCATAGCTTCAATAAGAACCATTCTAGCCCTAAAATATAAGACATTTTTATGAAAAACACGTTTCTGGTGAGGTGATTTGGTATCCTTAACAATATCGTAATTTTAGTTCTTTTTTATTTGTTACAATATCAGTCTATATAAACGGGCAAAAAAGTACCTCAAAAGAAAAAAAAACTTGGCTTCCCGCCTGGCTGGATTGCCGGACGCTAACGATCCAACCACGACAAAATGAACACACATCAAGGGGGAATAAAAAGTAATCTACATAAAAACATATCTCCTCAATCTAGGCGGTTGCGGCGGTTGGATTGCTTTATTTGCAGATTAGAATTGCGGGTACCTAATCTATGATATGCAAGTAGTTATATTGTGGTATAACTCGCGTCATCTAAAAAGAACGCTGGAAGAAAGTGGAGGGGGTATGTTTGCGCATGGGTATACTCGCGCACAAAAGTACTAAGCCTATTATTTTATTTTTCATAGCATTTCGCTCGCGGCTTCATATATTAGTTATTGGTAACGATCGAAACGTCGGGAACCAAAAATCAAAATAAATCCGCGAAATAATCCGAAAAGATAGTTTTATTTAATATTGGTAACGACATTGAAAAATGTATTATATAAAAATATATTTTTTTTTATTTTATTTTAAATAGAAACATCATCCTTTGTCATTAAATAAAATTAAAAACATGTTTGTTTCAGTGTAAAATGTTTTAATCTTTATATATAAAAACTTCGTTTTACATGACGCGAGTTATACATTGAAAAATATATTAGATAGAATATCATTACATAGAATTCTATTCGTTATTAAAATATGTTTGATTCAGTGTAGAATGTTTAATCTACTTACAAAAAATTAAATTAATACGTTTAATACCTTTTTTTAATTAATAACTCCATTATTATCAGACTCTCTCTATAAAACAATATACGTCAAAAATAATGTTTCTCTCTTTTCTATATATAAAACCATTTCGTAATTAAAAACTTTTGTGCGCGCGATGGTACTTCGAACTAACGAACCAATAGCGCGCCGGCAAGCACGCGGCGCGTGCCCCGCCGCCACGCGCCCCACCTCTTACCACCAATTTGACCGATAAATCGCTTCTGTGCAGCTTGACATCCAGCGTTTTTTTTAGATGACGCGAGTTATACGCGTGATTAAAAAAGGGACTAAGTCAGAAATATAATACAAATTATCAATGAAAAGTTTTCATCATTGAAAACTAATATAGAATTATCGTAAATTGAGCTAAAATATTTAAAAGTACAATTAAAAGGACCGAGCGTGAAAACGATGAAAGCTTTAATTTTAATTATTCATTCTTAATAAACAAAATAGTACATAAATATACAAGTTGGTTAGCTACATAATATATAAAATACACCATACATATAAAGGACTGCATTTATATTTCAACAAATCTGTCGATCTCGTTTTAATTTTATATTATTATATTATATTCGCCGAATGAACCAAGCACTGAGATTTTGCGCTTCAACGTGATTAGTTGTAGATAAGACGCTTAGGCCACGATTACAATGCAAGTCATAATTAGTCCGTTGTTGCATTCCGTACCGTTCAGACGTCTCTCTTGTTACCTTATTTATTATCAATGTAGAAGATAACAGTAATACGTCGGAAAGTGAAAATTAATAAATAATATATATATTTAAAAATACAGTTAATTTTATTTTAATGTTGATTTTATTTTATTACAAATTATTAATAATTCCTAGTTCCTACACTAAATCATTAGCAAATAGCAACATGAACGAGCCCTATGATTTCAAACCAGTTGCAAGCGTTAGCGGGCGGAGGTAGACAATTTTCTCTCCTTATTAGTTTGTATGGTAACGTGGGACAGAGAAAGTGCTTTGCATGGTTCACTCCGTGAATAGAGTATAGCTAGATACTACAGAAAGACTTACTCAATAGAATGTGTTATAACTATAGTATATAGCAGTTCTTCTTCTTGTGTGGCGGCCCAACGTTTTCTTCTTTCAAAGGCGACAATATAAGAAAGTATTGCAATTGCACCACCGTAAATTCCCATTTCCTTTATCGTTTCTATCATAGATTGTATCATGTTCTTCACTGATTTTATAATCTGACATGTTAACAGTTTAATTAAAGAAAAAATCATGAAACAATGTGTTTAAAAATAATAAAATTACATTCCGATTTCTGACACAAATATAATAGACTAAATAACTTTAAAGACATATTTTAATCAAATACCAATCGTGTAACCAATATTGATTTTCATCTATTTAGAAGCAGCGATGAAACAAGCAGACAAACAAAATATGTATATAATTGTCAATTACGTTCAGTTAGATTTTAAATAAAACTATCTTTTCGGATTTTTTCGCGGATTTGATGCGAATGGTCACGGGAGAGAGTCTCTCCCGTAATCACGAATGCTATAAAGCATTCGAAACGTCGGGAACTAAAAATCCAAATAAATCCGCGAAAAAATCCCAAAAGATAGTTTTATTTAAAATGTCAAATATTCGCGTAAATCTAAGAAAGTATTCAGTAGACAGTTCAGGCTTATAGTAGGTGAAGTAAGATTGTTCGAAGTAAGGTTTTTTTCTATTATCTGTTTGCCAGATGTAAGTTGTAGGTGTATGTTGCATTAAGCATAACTTATTAGAATATGTGCAATGGGAAACACTATAATTATATTATAATATGTATATATGACATTTTTCATTATATTATTTTTATATCAGTTAAAAGATTCCTTGACCTAATTTTCTTTATTAATTTGCTTTATTGAGTTATCCATACAGATAAATAAAATTGAAGTGTCCGTTTGTAATGTCGAAATAACAGCTTTTTACTAAATGTTTATGAAATTATATACGGTACTTATAAGAAAAACACAACGACACATGAATGACAATCAGACCTCGGACTTTAATTAATTTTAAGTTTATTGAACTAACTCGAAACTCGTTCTCGTTTCATATGTAAAACTATAACATATACTTAAAATAACCGATAATTAAATTGGTTCAAATCTTGAACATTTGTTAAACTTGAACGTTTATCGAAAAAGCATTTCCATTACCTTTGCAGGGTCCGTAGATATATCAAGTTGCCATGGTTTCAATTTCACATCTGGATTAAGTACAGGTTTAGGCAAATCGACAGACATAACATTCGATTGAAGTTCAGAGAGAAGAACTATTGCTTCTAGAGCCGCGTCATTCATCGACGGTGTTTTATAATATTGAACTAACTCATGCGGATTTGTTGAATGCCTACAAATGTTAATAGATAATTTAACATATATTTTATGATTAAACGAACTTACCTGTACGTGAAGTTCAATCATAATTATATGAGCAGCTTCATTCGAAGCGATTTAATTTACAATTTGTAACTAGTCCCACGCGTCAGCCATCCACGGATATTTAGAGAGCAGTCAAAATAATTTTAGACTACCCTCCACCAAGTTACCTCACTCCGGTATATGTCATCATACTTCATTATGTTTAAAGTTGACCGATATATTTTTATTTCGCTATTCTTAAAGGGTTGGGTTTATAATTATAAACCTGGGCGGGATGTAAATCGCTTCGAATGAAAATTATGATTGAACTTCACGTACAGGTAAGTTCGTTTAATCATAAATTATATTTCGCAGCTTCATTCTTTGCGATTTAATTTACAATTTGTAGCTGTTTAGAGTTAGAGAAATAGCGAAATAAAATTAGAAGCATCTCTCAAACAAGCAAGCTCTGTAGCATCAGCAAAGAGCTGCTGCACGCCGTAATGGCTAACGAAGTGTTCAATGTATATGATACTTAAAGTATGGTTTTATAAAACTAATGAATAAATTTCATCACTCTTTTGAAAATACGTAGTATTCTCTACATTTGCATAAACATTAAGATCTGGCAAGAGCAAGACAGATATAATGATAAAATTACTGTAATGAATTAATTTTTAATGGTTTTAAAAATTGTGTCAGTGCTTGCAATTATTTATATCATGATTAAATTTTAATATATTTAATTTCATTGTTTAAAAGTTTGCACTCTATGCCATAGGAGTCACAATCTTTTTCGATAAAGATTCTAAATCAAAAGCTTTTCTGTGCCATTTTAGAATAAAGATATTTAAAACCTGATTAGGGTGCACAGTAATATTTTATCTTGAAAGTGAAGAATCTATACATAGATCTAAACACATTCTATAAAAGTTTTCATCCTATCTCATTTTTAATAAGTATATTTTTTTAAATCAAAAATAATGTTGAATTATAGGAATTGTTAGTTCCATATTTAAAAATCGAATCTGAAACTTCAGTTAGAAAAATAAATTATTTTTAGAATTGATTTACATATGTAAATATTTATAATTATATTTTTTATAGTACATATCCATGATTTTAAACAAATATCATAATGCTTGTATGTATTTTTAGACAATGATTCATTTTTGCAATAATTTTTGTAGCATCTTTTAAATAAGCGGAATACTATAGTATACATATGTGTATATAATATGTAAAAAACGACAACAAACCAAGAATTTTGGCCAGGTCAAGCGCGGATCGGGGGGGGGGGGCATGGGGGTCATGACAACCACCCCCCCCCCTCCCCAAAGCCAAATAAATAAATATAATTTTTAGAGAAGTTTGAAGTCTAAGAAAGGAAGGAATAAACGGATAAACATTTCGATTTAAAAAAAAATGGTTATTATATGTATTTTTAAGATTATATTCCCCTAGTTTCATGAATATCAAAAAGTTTTTGCAGAAATCAATATACATAAATTCGTTGGCTCACTATTACAAGGTTCTATGTTAATTTTAATGAAGTTTAGTAATTTTTACATAGAACTTCGTTATTTTGTTACCGTAAAAAAACAACACAGAACTATGTAAAATTAAATATTTTGTAGTTATACTGCCGCTACCTAGTGGTTTGTTTCTGCAAAACTGTAGCTAATGACACATAGAACCTTGCAGCATTAATAACTAAATAAGTACTAAAATTGTAACAAATTATAACCTTGTAATAATGAGCCAACGAATTATTATAAAATTGTAACTAAGTCGAATCTGTACATTAAACATTTTTTGGAAAATTAATTGAAATAGACATTATTATCGATACAGAGTCCGAATCTATAGTTTTTAGAATTTTTGTCTAACTGTCTGTCTGTTACCGCATCACGAGAAAACCACTGGACAGATTTTAATGAAACTTATATAAAGAATATTTTTCGATAAGATGTCACAACAAGCCAAAAAACAAAAAAAAAACTATTTTTCAACGTTTTTTGTTCCTTATTCTAAAGTGTTAAAGCTTTGCAACACGATGTTAAGTGTCTGGCATTGAATGACGTGATTTTTTATAATATTCTGAAGGTAATACCAAAAATTCACACTTTATTATTTGACGAATTTAGATCAGTATTTTACACACCTTTAGTACCGTGTACCTGCCAAAGCCACCATAGCCTGAACTTCATAATGGTCCATCGTTCTTATCTGTGTTAGGAGCATGCGCTGACAAACTTTCAGCTTTTATAAAATGACGAAGGTCTGGCGTTCACGGGCTCTTAGGCCAGTAGAATGAAGTATGATGACATGTACCGGAGTGACTTGGTAGAGGGTAGTCAAAAATTATTTTGACAACTCTCTAAATATCCGTGGATGGCTGACGCGTGGGACTAGTTACAAATTGTAAATTAAATCGCAAAGAATGAAGCTGCGAAATATAATTCAAATACCAACGTTACTTATATCATTATTTATATCGTGGTTTGAAATGAAACTAGATCCTTCCTATTAGCCATCTCAACTTACTTTAAATATGTATTGAAGAGTCAGTGTGTCTTTTTAGTTTTAAAAAAGTAATTATTAAATGTAAACATTATGCAATCAGTATAATATTATTATTTAAAATAATATTAACAACTTCGGGTAAGTTGCTAATACTTCGCGATTCGCTAGAGTGACTATATGTAGCTTCACATTGTTTTATGTATTTAAATTGCATCCAAATCTATTCAGTCATTTCGGCGTGAAGAAGTAACAGACACAGAGACACACACAACCCAAGATCAACATTCACATTTTCGCATTTTTACATACTAATATTATAAATCCAAAAGTAACTATCTGTCTGTCTGCTATCTTTTCTTGTTTAATCCGCTGAACCGATTTAGATAAAATTTGGTATGAAGATAGTTTGACAACCTAGGAAGGACATAAAATAGTTTTTATCCCGAAAATCATCCATTAAGGGGGTGGAAGTTTGTATGGGAAATCATTGCTCAAGTAAGGGATATAAAACTCATAATGTCTATGAATATAATATATCATCTATCTATTCTATACTAACAGTTAACACGTACCTAAGGATGAACCTGAGCGAAGCCAGGGTGAGTCGCTATTATTATATACTAGCGACTCACCCTCGCTTCGCTTAGGTTCGTCCCTAGGTACGTTTTGACGCTTAGTATATAGAAATAGTTTTTTTTTTTTCAAATTTCTTTATTTCGTGAATTTTTCGGATGTTTTAATAGTTATTCTGCTGTTCGGGGAAAAGACAAATAAAATAAAACATATATCATAAAAATCGATCCAGCAGTTCTCGAGTTATAAGTGTTGTAACAAATCCGACTTTGTTTTTTATATATAATAAATAATAAATTAACAGTTAATAGTAATCCTAGTAAACTTACGTAGCAACTTCTCCCATGTCATTGGCTGTAGCGATTGTTGCGTGAAATGTAATTTCTAAATTACGCAAATTCTCCTCAACTTTGCTTAACTTTACGTTGCTATTCAAAAGAGTTGCTGTCAAACCTGCAAAACGCGTTATGACTTTGGTAAAAGGGAAGCAAATATATATATATATATATATATATATATATATATATATATATATATATATATATATATATATATATATATATAGTACCTGGGCCACCGAGCTTTGCTCGGAGTCTTTGGTTAAAAAGCACAATTTTCTTTAAAAAAAACTAAAATCTTGAATAAATATTAAAAACAAAATAAAAACTTTGTACGTTACCGAGATTCGAACCTGGGCACCTGAGATAGTCGATCTTGCACCTTAGCCGCTTGAACACGAGGCTTATATCCAAGCGTGCGAAATTATCGAACATAATATTTTGCGTGGAATAATACAAAAGAAATAATAATAATAAAGCTTTATTTATTCTATAAATGCTTACATATAATTTTAAATTATAATTAAGTACTCTTACTTAATTAATAATTTTTAACATTGTATTTTAACAGATCATATTTATAACTTATTTGATTACATTATATATTTAATTTAACTTCAATTTCTGGTTAGTGACTATTTATTAACTTATCATTTTTTAACTAATAATTTTGTAATCTGGAATTAAATTATTTTAAAAATCTTTAATATTATTCGAAATGATATTGTATGTTGTAAGCAATTACTTAATTGATTAATATATATAAATTATCATTAACAAATAAATAAACAATCACAATAAATTAAATAATTCAATTGAGTAAATACTAAACATTTCACAATAATAAATATAAACAAAATTTCTTTCCATACATTAATTCTGACAATACATAGTTATAAATTAGGTATTTAATTTCATAATTAAATGCATTTATTTAGTAAATGTCTTTTGTGAATTTCCTATTAGGTTTCATGTATAGACCCCTCTCGGGTAAAAGCCTCCTCCAAAGTATCCTGCATAGAGCTGTCCGTTGGAGATTATGCTTGTATGATTGCAAAGGGTTTCTTTTCAAATTTTGTTTCCAATATATAATTTGTTTCTGATATGCCTACAAAGTTTATAATTTTATCTTTGTGTTCTTTTGATTTGTTGTAGGAAATGCTGCTTTTAATTCTAGAAGTTTTTTTGGTGAAGATATGTATACCTTTGTTCATTGTATGTCTGTTTTTCTTTTGAGGGTTACGGTCGAACTCCCCCACGGTGACCAGCCGTACTGGGGGATAAAGATGAGAAGTTTCTTCTGTGTTTACTATACTATATTTTGCTGTGTTGTTTTTAGTTGTTCCTGGTTATCCTTTGTGTGGTTGAAAGTTAATTTTGGTTTTAGTAATATAAAGTCTTTAATATTAGCAGGTTTGGTTTTCTTTGTATGTTGTTTATTTCTTAGTTTTTGTTTATTATTGAGGTAAGGCGTTTCTGGAGATACAGGCAGACTTCTTTTATTTGAGTATTGGCGAGAAGTGTTCTTATTATTATCCATAACAATTAGTTTGTCATATTTAATGAAAGCTGTTTTACCTAGGTCTTTTTCTATCTTCAGTTGGGCTGTAACTCCTTGCGTTTGTTTATGACTTCTATTGGGTAGTCCTCTTAATGTAATATTGAGTACCACATAAACAATTGCCATTTTTCTGAACTTTTAGTTTCAGGCCTATTGTTCTTTCATTTCTAACATTTCTGTTTTCTGCTGTTTTATTTCTTGTTGCATGTTTATTAACAACTTTTTTATGTCCTCCACTTTAAGTGTGAAGTTGGAAGTAGAAAAGCTGATTGAAAAAGAGCACCTATTATCCCTAGTTGAATTACCATTTTATATAGAGTATTAAATTTTGAGGTTATAAACTTATGTTTTAATATTTTATGCTTTCACTTCACAAATTTATTTTGTTTTATTGTCATCAGACACAGAAAATATGGTTTTGCACTGATAGTATCTATATTTTATGTTTGTCACTTTTGTATTTGTTGGTAGGTGAATTTTTAAAAGCTCATTTGTTCTTCAGCACATCAAGACTTGGTGATGTTTACATATTGCCCATAGGTTCTATCGATTAATTTGTATTTTATTTCCACTATAATATATTTAAACTTGATTTTAATACGGAAACGTTATAGTGTAGACAGTTGTACAGTGGCGCCTCCCACCCACCAGAAGTGACAACTGACAATGCAAAAATGTGAAAATGCAAAAGAAAATCGCATGAAAATTCAAAAACACGCGTATTCCCAGACATAAGACTAATCTAGATCGATTTATCGCCTCCGAAACCCTTTGTATACTAAATTTCAAGAAAATCGTTGGAGCCGTTTCCGAGATTCAGATTATATCTATATATATATCTTATATATTTAAACGAGCTATTCTTGTATATATATATATATATCTCAATATATAATCTGAATCTCGAAAACGGCTCCAACGATTTTCATGAAATTTAGTATACAAAGGGTTTCGGGGGTGATAAATCGATCTAGATTAGTCTTATGTCTGGAAAAACGCGTGTTTTCGAATTTTCATGCGGTTTTCTTTTGCATTTTCACAATTTTTGCATTGTCAGTTGTCACTTCTGGTGGGTGGGAGGCGCCACTGTACAACTGTCAACATCGTGTCCGTATTTACATGAAGTTTAAAAATATTTAAGTGAAAATAATCTAAAGAAAATTCTAATTAATTTAATAATAATTTTAAGAAATATTAATCGATAAAACCTATGGGCAATATGTAGGTACACATCACCAAGTCTTGATGTGTTGAAGAACAAATGAGCTTTTAAAAATTCACCTACCAAACAAATACAAAAGTGAGAAACATAACATACAGATACTATCAGTGCAAAACCATCTTTTCTGTGTGTGATGACAATAAAACAAAATAATTTGTGAAGTGGAAGCGTAAAATATTAAAACATAAGTTTATAACCTCAAAAACTAATACTCTGTATAAAATTGCAATTCAACTAGGTATAATTGGTGCTCTTTTTCAATCAGCTTTTCTACTTCCGACTTCACACTTAAGATGGAGGAGATAAAAAAGTTGCTAATAAACATGCAACAAGAAATAAGACAGCAGAAAACAGAAATGTTAGAAATGAAAGAAGACATTAAAAATACAATCAACAATAATATACTTAAATGAGAAATTTAAACACTTAGAAATAAAAAAATCCTCAATAAATAATTTAGAAAGACATATTAGGCGCAAGAACTTGGTTATGTTCGGAGTAGAAAAAGGTGAAAAATCCTATCATGAACTAGAGGAAAAAATAAAGTCTTAAATAAACGCAAGGAGTTACAAGCCCAACTGAAGATAAAGAAAAAGACCTTGGCAAAACAGCTTTCATTAAATATGATAAACTAATTATTGTGGATAATAATAAGAACACTTCTCGCCAATACTCAAATAAAAGAAGTCTGCCTGTATCTTCAGAAACGCCTTACCTCAATTATAAACAAAAACTAACAAATAAATAACATACAAAGAAAACCATACATGCTAATATTAAAGACTTTATATTACAAAAACCAAAATTAACTTTCAACCACACAAATGATAACCAGGAAGAACTAAAAACAACACAGCAAGATACAGTATATTAAACACAGTAGGAACCTCCTCATTTTTATCCCCCAGTATGGCCGGTCACTGTGGGGGAGTTCGACCGTAACCCTCCAAAGAAAAACAGACATACAATGAACAAAGGTAATATATATCTTCACCAGAAAAACTTCTAGAATTAAAAGCAGCATTTCCTACAACAAATCAAAAGAACACAAAGATAAAATTATAAACTTTATAGGCATATCAGAAACAAATTATAGTATATTGGAAACAAAATTTGAAAAGAAACCCTTTGCAATCATACAAGCATAATCTCCAACGGAGAGCTCTATGCAGGACTACTTTGGAGGAGGCTTTTAACCGAGAGGGGTCTATACATGAAAAAGACATTTACTAAATAAATACATTTAATTATGAAATTAAATACCTAATTTATAACTATTGTCAGAATTAATGTATGGAAAGAAATTTTATTTATATGTATTATTGTGAAACGTTTAGTATTTACTCAATTGAATAATTTAATTTACTGTCATTGTTTATTTATTTGTTTGTTAATGATAATTTATATATATACAATATAATTTCAAATAATATTAAAGATTTTTAAAATAATTTAATTCCAGATTACAAAATCATTAGTTAAAAAATTATAAGTTAATAAATAGTCACTAAATTATATAATTTTATATTTCAGCAATGTGATATAGACATTTTTTCTGATAGTTTAAATTTATTTAAAAAGAAAGTGTATTTAAATATTTAGATTAGTTTTTTTTTTCTTCTTTTGTTTATTGTACAACTAAAACGGCTCCTTATATACTCTTAACCAAATAAAATTTTAATGGAATACTTTTATAAGAAGCTGTGCATACTTTTAAATTAAGTTTATATACAAATAGGTAAAATTATAATGTTAAATAAAATTTTTTATGTAAATTTAGTTAGTAAGCCTTTATAATAAATAAATGAATAAATAAATAGAGCTTTATTATTATTATGATTCCTTTTGCATTATTTCAATAAATTAATAATTAATAATTCCACGCAAAATATTATGTTCGATAATTTCGCATGCTCAGATATAAGCATCATGGTCAAGCGGCCAATGCGCAAATTTGACAACCACAGGTGTCTGGGTTCGTATCCCGGTCGGACACAAAGTTTTTAATTTTGTTTTTTTTTGTAGTTATTCAAATTCGTAGTTTTTTTCTTTTTAATTTTTTTTTTTGGCCAAACACTCCGAGCAAGGCTCGGTCGCCCAGGTACTATATATATATATATATATATATATATATATATATATATATATCTCAATATATAATCTGAATCTCAGAAACGACTCCAACGATTTTCATGAAATTTAGCATACAAGGGGTTTCGGGGGCGATAAATCGATCTAGATTAGTCTTATGTCTGGGAAAATGCGTGTTTTCGAATTTTCATGCGATTTTCTTTTGCATTTTCACAATTCTTGCATTGTCATTTGTCAGTTGTCACTTCTGGTGGGTGGGAGGCGCCACTGTACAACTGTCTACACTATATCGTGTCCGTATTAAAATCAAGTTTAAAAATATTTTAGTGGAAATAATCTAAAGAAAAGAGATACAAATTAATCAATAAAACCTATGGGCAATATGTAAACATCACCAAGTCTTGATGTGCTGAAGAACAAATGAGCTTTTAAAAATTCACCTACCAACAAATACAAAAGTGACAAACATAAAATATAGATACTATCAGTGCAAAACCATCTTTTCTGTGTCTGATGACATTGACAATAAAACAAAATAAATTTGTGAAGTGAAAGCGTAAAATATTAAAACATAAGTTTATAACCTCAAAATTTAATACTCTATAAAATGGTAATTCAACTAGGAATAATAGGTGCTCTTTTTCAATCAGTTTTTCTACTTCCAACTTCACACTTAAAGTGGAGGACATAAAAAAGTTGTTAATAAACATGCAACAAGAAATAAGATGAATGAAATAACAATAGGCCTGAAACTAAAAATTCAGAAAAATGTCAATTGTTTATGTGGCACTCAATATTACATTAAAGAGGACTACCCAATAGAAGTCTTAAACAAACGCAAGGAGTTACAAGCCCAACTGAAGATAGAAAAAGACCTAGGCAAAACAGCTTTCATTAAATATGACAAACTAATTTATTTATATATATTCTGTTATGGATAAAAATAAGGACACTTCTCGCCAATACTCAAATAAAAGAAGTCTGCCTGTATCTCCAGAAACGCCTTACCTCAATAATAAACAAAAACTAAGAAATAAACAACATACAAAGAAAACCAAATGTGCTAATATTAAAGACTTTATATTACAAAACCAAAATTAACTTTCAACCACACAAATGATAACCAGGAACAACTAAAAACAACACAGCAAGATATAGTATAGTAAACACAGAAGAAACTTCTCATCCTTATCCCCCAGTAAGGCTGGTCACCGTGGGAGAGTTCGACTGTAACCCTCAAAAGAATAACAGACATATAATGAACAAAGGTATACATATCTTCACCAAAAAAACTTCTAGAATTAAAAGCAGCATTTCCTACAACATATCAAAAGAACACAAAGATAAAATTATAAACTTTGTACGCATATCAGAAACAAATTATATATTGGAAACAAAATTTGAAAAGAAACCCTTTGCAATCATACAAGCATAATCTCCAACGGAGAGCTCTATGCAGGATACTTTGGAGGAGGCTTTTACCCGAGAGGGGTCTATACATGAAACCTAATAGGAAATTCACAAAAGACATTTACTAAATAAATACATTTAATTATGAAATTAAATACCTAATTTATAACTATGTATTGTCAGAATTAATGTATGGAAAGAAATTTCATTTATATTTATTATTGTGAAATGTTTAGTATTTACTCAATTGAATTATTTAATTTCTTGTGATTGTTTATATATTTATTTGTTAATGATAATTTATATATATTAATCAATTAAGTAATTGCTCGTAAGCTAACAACAAGTTGAATGTAACTAAATAATAATGTTATCATAACATACAATAACATTTCAAATAATATTAAAAAAATTTAAAATAAATTAATTCCAGATTACAAAATTATTAGTTAAAAAATTATAAGTTAATAAATAGTCACTAAATTATATAATTTTGTATTTCAGCATTTTTTCTGATAGTTTAAATTTATTTAAAAAGAAAGTGTATTTAAATATTTAGATTAGCTTTTTCTTCTTCTTTTGTTTATTGTACAACTAAAATGGCTCCTTATATACTTTTAACCAAATAAAATTTTAATGGAATACTTTTATAAAAAGCTGTGCATACTTTTAAATTAAATTTATATACAAATAGGTAAAATTATAATGTTAAACAAATGTTTTTATGTAAATTTAGTTAGTAAGCCTTTATAATAAATAAATGAATAAATAAATAGAGCTTTATTATTATTATGATTCCTTTTGCATTATTTCAATAAATTAATAATTAATAATTCCACGCAAAATATTATGTTCGATAATTTCGCATGCTCAGATATAAGCATCATGGTCAAGCGGCCAATGCGCAAATTTGACAACCACATGTGTCTGGGTTCGTATCCCGGTCGGACACAAAATTTTTAATTTTGTTTTTTTTTGTAGTTATTCAAATTCTTAGTTTGTTTTTTTTTTAATGTTTTTTTTTGGCCAAACACTCCGAGCAAGGCTCGGTCGCCCAGGTACTATATATATATATATCGGTATCCGCGGCTTCGCCCGCGTCAAAACTTCCGATCGCTAACAAAATTCACAGGATCTTGATTTAATATTGAATATAATATGTTGTTTTATAAATTACTGAAGTAGGCATACAATGTGTGAAGAATGGCTATTTAATTTATAAAACAATACACTTTGGTACCTATTCAAAATAAGTAATTAATTTTAAAGATCTTTTTTTTATTCCTTTAAAGGGGCCTTGTTTTAGATATTTATGTGTATAGAATAAAACATACCAAGTATTCTAGGCTGTTTGTTTACTGGACATAACTCAAAATGTTTCATCACCAATCGCATAGGATGGTCGTCTACTGCATGGTGACATTCATCAAATATGATCAGACTTATATCTTCAATTTTTATGAATTTATGTGTAATCATATCGTGAAGAATTTGACTTGTCATCACTATCACCTGTAAAAACAATATATTCCTGTTAATATTATAAATGTCAATGTTTGTTCCTCAATCACTGGTAAATCAATGAACTTTTAATTGATTTAATAAATAAATATGTTGGGATATTGACACGCAGCACCATCTAGTTCCATGGTAAGCTAGTAGTCTTGTGTTATGGATACCAGAGTTGATACTCTACACATTCTTCTTCTGCACGGCCTTTTCCGCACCTTGGCCTTTTGCGTTAGCTTGTGCTGTGTGTAGTATTAGTCTTTCCATCCCAGAGAGTCCCAGTAGTCTAACAGGCTGCCCGGTGTCCTGGAAGATTTCTGGGACTGATCCTCTGGGGCCAAGTTTTTCTACAAGTAGTTGTTCCAGTTCACAGCATTCCATAAGAATGTGGGCTGGTGTTACTCTACACACACACACACACATATATATATATATATATATATAACTTTAAATACATAAATAATATAAATATATTATGTATGTATAATAACACCTATCACTGGAGTACACACATACATGCTCATCAAACAAATGAATGCCCCCAGCGGGACTCAACACAGTAAGACATTGGTCAGTCCACTTCACTAAGTCATAATTCCATGGACTAAAATCTCCTAACATGTGATCTCCGAATAATGTGATAACAAAATCATCTTTTATAATGAGTAATTATAATTAATCATTATGTTAATCAGTTTAACATAACGAATAAAAATATGGAAATCATTTTCATAACAACTATTCTGTATTGATCTCATGTGAACTCTTGATTTCTCTGCCACTTCAAACGGGTGCTTTTAGGCTATAGATATAAAAAAGAGATATAGATATTAAATAGAGCTGAATACACAAATAAGCAATGAATTATATAAAAACAAAATTAATATAAATAAATGTCAGGCTATATACATACCTCATGCTTAGAGAGTTCATAGTCCCATTTGTTTTTATCCCAGTAATCAACTTTATCTTCACTACAGAAACCAGCTACACCATCAACTGGACACTGATGCTCAATCACTTTTTTCTAAAAATTTATATTACGAAATAAATTAATCAAACTATACAAATTTATTAAAATATTCGCTTTAGTACTACCCAAAGACCTATCATACATAAATATTTTGACTAACATCTAATGTACATTTTGACCCAGATATAATGATATTTATGATTTTATTGAAGACTCCAAACAGTCCTCTTGAAATAGAGATTCTTAAATTGTCTCAAAATCTTTTTTAAATGTGCTTCTCACAAATTTCTTCATAACATCACTTATTTCGACTACCTACATCCACACATAAACACATATAATCATATCTGTGCATAATACGTCTTTATTATTTAACAAAAAAACCTCATTAAAAGTGAATCATGCCAGTTAATCAATGCAAGCAAAAACAAAGAATCTGTTTAAATTCAAATACAAAGCCTTGATTTTAATTATAATTAAAATATTATACATCTACTTGTAATATATATAAATACTTTAGATTTACTATTACCATAGTAAGCTATTAAAGAGTGGAAATGAAAAACTTTGTTTAGTTGTTATCTATATCCTTTAAGTGCTTTAAAGTTAGTTATAAACATTTTTAAAGACTTACTTGTTGAGTTACCAGTGGAACATTATTTACTAAAAAAAAGCAACGCTTTCCTCCTTCTCCCCATGGTTTTTGAAAAGTATGTCTCAATCGTTTAATAAGTCTTATTGCAATTAAAGTTTTACCAGAACCTATAAAAGAATTATCAATCAAATAACTTGAAACATTAAAAATAACAAATATTAATAATTTTGCCCATAGCTAATTAAAAAAAGTACCTGTAGGTAAATGTATGATTGTATTTTTTCTAAATGCAATTTCTTCTATTTGAGCCTGATAAATTCTTGGAATAAGTTCTAAATTTGAGTCCATTTTAATTTTTGTTTTTGAATTTCATATGGAATTATATGTTTTTATTGTTTCATCTGTAAATACAAGTACACATAATATGCATGTGATTTTTTTTCCTGTAATAAATTGTTTTGTACAAAACAATATAAAGTTTGGATGTAATATTTTGATATACTATTGTTTAGATTTAATCGACTAAAGACCCATATATGATCTAAGGATTCTCCTGCATTTCATACAAAAATTCTCATGAATAATTCCCAGGATCTATAGATATCTTCCAGGATAGATGATACCTATACTAATTATAATCTAATGGAAAAGTTTGTTCTTTTTGTTTAAACGCGCTAATCTCTGGAATTACCAGTTGGATTTGAAAAATATTTTTTTCATTGACTAGTCTTTTTTTAGAGCAGTTACAATCTTTTAAGATCGAAATAGTTATACATAAATAAACTACGCGACCGGAGCCACGGGAAAAAATCCATTCATATGTATATAATGATCATGCACAGTACCTATCTTACAAAATATTAAATATGAATATTCAAAATATTTCTTCTATAATTTATTGATCATATTTTTTTAGTTTGAAATTAATAGATCTGCAATTAAATAATATTTTTTATAAATTTCATTAATATAGCTAAACTTCTCATGCATAAAATGATGCAACTTCATAATCAAATTGTGATATATATTAAAAACAAATACTCACTGAAACCTTCCTTTACTAATAGAAATTTACTTAATTTTATTACTGGTATTTATTAATAAAATCTATTTTATCGTGCAACAACAGTAAAGTATTCTTTCTCAAAACGCCGGCACCCATGAAGCAATATACTATATGTCGACACCGAAATGAACGTTTTGAGTTTTCACTTTTCAAGTGAAAGAAAGAGCTAGAAACGTCAAATGTCAATGTTATGACTCTATGAGTTCCTTAGACGTTAGTGGAATGCCCCGTACGAGCAGTCATTTGTTGCTTAATGTAAAAATATGTATATTTTAATAGCTGTGTAAAAAAAACTAAAAAATATTAGTTATTAAATGTTATAGGAAAAGAAAAAACTATGTAAATATAAATTAGCTTACTAGTGAATGAGAATTATAACAAATAATATTTACCATTACATATTATAAGTTACGGAGCCCTAATCCCACGAATATGCTGACGTACCAAATGGATGAAAGCTTCTCAGGGTACCACCGCCGAGTTCCCCGTAGTAGCCTTACAATGCCCCATTGTTCTAATTTCTAATTTTATTTAATTATTATAATTGTAATATTATTTTAATCACTCTTTATTCCCACTTTGAATAAAGAAGTCGTTAGTTTTATGATAATTATTGTACTAATATAATATTAATAAATAATTAATACCTAATTATTCGTTTTTTTCGACCTCATGACTGCTGCAAACGTAATTAGTACGTAAACCACATAATTTTGTAAGCGTGCAGACGATGCACATTTCAGATTGCTGAGAGACGCATTTGGAAGAAAATTTGTATGGTTTACCTCAGTAGACTCGGTGAAGCTTTCATTTGGTGGGTAGAACTGGCTTAATATATATTAAGTGTACATTTTTTTGGGTAATCCTTAACATTACAAAAAGGTTCTTACAGCAGCTTATGGTTACTTACAGGAGAAATAAATGTACCACATGATACAGGCAGTGTGATAGGGCAAGTTCTCGAAAGACATGTCAAGTCGCACCCGCACTTGGCCACCGTGCTGGTGGGCTAGGGCCTGATCCCCCTCGTATTGAAGGGAGGCCCGTGCCCAACAGTGGGACATTAAAAATGATAAACATATACAATATGATAAGAATATTATTACTTCTTTGATAATATCTTATAATATAACATAGGCAGAATGTCTTCTAATTGTAAGTATCATAATTTTTGATAATTAATTGATCTAAGCAATTTTAATTTTTTTTTATTTGTATGTGTGTGTTTGAGCTTTGTTTTAGTATGTAATTAATAATAATATGTTGAGTAATCCTAACAGAAGTTTGGCATTTTTTGTCGTAAAAGGCCATTTTAGCGACCAAGAGATTAAGGTATTTTGAGGCTTTATCAAAATATAAATATAAAATGTCACATACAATATAAATAAATAAATCAAAACTCAGAAGAAAGGAATTCAGAAGTATTATAGTAAATAAATTTATATAATTATCCTTGATGTAGTAACATATGTTACTACAATACAAATGATGTAGTAAAATATATGATAAAGTGTACCAACAAACTCATATGTGTATACATGTACATATGTATTTAAATGATTGTTCCTGTTCTTGACTTAATAGCTCCTACAATTACATCAATTTTAAATTCCTCCTTACTTTCCCATAAGTTTCCTACTGCCTGGAAAGATGGTCAAGTAATTCCCATTCCAAAAAAGTCTAATCCATCGTGTTTTGCTGACTACCGTCCTATATTCATTCTCCCTTTCCTATCGAAAGTACTGGAGCGTCTTGTGCATTCACAGTTAAGCACGTTTCTTTTTAATCATAATCTTTTAAACTCCTTTGAATCCGGTTTCCGCTTCGATCATAGTACGACTACTGCATTGGTCAAAATCGCTGATGATATTAAAGAGGGTATGGACAGTCAGAAGGTTCCCGTGATGGTACTATTAGACTTCAGTAATGCCTTTAACACTGTTGATTTTGATATACTAATTGCCATATTAACTTCTCTTAACATATCTCCTGAGGTGATTGACTGGTTTCGTAGTTACTTGTGTGGCCGCCGGCAGCGTGTACGAATTGAGGATTCCTTTTCTGATTGGAATACGATCAATGCCGGTGTCCCACAAGGTGGCGTGTTGTCTCCTCTCCTGTTTTCAATTTTCATTAATTCTATTTGCCATCAAATTTCTTCTCTCTACCACCTATATGCCGACGACCTACAAATTTACGCAACCACATCTCTATGAAACTTACCTCATACAGTTAATTTAATTAATAATGATCTCGCCACAATCTTTGCTTGGAGTAAATCATATGGCCTTGATATTAACCCTATTAAATCGCAAGCTATTATAATAGGCAGCCAGAAACTGCATTCATAATTACTCGGTCATTGAAACCATCGGTGATGTTAAACGATGTTGAAATTCCTTTTACCGAAACAGTAAAAAACCTAGGAATCATTTTTGACCAGCATTTATCCTGGGGGCCACAGGTAAGTGTACTGAGCCGCAAGATGCTTGGAGCTGTTTCCTCCCTTCGCAGGTTGAGAAATTTTCTGCCTATACCTACTAAAATTGCGCTGGCAAATTCACTTTTATTACCAATACTTGATTATGCTGATATTTGTTTTCTTGACCTTAAAGAGGAGCACCTAAATCGACTTGAGCGCCTTCAAAATCTTTGCATACGGTTCATATTCGGTCTCCGTAAATATGACCACGTTTCTCACTTTCGCAAAAAGCTCAAGTGGCTCCCAATCCGCTTTCGCAGGAATACTCACAAAATTCATCTCCTCTACTGCGTGCTGTTTATTCCTTCTACCCCTTCCTATCTCAAAGAGCGTTTCGAGCTTCTAAGGAATTCTCATACTCGTTCCCTGCGTTCTAGTGAAACGCTTATCCTCAAAATTCCTTCTCACTCCTCCTGTTTTCTTACCAACTTCTTTTCTGTGAAAGCTGCACGTCTATGGAACTCTTTACCAGTACACATCAGACGGGCTGATAATTTGGACAAGTTTAAGACGATGTTAAAAACGCATTATTTATCTCTTTAGTTTGTCTTACTCATGGACGAATTTTCGTTCATGGTCTTACTATAATATATTATGTACAATATATTTGATATAATATGTATTTATTTGAAATACGTAACTTAAATAAATGTACTGATTATATTCTTCTATTACACTGCTTGTATGCATATATGTTTGTATGTATGTATGTATATATGTATGTGTATAAGTATGTATTTATACAAGTACACCACCTACCATTTTTATATACTGATTCCTCTACCCTAAGGTTGCCTGGAAGAGATCGCTTCTAGCGATAAGGCCGCCTGCTGTGCATCTTTTTATTGTTATGTATTTCACTTCTTTATTTATTTTCTTGTGTGGTGTGCAATAAAGTGTTCATTATTATTATTATTATGTATATAGTATATACATATCTATTGTGTATGTATCTATATAGGAATTAGTTTTTATATTTAGCAAGTGCACCTACCTTTTCGTATACTAATTCCACTCTAAGGTTGCCTGGAGCAGATCACTTCTAGCGATAAGAATGCCTGTTGTGCATCTCTTTTTATTATATATTTTCATGTATTTTTGTGTGGTATGCAATAAAGTGCCTATCTATTATCTATTTAATATGCAAATACAGGAAAATAGTCAATTCTCTTTATTTTAACTACAATAAAAACAAATACAACTACATATACAATACAATAAATACAAATTCATACATACATACATACATACATACATACATACATACATACATACAGTCTGTCAAGAAAGTCATGAAAAAAAAGGAGGGCGCCACCAACATTAACATGGTAATCCTATAAATTTCGACTAAAAGGTTTTGATACTTTTTTTATATATTTTATGCATTTACTGATATTTTTTTTCGTAATGGCTTAGAATTATTTACTGATTTATTATTATTTACTTTACTGTCATGTGGATTATCTGACAGATATCTATCTCACTCTCTGACTCAGGGTACAAAAAGAGTTATGACTTTCATTGGTAGTGGTGAACAACATTAGCCTTCCAACTAATTTCTACGAGTATTCCAAAGACATTAGATTTTAACTGGTGCCTAATAATTATGTATTGTAGTTTGTTTGCGATGTTTATTACCTGATTTATATAAATTTGTAAATTAGAATATAATGTAATGTGTGTATAGTGAGAAATAAAAATGCTTAGTTTATTAGATATTTCTTTATTAATCAGAATCCAAATAATCAGACTCGAGATATTCGACTCCCGAAATGTTGCCCGAAACTCCTGCATAATTAAATTGGTCGTCTTCTGAGTCTTCAGATTCACTGGAACTATCATCGCTAACTGAGATAACAAATCGGTCTATATCATTATAGAGAGATCCTTCACGGGCAAAATATTCATTTTCAATTTTTTTTTTTTTTTTTAATTTATTAAGAACACCAACAACATAACACACAAATACATTTTAAATTCATTCCTAATACATAAGTTCTAGTATGTTAGTCTCTTACAGGTGTCCATAGCACTGACCAACAAATTACATACATGCACTGCTAATATAAAAAGAAGATAAAGTGACTACAAAATAAGGGCAAAAACTTGAAAAACATTAAAATTTATAAATAGGGTTTAAGTTATCTTAACTAATTTTATGTATATAAAAAAAAACTATGATATATGTAAAAAATATTTAAATTACTTACTCCTAAAATGTAAACACAAAATGTCTTAAGAACTTTGCTAAAAATAATAGTGGTAGGAACAGATAATTAACTACATACAATAAAATAATGCCGCTTAACTTAGAATGATTTACAATTCTCCGCGGATTTTTTCAACCAAGGTATTCTTTAGTTTGAGCAAATTGTTATGAAATAGATCAACGTCACACCCGAAAGACAGAGTACTCAGTTCATTATATGCTTTAAGCATTCGAGGAAGAGGAGAGTTCGAGCAAGATACCGTCCTAGAAACTGGCATATCGAACGGACCTTTGTTTATTGCGCGCGACCCAGGTCGCGGAATCCTGAAATAAATATTCTCTAATATTAGTGGACAATCCAACATTCCATTTAGTATCTTAAATAATGTGCAAATATCAATTATACGTCTCCTATTAAATAAAGTGTCAATTTTAAAAGTCGTCAACCTATCCTGATAATCGCTTCTCTTACTTATATCGCTATTATACACAAGATACTTGGTAAAGGAACGCTGTATTCGTTCGATTCTTTCGGAATGATATGCTTGGTAGGGATTCCAAATGACGCTTGCATATTCCAATATGCTTCTTACTAAGGCATTAAAGATAACTATCCTAGTCTTTGGAGAACGCAAGTCTTTACATGTTCGCCTCAAAAAACCAAAAGATTTTAATGCTTTCTCTATCATATGATCATAATGTCTCGTAAAACTCAACTTGTTGTCAATAATAACTCCCAGGTCTCTGACAAATGGGGTTTCTCTAATACACACTCCGTTAATGTGGTACGAAGCATCAAATTTTTTTTTTCTTTTTGTGATTTTTATAAAGCAACATTTGGAAGCATTTATTATCATACCGTTACGAGTACACCATTCTTGCACACGATCTAGGTCTTCTTGGAGCATAACTATATCAACAGAACTTTTAATAGGCATGAAAATTTTCATATCGTCCGCGAATAAGAGACGGTTGCTATTTATAACACATTCTACGATATCATTAATAAATAAAATAAATAAAATCGGTCCCAAGTGAGAGCCTTGAGGCACACCCGATACTGCTTTGTACCAACGTGACTCATATCCCTTGACCACTACATATTGAACTCTCCCCTTTAAATAAGAACTAAACCATGATAAGATATGCCCACTTATGCCATAAAAATATTGTAATTTAACGAGAAGAATTTTATGATTTACCCTGTCGAATGCATTACTAAAGTCCGTATACACAGAATGGACCTCTATCCCCTCATCAAGAGAACTATTCAAGCTGGTAACGTAATTTAACATGTTGCTGATTACAGATTTTTTACTTTGAAAACCATGTTGTCTATCTGAAACTAGATTCTTTGTGTGTTCTACCAAAATGGGACAGACTAAAGATTCAAATACTTTCCCAAAAATTGACAACATTGATATTGGTCTGTAATTAGCAACATTTGCAACATCTTCCTTCTTGTAAACTGGAACCACCCTCGCTTTTTTCCATTCGGTTGGAAAAGTTCCCGTTTCGAGAGATCGATTAAAAATCAATTTCAATGGTAGAGCAAGAACCTTCGCACACCTTTTTATAAATACACCTGGAATTCCATCTGGACCACAAGCTTTATATATATCCAGTTTTTTTAATTTATTTAATATAATTTTTTCATCAAAATTTATCCTGGATAGAGTGTCACAAAGCGGTGAAGGAGTTGTACATACACGAACTATACTATCGTTTGAAGTATTAAACGTAGACTCAAATTGTTCAGCAAATAAATTTGCAATATCAATGTTACTTGATGCTGATTCGCTATTACGATAGACTAGACTAGGTATAGAAGTATTCTGTTTCTTTTCTTTAAGAAACCTCCAGAAAGCCCTAGAATTACGCTGAATGTTCTCCTCAGTACGAACACAGTGCTCGCGATAACTATCATTAAGTTCAACTCTACATCGCGTACGAAGTATTTCAAACTCATATTTATCACGGGGGTTTTTATAGGTACGATATCTTGCACGAATTTTATTTTTTTCATCTAAGAGCTTGCGAGTGCGACGCTTAAACCATGCGGGGAGGGAAGAAGGCCTACATTGATACTTGGGTACATAGGAATCAAATATACTAGACAATTTGTCGTAAAATATACATATCATTTCATCTACCTCTTTCATGTTACCCAATAACTTACACCAGTCAGTGGCTTCCATTGAAGCAATAATTTTTGAGTAATCTGCTTTAAAAAAGTTGTAGTCCGAGCGAGGTTTATTTTGCTCACTCTCAGTTTTTAAATGTAAATTCATATTAATGCTTATTTCTAAAGGGGGATGTAATTTGTCAAGTTTACTTATAAACTCAAGAGGTTCAGTTACTGAAATATTATGTATAGTACTTAAAACTAAATCTCTAATCTTACCATCAACTCCTTTCACTGTGTTAAATTGATACAACTCATTAAAAGATAAGAAATCAGTTAAAGCATAACCTAAGTTGCAGTTATAATTTCCAGGATATGCATATGAGGCGTCTTCTTTATTTTCCCAGGTAATAAAGCTGAGATTGAAATCACCCACTATCAATACTTCATCGACACTTGGCACAATAGTATTAATATTATCCAAAGTTTCAGTAAGATCATTCATTTTTACAGGAGGAGGCATATATACTACGCAAATTCCTATACATTTGATTTTTTCCTATACGTTTGAATTCCTATACGTTTGAATTTTGATGACATGCTCAACACAATTTTTCCATTCTTGTGGAACTGCCTGAAATGCTTCCTCAGCCAACTTCGCAACATTTTGACCACAAACATTCTTTTGTGCAATTCGCCTTTTTACTATTGCCCAAACTAATTCGATTGGGTTTAAATCACAATGGTAAGGAGGCAGTCTTACCACTGTATGTCCATGTTCAAATAAAAGTTCTTCAATGTAGTAGATCGGTTCAGGTTTATGTTTTTTTACAAGCATTAATAAGGATGGTTTCCGCAATGTTTCATCAAATGGAATATTATTTTCAAGTAGCCACAATTTGATTTCATCAACTCTTGATGCAGATGTAGGAGCCTGGGGAAAAAACTTAATTTAGTTGTTGAATTTTAATTTCAAATAAAAAAAGGATAAATTAATTAAAAGAGGAGGAATACCTTGTTTGTCGTAATGGAGTGATATGGTGCGTTATCCATCACAATTATTGATGGTTCACTTATATTGGGTAATAACTTTTCAGTTACCCATTTTATAAAATTTTGAGCATTCATTTCAGAATGGTAATCTTCTTGCTTATTTTTACCAGTAAATATTAAAAGTGCATTAGGCACAAAACCTTTCTCACTTCCAGCGTGTACAATTATCCACCTTTTCCCTTTAGACACATTTTGTTGGACACCGGCAATATTAGTAGACTGCCAACATTTAGTTACTTTGTAGGACTCGTGTATGTAGCTCTCATCCAAATAAATTATGTTTTTTTGGAGCTCTTCAGGCAGTCTTCTGTTTTCAAGGATGTGCCTTAAATAATACTCACGTTTTGAAGCAATTGCTGGTTTTTCTATGAGGGCTAGTCTATTTGATTGGCATTTCTTAAATTTGAAGCCAATTGAAATTAAAATTTTTCGAAGGAGTTCATAGCTGCCATCAAAATTTAAATCTTCCTTCACCACTGCTAATAATTTTCTTAGTGTTGGTACTTCTTTCTGCACTGTGTAGAAAAACTGAACTTTCTGACGAATGGAACATATATCGAAATCATCGATGTGTTTTGTAGGTCGGCCTTTCCTGTGTTTTCCAGGTGTTGAAAATTTACCTCCATTCTTAAAACCTTCGTCTACTATGCGCCGAATTGTGCTTTCGGAAACACCTGAAATCAATAAAGACATGTTAAATAACTTAAATTTAACTTAAAATTAAATACCTTAAGCATATCTAAATAAATAACACAAAAGTATCAAAACCGTTGAGAGTTAAATCGTAGGTAAAAAACATAACCTCAACGAAATATAAACAAAGATAAAAATAGATAAATTAAACTTATAAAACAGATGAGTACCAAGAGATTATATTTCTTTTAACGTGTTTAACATTAAAACATATTTACGTACCGGTTAACTTCGCTGTTCGACCGTAAACATTGTCTTCGTTCATCCCAGCTTGAAATTCGGCCATACACCCTTGAAAAACTTTAAATATAATTTGTCTCGCACTGCTCTTATAAACATTTCGATTCATTTTTTGTCTCTAAAGAATCACACGATTCAAAAAACTCGAATTATTACAAAAATATTGTAAAACATCAACCACAAAGCTACGATGTGACAGTTAAGGTACCTAGTTTGTCAATTATTCAGTGTTGTCAGTTTTAAGAAAAGCAGTAGTTCCCAAAACATTCTTTTCATGACTTTCTTGACAGACTTTACATACATATCGAAGCAGCATTAATTTTCTCTATTGTTTTCCATTATTTTATCATGACTTATACAGTGGGCGTTATATGGGAAGTGTTGGTTCAAATGAAAGTCGATGCAATCACAGTTGTATTTCAAATTAACAATAATCACTTTGTACATAGTTAAACAGCACTTCACTACACAGCCATATACCACTTCACTATTACCAAGTATAGACCATACGGAACGCAAGTTCCTAGTGGAGCGGTCCTAAGCTTGGCTCGGCTCGAAGGCAAGTGTCCAGCCCTCTTAGCACCCCTCCCTTAGCTAGGCTCCGTCGTAGCACGAAGCTCGCCGAGTGTTGGCGATAATACCGAAGGTGCTGCCATCACTCAGGCGTCGTGCCGCGCTTCGTTTAGCGACCGTATTGATGACCGTCTCCGACACGGCCATCCTGCGTGCACACGCCCTCGTGTGTTAGCAGTGTGTTAGCCTGCAACCAAATAATCAACGAAAATACTTGCTCGTCTCGGTCAATCCTGCCCAGATAAAACTTAACTTTGAATCTGAATCATCTTTATTCTAACGAAAAGCTTTAACGCTAACACCTTTGTTTTTTTTTTACTCCAAGTCACTGTAACTATCTCTAATCTAACTAATAACATTAGTCATCCAGAGCCATGTACCAACATCATTCAACACTTTAGCAATCAAAACTTATTTTCAAATTTACTAGCACCTCTGTAAACCACTCTTAGGCCACGGCTTTACAAGCCAACCAGCAATCACAATTGCTCCACAATCCAGGTGCATCCACTACGGGATCACCGCGTGTATCATCCTCTTGATGACTACACACTATGGTCATAACAGACCCCGACCTCCGCCAGAACTAAACGCACATCACACACCCACGGTCTATATAGTTTGAGCTTCCTCAAAAGACCGACTTTTACCAGGCTATGACTACGTAATAGTTACTAGTACGGTCGACACTACTACGGCCGTCAGAATGCTTACATCGGTTTCCATCGACTTCATTAAAACATTTGCTTGGCATGATGATCATTATTTACATCAACTTTATTGGTACATGACCTACTAGAATTTTTGTGTAAAGAATTTATAGCCGTCATGTTAATAGAAAACCTTTCAATATCTCATGTTCTATCATGATACCATTTTGTAACGAATAATTAGGCAAAACATAATATTTCAAAAGAATTCAATAGAATGACCGTTAATCGTTACAAAACAAATTTTACTCTGTGCGGAATATTCTGTTTTGATCAATACTAGAAATTGCAAGGACAAAATCGTTAACCACACAATTTGACTGCTAAATGTTATCTTACTAACGAATATTCAGCACCATGATTATAACAAAAGCAATACAGATTACCTCTATACCATTGAGCATTTCGAAGATGGTTGTACAACACATACATCCACGCGTCGTTCCGTTCGTGTTGCACTCATATTGCTGCCGTCCACTTGACTGGCACTACTTATGCACCGGAGAGTGATGTGACCAGGTTTGCCACATTTGAAGCACACCAGAGACTTCACTGCAGGCTGCAATGCCGTTGCTGTCATCGAAGGTCGTTCCACACTGTCATTTACCTTGCTTCTACACTCTGACCGCTTAAGACTCACTTTTTTTTGCGTTTCAAATGTGAGAATGCGTGCAATCTCTGCTGCAGTCGATCTCGCGAAGCAATTTTCGTAGTAAAGGCCAATCGTTGTAATTTCGAATTAAACTGACATAAGTGAGCAAGGATAGTCGCAATTGCTATCTGATTCTTGCTAGCGTCTTTCCAACGATTAGTCAGTGACGTCATCAGGCGATTTGCGTACGTAACGAGTTTCTTTTTTCATTTGGTTTGTCACTGTTAAAATTAATTAGCGTACCGGCCAATGTCTCGGTGGAAACAAACCTCGCCTTGAAAATCACCTTGTACTCTTCCTATGTTATTCCCTGGTATACAAATTGTGATAGCCACGTCGACCCTTATCGTTTTAATTCCTTACTGACTTAAACCAAGCTGGCCGCCGTATGGAGGGTATTTGGCAAAACACAAATCTGCAGTCGCAATCAAAGATCTTGCGTCCGTATCCATATTGTCAGGGTCAAACTCGTGTAACCTGACGTTCTTCTTCATCCGAGGCATTTGCATGGCCTCGATAAGAGATCACATACTGACATTTTGTTGCTCAAACATTGCACGTCATTGTTCACTCAGAGTTAGTTCTTTTTGCAATTGAACCAACACTGATCCCGCTTCTGATATCGAAGCAGCATTAATTTTCTCTATTGTTTTCCATTATTTTATCATGACTTATACAGTGGGCGTTATATGGGAAGTGTTGGTTCAAATGAAAGTCGATGCAATCACAGTTGTATTTCAAATTAACAATAATCACTTTGTACATAGTTAAACAGCACTTCACTACACAGCCATATACCACTTCACTATTACCAAGTATAGACCATACGGAACGCAAGTTCCTAGTGGAGCGGTCCTAAGCTTGGCTCGGCTCGAAGGCAAGTGTCCAGCCCTCTTAGCACCCCTCCCTTAGCTAGGCTCCGTCGTAGCACGAAGCTCGCCGAGGGTTGGCGATAATACCGAAGGTGCTGCCATCACTCAGGCGTCGTGCCGCGCTTCGTTTAGCGACCGTATTGATGACCGTCTCCGACATACATATATACATACATGCATACATACATACATACAAACATACATACAAACATACACTTTTAATATATATTTCTTTGTCTTGACTTACTCTTCTTACATACTCGTATATTATATTAGTGACATATTTTTATATTATTTTTTTTGCGTTCTTTTCTTAGTTTAAAATACTACTTATTTAATTTTTTAAATATATAATACAACTAGCATTTCCCGCGGCTCCACCCGCGTTCAGATGACCAAAAACTAAATTCTTAGGTTTTACATATTAGTATACTCTTACAATGCAGTTTTTGTATTTTTTCTCAGAAATGAGATATTTTCCCGTGGTAAAAAGTATCCTATATGCTGACCCGGATAACCAGCTATCTAAAAATATATATATAAATCTGTCCAGTGGTTTTCTCGTGATGCGGGAACAGACAGACAGACAAAAATTCTAAAAACTATAGATTTGGACTCTGCATCGATAATAATGTCTATTTCAATAAGAATTTCCAAAAAATATTTAATGTACAGATTCGTTACAATTTTATTATATGTACAGAAGTATTTTGAATTTTTAACACCTCCTAACTAGTTGGATGGTAATTCCCCTAGTATAGTAGTATTGTCAAACAGATGTAACACGCGGCTATGGAGGGTCTAGACTAGACTCTAGTCCAGAGGGGGGACACTCAAGTCATTGCTAATTTTTCTAAAGCAAGTTGCGCCATCTACTTTTCCTAACTGGTAAAAATGCTCAGTGTCTTATTTACTTGCCGATAGATGTCGCTTAAATAATATTCGATCCTGTACTAATTGTAATTAATACCAAATTAATTAAATAGATAATTAAAGACTTAAGATTATTATTTTATATACAAAAATGTTTTATAAAATAAAATAAAAAACTATCAATACTTGTTCCAAGTGGCAATTTTAATATTTTTACAAGCAATTCCTAATATTCCTATTATGGCAATACTGGTAAGTGGTAACGACAAAATTCAAATTTCCAATTACATTTTTTGGCCATTTTTTGTGTATTTTTCGTTTTTGTAGCATTTCAGATTTCTTAATTTCTTATTCATCAGACGTTGAGTCGAGATTACTCCTCCGTCCTGATACCAAGATTACTACCAAAACACACAATTTTATTATGTCTGCTACAGTGACGAATTATCGTACATACTTTGTAGTTTAGTGATATTTCGCGTAAGGACGCTTTTCTGTGGTGTGTGAGTTATAAAAAGCAACATAAAGTAAAAACACCAACAGTGGTAAGTATATACTCATTTCATAACGAATTCATGCCTGCGGTACTCAAAAGGTGTTTGCTTGCCGGCACTTTTAATCATAAAAAGTAAAGACAAAAATATAAAATAAATATAAAAATACAAAATCACCAAAGTAGCTAATAGTGGTATTAGTGGTTCTGAACCTGCCATTCCAGCTGTGATACCTCCACTTCATGATACAAATACAGGAATTTTAAAAGTAACTTTTATGCTAAATATCAAATATACACTAACATGAGTAACAACAGATGGCAGACAGCAGAGGATGAAGAGAATGCAGGGGGGGGTCTCACTTCACAAGGCATTGCTACCTCAAGGCAGGCTACCTCAGTACATTTTTTTTTACCCGGCTATGTATTTCATTATTATATATCACAAGAGTGGCATACTGTGCCACAACTGCTTACCCACTAGTGGACAACTTAGTAGTATCATAGTTAAAAATTTATGTAGTTGTTCATCTCTCTCTGCATCGTGGGATCGAACCCGAGCAATTACTTCCCAAAGATTGACAAGTCTTCAAAATAAGAAAACAATATTTATTATTTCAGGTGAACCAAACCACATACCATCGACAGCAGCTGTATTATCAGAACACAGTGCTATAAGCAGAACCAGTAGGAATATGTAGTCTAAAGGTTGGTATTTGTTTACTAAAAGAAATCTAATATTATAAATTTATAAAGAAGTAAAGTTTTTAAGCTTGGTTGCAGCTACCTGCTACATCTAAATTTACAATTTTACAAACTTAAATAAAATATTCTATTTTTTATATCAAAAAATTTGTTGATTTGTTTGTTTGTTTTTTTTTGTCCTGCTTTCATGCAGCCTGGGATAGACTTGATTATTCTTATCTGTAGTTAAAACCAGAAGTTACCAGAGAGCTTTTACTCCCATGAGAACATTTTCTTGTGGCTGGCTGGCACTGGCACTGGCAATAACTAGTAAAACAAAAGTTTTGTTACTACCTATTTATTGACTTAACAATTTTATACTTTTCAGCTGTGCCGCTTAACTATCAATGCATGCAGATGAAACCACTTCATTACGAGATGAAAATCATGCATAATAAGATATGTTGTTTGTGACTAAAACGTACAATGTTTTAAGGAAAGACTTGTTTGCGAAAAAAAGTACAATGTTTTAAGGAAAGGCTCTAGAAAATATGGCATTGATGCAATGTTGACAAGATATTTCAACCAAGACCCTATAGAAAACTTTTTCGGGAATATCAGGAGTTATGGTGTTAGAAACATTGCTCCAAATACTGTCTCATTTGAGGGGACCTTCAAGGCTTTGATAATAAATAATTATAGTGAGCCACATTCAAGTAGAGCAAATTGTGAAGAAGATCACAATGAGTGTCTTCAAAGTTTGGACTCCTTCCTTAAAGATAAGAACATAATAACTCCTGATATCCCTGATACTAATGATACTATTCATTTTAACAGTGAAATTTGCTTTGACCAATCCATTGAAATTGATGCTGGTCAAAGCAATTATGTCTGCGGATGGGTTTTAAAGAGATTCCTTAAATTTATAATAAAAAGGTTGTTATCATTGCAAACAAACATTGTTTGAAAATGATATATCAAATGACAATAATTCATATATCTATGCAAAAGAGTACATGAATAAAAAATGGCTGTGCTATCCTAATAAAGAAGTGGAATCGTATTTCAAAGAAATCCAGAATATGACCACTACTTTTTAAAAAAAAATGTACCCAAAACAGGTTTGAAGAAAAATATTGTTTTGTTTCTGGACATGCTATCTGATTGTCCTTTTAAGTGTGTTGAACATAAAAATAAATTAAAAACATATTTTATAAATATGACAATCAATGTTTTGGTTTATAGTTGGTGCAGAAGTGTCAATCGTATTTTGAGCGGCAAATTAACTGTTAAAGATGAAGATGATGAGGTCAAAATTGCAACCCAAAATTATTTTAATAAGCACAAGAATTATAAAAATAGAAAATGACCCTTTAAATAAAATTCTCTTTTCGAAAACGTAAAATAAATTCAACAAATATTGTAAGGTACTTTGGTGCCATTTTTATATTTTTGAATTCAGTAATTTTGTGGATAGGCACTGTCTGTAACAAGTATATCTTTGAGACGTCTAAAATCTTAGAGTAAAGCATTCAAAAAGGCGGGAACCAAAAATCAAAATAAATCCGCGAAAAATCCGAAAAGATAGTCTTATTTAAAATGTCAAATATTCGCGTAAATCTATGAAAGTATAAAAAATGAGATGAAATTATTACATATAAGAATTATTGTTCAATAGAAATTATTCTGTAATAAATAAAATAATGATATGATTACTCAATAAATGATTACTCTTGCAGTTATTGTTGTTTTATTTCTTTCTTTGCTTTTTTACTAATATCGTGTTCCAACAAAGGACTAAGCCGAGAGGTTTTTTCTTTGTTGGAACACTAATAGAGCACTTAATAAATCAATGGTAAAATAAATAGATATAGGTAGCTATATAGCTACCTATATATAGCATTAGTTTTGGTTAGGAAACGCAGATGGCGTTTCAAATTGATTTGCATAAAAAATCCTCAAGAGGGCACTCTTTTCCCAGTATATTACTATACTCTTTGCTCTAGTCTACCCTCCATACACGAAACAATAACTTTATTGGTACACGTATCTGCAAAAGAAGTAGCTATAAAAAAGCATAGACACAGATAGTCACATCATTGAAAATCAAACAGGCATTTGAAATAAAATATTTATCAATATAGTAAGTTTGAAATATTTAAAGTAAACAATACTAAACAATTCTAAATACTAATATAAAACTTGATTAAAAGTTTATTATTATTTTTATAATTTTGTTTTTATGATTTGATGGGTTTATTTTAGTTATTTAAAAAAGAGTAGAAACAAATTAATTTAAGAGATTTAAAAGGAACTAGAATATGTAATTAAAATATTAATTTCGTTTTGTGCCTAAAATTAGAAATTAACAATTTTGAATTTGACATTTGACAACTGGACATTACTTTTACTTCATTCATCATTCATCATTTTATTTTATAAATAGACACAATTGCAAATAGTGTAATTATTTTAAACAGGCAAAACGTATATTCTCTAACTTTGTAAACAATTATCAAGGAACAGAAATGTCATAGCTGTTCTGTCACACTATGCCTTCCACAAGGTTTTTAAATGTTGCTAATTATTTTGTTTTATGTATTTATTTCCTCTTCTCATCATTAGTGAGTACAGTTTCACCGGGAGGTAATTAACATAAACAATGAAATATAAATGAGTAAACTCATATTACTAAAATAATTTTTATATCATTTTACATATAAAATATTTTTTAGCAAACGATTTACACTTCTATGACGGTTCTTCTACAGCTGATATCATTGCTGGAGATGTATTTTTTGAAATTTTAGACCCTCCCGAGCTAAGGTATTCTTATCGAATTAGACCAGCTAAAGATTTTGGAACTCCATTCGTAAGTACATTTATATATATATATATATATATATATATATATAATATATATATATATATATATATGTATATATGTATATATACAAATATAACAATACTAAATAAAGAAAACTGAAGTTAAAAATATTAAACATAAATTGTGCATATTGTTGCATTATCCAATATTTATTATATTTATTTAATGTTTCAATTTCCATTAAATGCTAGTAAAAATAATAAATATTTTCAGAATGGCAGTATTTATTTTGAGAAAGTGCGTTTAGTTCCAACACTCCCATTGCATAGTTGTTCAGATATATTGAATGCAGATGAAATATTTGGCAATATTGCTTTGTCTGAGAGAGGGTAAGCAAGAAAAATTGAAAAATAACTTGGAAATGTATATATGTATATGTAATTAATATTTATTCTATTAAATGGTTAGAAAAAATATCTTAATTAATTGTATTAAGGAATACTTAAAAAAAGTTAAAATTAAGAGCATTATTATGTAACTAATATGCTTAAAAATATATTGAGAGTCTATACTTTTTTAGGACATCCTATTTACAAAGTAAAATTATAATATAAATAAGCTAATGAATAAATCATCAAAAATAGCATCTTAAGTAACTGTAATATAGAATATTAAAAAAAACTTAAATTAACTAGTATAGTTCAACATATATGATTACTGTTTAGTATTGAACATGATGGTTGGAAAATATAAATAAAAAAAGTGTGTGTGTGTGTACAATCCACACATGATAGAAGTGAAACTAAAAAAAAGTAACCTACGAAAGAATGAGATGAATCTAGAGTATCAGGAGTGGGATAATATTAACTTAATTTTTTTATAATATTTTTACCAAGTTTAAAAGTTATTTTATATTTTATTTGACATAAATATACATTACATAATAAGCAGTAATTAATTTTATTATTTTTCACTTCCTGTGTAATGTATTTTCAAAAAATTAAATAAGGCATATTACAATCATATATTTATAGAATATCATATTTGGAAAGAATATAATATTATATATTTGTCAGACAATAACAACGGTTACCATGGTAACATGGCAATGTATTTTATCTCATTCTCTTATCATTAATCATATATATTTATGTTTGTCTCTTTTTAGTTTTTAGTGTTGCATTTTCGTTTCATCGAGTTTCAAATCACAACGATTCTAAAGAAGTTTCACTTCAAAAAGCTTATTTTTACATGTTATATTTTTCAGAGAGTGCTCCTTTGTATTTAAAACTCTGAAAGCCCAGCAAGTTGGGGCCCAAGCAGTTATTATCACAGAATCTGTTGATAAATGGGATGATGCCTTAGATCACCTTATTGAGATGGTGGATGACAAGTAAATTAAATTTTATTTTTGTTCATTTGTTACTTCTTATGATATAACAATATAATATCTTAATTTTATGTACCTATACAAATATAACTTGCATATTGCATATTTGTCTTATGAGGTACTTTTTATATAAAAAGTACTCAAGAGATTGGTAAATAAAATAATTATATATAACTAGGTATGTTAACGTTTTTTGATTGATTGATTTGATGATTAAATTGATATTGTTATTCTGGATCATATGGGTCATAATTTATGAGCCTGTACACCGTTTTATGCTCTTTACCTCGAAAACTGCACTTTTCTAGGCTGTTATATGAATGAAGCACGAACACGTGTAGAGTTTGCGATGTTAGGACTTGTAGAGTTAGGGTGCGTAGAGTTAGAAACTTGGCTGTACATGAGATCTGATAACTTTTGACAGTGCAAGTGGTCATATGGTCTCATCTTGGCAGCATTTTACATGAAAATATTTTTGGTGGGTTTATTTTACTACCTATTTATATTTCTCATATATTTTTTGTTTATTATTTGTAATCGTTAAAGCATGGTTTAGCTAGGCTATAATGAAAAAGGACACGTGAACTTATCGCACAAATCCATGCCTGTGTCTATGTGTGTGTGTGTTTGGTATCGTGTGAGTGAAATTTGAAGGATCATCCGACGCGTACAGGCTCTTAAATATAATTTAACAATATTAAATCAAAACAGCAATGAAAATAGGGTATGTTGGATGGAAGTTCTTTAGAAAATTTTAAATATACTTTCAATGTAATTTCTAAAACCTTTTAATTTAAATCACTGTAAAAGCTTAATGATAAATAGATGCCTACATTATTTTATTAAACTTTATCTTACAGAATGGAGTTAGATGTTAATATTCCAGCAGGATTTCTTCTTGGTCGTAGCGGTGCAACAATTATACGAACACTAAGGAGGCTACAAAAAAACTATGCAATTGTAAACATGCCAATTAACTTGACACACGTGCCAATAGGGAAAATGAAACAACCACCATGGATATCATGGTAGGAGTATAGGGTGGTATGTGTACTCGCTGTAAAATTGTAAAGACATAACATGAATATCAAGTGATATTGGATGGTGAAAAGATAAACTATAGGGAATAGTAAAAAATACACAGATGAGTCAAAAGGGTGATTTATAACAAGTTGAAACTGTTATTGCTGAAATTTTTAAATAATTACTTTTTCTAGCCAGAAATACATTAGTATTCCAAAAGTAAAAAAATATATGTACGTCTCTACATCTATTATTCAAATTCTAATAAAAATGCACATTTTCACTGTAAAACTTTATAATTATATTTAATTGGTTTATGTATTCTCAATCCTTAAATTATAATACTTGTCCATTTATTTTGATTAAAGTTACATGGTGCTTAAATGCTTAAACAATTTAGCGGAAGGTTTGGTTATTTTGTCAATATCCTAATTTATTTTTATTTTGGTCTCTGGGTGCGAATAATTCTGCAATACATTGTCTTTATAAAAACTATTGGAAAATTTAAGAAACGTAAATTCGAATCTTGAGTAATTTTCGATTTTCGCGCTAGAATCCTAAATATTTCAGGAATAAAACATACCCCGTATGTAGCACATGGGCATGCTAGGACTCTCACCCCCATCCGCCGCTGCCCCCGCTGTCATCGTCGTTAAGATATTATTACTTTTCGCGAGTTATTTTAACTCTGTGATATCTTTCAAGATATTCCTCTCATATGAGTTGTGTAAGGGTCACTTTTGATCTAAATTAAGTGCTTAAGTTGTCTAACATATTTATTTAGATAAGTATTAACACCACGTTAGTAAAAGCATTTTCGTAAATGAGCATTATTTTAGACCCTAATTGAGAACCATAAAAATGGTTATTGTGAGTCTACCTTAAAAGATAGATAATAATATATGCTATCGCAGACTTTTTTGTAGTGATTTTTATGTTTTTCAATTTATTACAGCATTTCGTTGAGCTGTCTGCAATAGTTTATGCGGCGCACGCCAGTAATGCTCCCAGTCGGCATGCTTTTTTCCAAAATCTTGAACAATCATCATCATATTTCAGTCAATTTACATGAAACCTTAATCTATAAATACTAATATTATAAAGAGGTAAAGTTTATGAGTTTATGTGGTTGTAGGGGGTAATCTCTGGATCTACAGAACCGATTTAGATGAAATGTGGTAAGAAGATAGTTTGAGACCCTGAGAAAGACCCTTAAATCCTTAAGGGGTTAAACATGGGGTGCAAATTTGTATAAAGAATCAACCTAGGGACGGCCCCGAGCAAAGCGAGGGTGAGTCGCTAGTGGATTATACACTGAAAGCTTCCTCGTGAATCACTCCGTTCATTAGTAAAAACCGTACGAAAATCTGTTCGGTAGTTTTTTAATTTATCGCGTTCAGACAGACGGACGCGCCGAGGGACTTTGTTTTATAATATGTATAGATAATCAACTGATTTTAAAAAAGCTCAATGTAAATGCAGTGCAAAATATTACGGGCTGATTGTTCATTATTGGTTAATAATAGGAAAAATACATACCAGAACCATTTTTTCATCTTCGTTTTCTTAGAGTAGTTTTAAATTATTGGATCTATTTTTTTATTTTATCTATTTTGCCTAAACATAAATAGCATCCATACGGCGTAATATGCCGTCTATTGACATTTACTTCAATTAATTTCGCTTTCTAATACTACCCAATACTTATAAGAATAAGTATTATTTTTATATTTCATCCATTTGACTAATTTGAGTATTTTTTGCTAATAATAAGAAATTTTACTTCTTTGCAATTGTGTTCATTGGATATAGTATATACATTATACATGGATATGTTAAGTAAATCAACTTCAGAAATCCTCACGCGTATTGGATTTTAATGATGAAGAAAATATATTGTAAAGTTTTTACATTTTTGTAATCAGGTCTCGGAAGAAGATAAAAAAGTCCAAACCATAAAAAAAAAATGTATTACTTAAAAGTAAACATTAAAAACACAATATGTACATTGTACAATACAATGTACAGTATAGGATGAATGAATAATATATTTCAAAATGTTTAGAATTTTTTACATTGTATTAGTTATTTTATGTGAGTTCAATTATTTGAAATGGTGTTTTTCAATTAATATATTCAAATCTAGAAAAATATTGTTCCTTTATTTAATTAGATTATTACGTTTGAAGGAATTTATATCCATGAAAATAAAGCCACCAAATGTTCATTATTTATATGAAGACAAGTGTTAGAATTTTATCAGAATATTAAGTTATATCCAAAGCATTTATTTATTATTGTATTATATGACACCTTAACCAAATAATAGTAAATATTATATTTCAATAAACTAGTTTTTGTTTTATGTTATCTATCCTTGGTTGAGGGGAAGAAAATTCCAAGAGATTCTTTACAGTGCGAGCTGTTTGTGAGTGCCTATTAAGGTATAAGCCTTAGTATAAACTTTGTATTAATTTTCAAAGTGGTCATATTTTATACCAGTAATAATATCTTAAATTAGTCATTTCATTATAGAAATTTGCATAGCTCTTAAAATGTCTGTTTGATAAACATTTTTAGCCTAGCATTTATTGCTATGCTTGATATCACTATGTAAATTATGTTGACTCGGTAGTACTATAGCTAGCTAATGGCCATTTGGAGGTCATTTTTATTTACAAATTTTGAAGACATATTTGCCACACAAATCATTTGGTGTTGTAACTTGTTATTACTACTATAATGTTTATAAAAAAATAACTACCAAGAACAGATTAAAATTCTAAAACCATTACAAATATCATGGGGTCTCATCACGAACAAAGAAAAATTAGTTCAATTAAATGTCAATAGATGACGTTACATGTGTCGATCTGTTGTTAAAGTTGTGTTAAATTAACAAAACATAAGAAAGTAGATCCCAAAAAGGTGATTTATTGTTTTAAAAAATATTCTAAGTGAAACGAAATAATACGCCTGTAAATCATTTGCATAACTTACTGATTTTTAAAATATCAGCAATCAGATTATAGTTTTGACCCAAGGACGACCCAGGAAAGACATGTCTGGAGAAGAATGATTAGGAGAGCCGACCCCAAATAAAGATGGGAAAAGGCCGGAAGAAGAAGAAGAGCAATCAGATGATAGTTTTGTAGTGTATAGTCACAGATGGCGCTTTTACTTTTTTTGAATTGTTTATCACGGCTAAAAATTGTTAATTCGAATGCAGCATGAATTTTTCAATATTTACCATACGCTAGTTTGCACATATTTATAAAAAAAGCAGTATAACTATGTGCGAATCGACGACATCTATTATTATTTATTCAAGCAAACAAAAATAGCTCGAAGAATAGCTCGGATTAGCGCTATCCAATTTCCTTGTATGAGATGAGGTATCTGTACTAGTATGATAATATGTGATCTGTGCAAATATCCTATTTTTGTACAGATTAAACTCATGATTTTATATTATATATTACAACTTATAAGGATGTAATAAATAATAATAAAATAGCAACATTATCGTCTTGTGACCTAACAAGTTATTTAATAATTCTGCGTCATAAGTTGAGTAGCTGTGTTATATGGCTGTGGATCAAATAAATAACGTTATAAAAATATATAATCGAAGAATTGTATTTTTCTAGAAAGTACCTGTATATAGTTTTTATTAGATCAGTATATACATATTGTGCTTGCTTTAGGTATTTACAATTACCCTCTCTACCTACTAAACAGTTCTATCTAACGTATTTTTATGTTATGTGTAAGTATAGTTTTTAAGCAAATCAAGAGGACAATACAATAAAAATTACTTAACAGTCGAATGCTTAAGGCAAATTTTCGGGAGATCAGAGAATACTTGGATCCATCGTTGCAATGGAATGAATTGAATCAAAAGATTGTTTTATCTATAACATCTTAGGTGTTTTTTTATATTATAAATATGTTTTAAGTATTTTCAGATAAAAATGATGATAGATACTCTCTTATGAGTAGTAAGAGTATGTAAATTTTATTAGTCAATTTATATATAGGTATATATATATTTAGTAAATTGCTTGTCCCCTAGGTGCGTTTTAAGCAGCTAAAAATAGTAAGTTACCTGAGGAGATTAACGCATACTATTGCGGACTTTTCTCTAGGCCCTTTTAAGATCTACAATTTTCTAGTACATTGCTTTGATGTATCTCTCAAAATTTAGCCATCGTTAGCGAAAACAGCTTTATTGAAAAAAAAACATCGCAACAGTTTTCAATTTATGTACTAAACATTTTAAAATTATTTATAAACCGTCCGTCCTCGTTTGCTCTCGCTCTTTCTATGAACGAAAACCGTATCGAAATCCGTTGTGTGATTCTACACCAGAAGTCGAAGTAAACGTAGAAACAGACAGAGGCAGACGGCAACATCGTTTAATACTATGTACCTATTATACCTAATAGACTATATAATATATGTAGATGAGCGACATGAACTCGAACTACATCTTGCATTTTCCCATGAAAATGAGAGATTTTACCGCACTAAATTGTTAAATTGATGTGATGTTCTCCTAGTCGATTCCGGCTACGGCGGCCAATCTCATTGAGATTAGCCAACTGCGCAGGAGATATTATAGTGCTCAAGTGTACGCGCAGACACAGGTGCACTCTCTATTCCTGTCACTCTCATACTCCGGTGGGACCTCTCGACACGACCGGTGAGAGTTAAGGCGCAGGACCGACGGCTTTACGTGCTCTCCGAGGCACGGGGGTGAAATACCATCAACTTCCCAACTCCGGGCTGTTACTAAGACTTACTATGCAGAAAGACTAAATAACTAAACTTGGCCCGACCCGGGACTCGAACCCAGGACCTCCGGGTGTGCAGCCGTACATGCTAGCCACTACACTACCGAGGCAGTTGGTTGTTAAATTAACCCGGTCCTTGCTACTAATAACTCCTCCAACAAATTATATTATCAGTAAGATTTACAACAAAATATATAGGTAAGTATTTTT